GTACCCGTGATAACTCTTCCGCAGATCACGTGACACCGGTCTATTTTTATCAAGAGATAACGCCGTCAAGAAAACTCCGCACTTTCTCAACAAACGTAAATTTTCACTGGTTGTTCGCACTGTGCTTGATCATCCTGTAGGCCTCACTTAGGTGTCGGTCTGTCCGCCACACGGTTTTGAATTCGGTTTTCGCGAAAGCGAGGATTGAAAAATGTTTTTCTTCTCGTAGCAGCGAGATAAGGCTCGGAGCAACGGTCACAGCGAACGCAAGTCCCGCAAGATACGCACGCCACGGATGACTAGATTGTCAGGCAACACCGTTGGTTGCCGGTTCGTCTCGCGACTCGCGGTCCACGGATCGCCTGTTGAATGCAAAATTGCGTCGTTGCCACAATGTATACGCTTAATTTCTCATCAATCTGTTCTCTGTAATACAAAATCGTGACCGGTAAAAAGCGACATTATATCGATTTTTTATGACACTATGTAAGTTTTTTGACATTATGTGGGTTTTCCTATAAAATTTCACCTTTGAACTAGCTGATATTCACTTCATGCTCACTTGTATAGTAGGAGCGAAATGAACTATCGGCTACTCAATGCACAAGTTGACATTTTACCGATTTTATTGACAATATTAAAACAGAATTTGACGCTGTGGGTATAACCATAGGGGAATTTCTATGCAATTCATGGATTCCAAGGAAACCTGAGACATTTCAAGGATTCCAAAGAGATACCAGGCAACCAAAGATTCCATGAAAATTATGCTCTTGCCACGTATCGCATCAGTGGCGTAGCAAGTTGGCCACAGGGGTGATACCCGATGACAGCGTCAACAGAAAAATAAAAATGAAAAAAATTTAACCGATTGCATCTTGTGTATATCCTTACTGACATCATAAATGCGAAAGTGTGCATGATCCTTTTTGGTAAAGAGACATAATCCCATGTAAGACCTTGGGCAAGGACGTAGGCTACTTTTTAACCGGCTGTGGTAGAGAGGGTTCACTCACGTTAACCAAATTTCCGGCAGCCACTGGTTTTAAATATACATAAATAATTCATGATGTTTATCAAATATTTTTATGCTTTTTACTTCCCACGTCTACTGGCGGAGACGTACTGTAATCGCGAAAATTTTCAAAAATCAGATATTATGTTTTTTGGATGTTATATGACATGAACACCACAAAAAACCATGTCACTCATTCCCGTCGGTCTGTCTGTCTGCCTGTCCGCTAATCTTTCATAGCCGCCTATAACTTGAGAAGTACCGCTCGGATTTCGATGAAATATTTACACAAAGTAACTATTATACCAAGGACGCAAAAGCTTTGTAGTTTTTGAAAATCGATGAAGTGACGTCGGAGAAAAATACCAAAAACAAAAAATCAAATTCGTTGAAACGTCGTTTTATGACAGTTCAGACGATCTTCATCATTTTCTGAAAAAAAATTGTAGAGATTGAAAATTGGTGGTTAGGGGTTCCAGGGGATGAGGGAGAGTATATCTCAATTTCTTGTCATTGGTATATTCATACACCTCCAACCTCAGTCCTTCTACACACATATTAGGCATATTTCACTCATCAGAGATGTCCCGTACATTTACCCTTCAGGTCATTTAATTTTTTGTTATAAATGTTCATGGCTAACTTCTTTCTCAGAACGGCTAGCCTGTGGCAAACATAACCCTTTACGAACTGATGACAGCGTACGTGGGAAGTACAAAGTCAACTTACTTGACGCCATTTCTTACTTTTGGTGGGATGACACCTCCAACTTCCACGCCGGGTGCCACCCAAGGTCACTACGCCACTGCGTGTAACTTATCCAATTTCTCATCAATGCAAGCAATCCAAGGAGGTCCGACGCAATTAATGGTTTCAAGGAAATCCGAAGCAATTCGAGGATTCCAAAGAAATCTTAGTTTCAAAGAGATCCGAGGGAATCCAAGTATCTCAGGAAATGCAAGACAATTCAAAGGCTCCGAAGAGATTGAAAGCAATTCAGATGCAATTCAAAGATGCCAGGAAAATCCTATACAATCCATGGATTTCAATGAGGTCCGAGGCAATCCAAGGAAATCCGAGGCGATTTAAAGATTCCAAGAAAATCCGAGGCAGCTCCAAGATTTCAAAGAGACAATCCAAGGATAAAAAGAAGATCCGAGGCAACTCAAGTATTCTAAGGAAACCCGAAACGATTCAAGGATTCTAAAGAGATCCGAGGCAATCCAAGCTTTCCAATGCAGCCCGAAGCGATTTAAGGAATCCAAGGAAGTCCGATGCCATCCAGGAATTCCAAAAAAATCCAAGGCAATTGGAAGCTTTCCTATAGTCGAAAATACTTCTAGATTTACTTGCATATAATAGTATAACGGGTATCTTTCAGAAATCTGAAATAATTGTTCCGATAACTTACCGTTTAAGGAAGTTATGTCATGTTCTGTGCACGTCGAGGTTCGATCGTGACGTCACAATACATAAATTCGGCTTCTAGGCCACGACACCGACGCGACGACACTTGCATATCGCATTCATCCTTAGCACTCAAGCTGACCAGTCGAATATATTGTTTGTCTATTGTCTAGTACTATCGAAGTTGAGTCATTTATTTTAACAGTGAGTAGATCTGATCAAAAGAAATGTTTTTTTTCCTTTACCATTTTTCTGGTAAAATTAAAGTAACAAAGTTATAGCCCTTTGGAAGTTTGAGTACCGCCCTGTCTCAATTATAATATTATGTGCTCGGGTTTGGCAACAACGGATATAATCCGCCTTATCGGTTCATCGCATCGGAAACAAAAAAGCGAAAGAATTTGGAACGATGTTTTTACAATTATTTTATTCCGTTGTATACAGTCAGTGTCAGTCGGTCACGCGTGAGTGAATAGTGCTGTCTGTTGCGTGGCTCAAACGAAATCAAAAATGGCACATGTTTATGCGGATCGGTTTCCCAATCGAGTGCAACCAACCCCTCGTGCCTTTGTTAATGTAGTACAACGGGCTCGTGAATCAGGTGACTTAAGACCTCACAGACGACGGCATGCCGGTGCTCCAAGACCTCACGATCAAATACAGGTCCGCACTGAAATACTTGTCGGGAGGATACTTTATAAAACAAGGTAAATTTTTTTTTTTATTTTTACACACATATTTTGGTTTATCTTCCTTCTACAATCATTATCTGAAAATTAATGACTCAACTTCAAAGTCACCCTGTATACACCTATAAAACAAGGTTTTCTACGTACCGATTCGACTAATCTTCCAAAGGAGGAAATACTCGTACTAATGGTTGATTAAATATACTATGCACAGCATTTATCGATGCCACTGTGGTGAAAAGTCCTAAAATATGGCCAAAATTTAGAAGTTTCACTAAATTTTACAGAAAAAATCTATTTTCATGAGCACCCGCAGAAGGGTGCTAGGTGGGCGTGCCCTTCCTGAGAATCCAAATAGACCTTTAAATTTACATATTTATCAAGATCTTGATTGCTAGGACTTGGCCCCAATGAGAAAATTTACTAACCTTCGCTTTTCAAAAAGTTTTCGGGCATGTCGCATGTACACTTTTACAAAAAGGTTGTCTCTTGTAGATGATCAGCCCGATTTCCAGATGGCTGATAACGAATACCATATCCATTTATCAAAGATCAAAATGGCGGATTTAATATAGCGTACATCTTTGAAAAAAAAACGTTTTCAAATTTAAGTTTTATGTTTTCAAGGTCCCTAATATCAAGCTTGATATCGATTGTTTAAAAATCGGGATAGCCACTCTAATATGACGTATGAGTTTGCAAAAAGTTTTTTGATCGCTCTCAAATTAGAGTTTAAGCAATGATCAAATCTTTCCCAATATACACTAATATTTATTTTGATCCTTTTTAACATATCAACTAAATACCTACTAACATCAAAATGATATTTTACAATAACATTTCCTAAAGAAAGGAGGCAAATTTATCGTTCCTTCGCCTATTGATTACCCTGCACCACTTCCTTATATACATTATTTGAAAGTCGATGGTCTGACCCATTTTTACCAGTTTTTTACCGTGAATTGTAAATACGGAGCAGAGCAACGTTTGTAAATGTAATATATAATAAATAATTCTGCAAATATAAAACTTCTGGGTAGCGTAACTTCTCATTTTTTATGAAACTGAAAAAAGTTTTTCAAATCTGTACTTCACTTTACTTAGACTATAATTTTATACGTGATTTAAAAAATAGTAGACTTCCAAGAAAATACGAGGCAATAAAAGGATTTCAAAGAGGCCCGAGGGAATCCAAGGAACCAAGGATATCTGGTAAACCAGATCTTAGTGTGACCAGGTTGTGAAAAATATACCTAAGGTTTATCACAGTTCTACTAACTTTGGAGAGTTCAAAGATTGGATTGACAAAATATATTTTTTACCTTTTCTATAATAGCAACTACGGTACCTCGTCGGTATTAAGGTTTCCGGCTTCGCATCATCTTCGGTAAGAAAGAGTGGTGGTCCAGCCAGCGTTTTTTTTTCTCAAAAAATGGCTGCTCATACACTTCTCGAGAAATGGTGGCTTAACAAACATCTGCTTACACGGACAGTTTAGAGTAAGAAAAGGTAATTTGTAATTGGTTTTTTGGTTTTCATTTCCGTCTGTCTGTCTGTCGAATGTCCGGTAATCATAAGATGCCCTCGGAAACTACCAGAATCCTGGTGATTTTTTACATAAGATTGTTACCAACTTTGAGGGTGTTAAAAATCGATCTAGTGACAGCGAAGTTATGCACCAAAAACAAAATATTTACAACGTCTTCAAGCTTTTTTCGATGCTTTTTAGAATTTCATGGCGTAGTCAAAAAATATTGGGAGATTTGAATAGATCAATATGTCTTTATACTGTACAGAGTCAATCTACTTGACTTCAACTATAACGACCGAAATGAAAAGAAATAGTGCGCAATCTGGCAGCAAGGGTTACTCTCGACATGCAGTTGAATGTCACATGATTTCTTAGACTGATTACCCTGTCGAGTTTGTGAATCCAAGTTCTTTAATATTGTAATTAAGCTTTAGTGATAGGTTATTTATGATAAAAAAGACTGTTTTTTGTTTTCTTGCTTCATAATAGCTTGATTTCACTATTTTCTCACAATTTAAATGAACTTTAATATATCTTATTACGGTATGCATCCAGTATCTCCAACCATAAATGTAACTAGTTGTATAGGCTTAATGTCAAATGTCATATATTTTGTAAACATAACCTTAAATTGTTAAAGGTGGTTTTCAGAAATTTTGTAATTTTTATAATTCTCAATTCCATTTTTTTTGTGCCATGGAGAACTATAAAAAAGGAAAAAATGTTGAGGAACCATTGGATAGATATAAGATTCCAATAAAGAATTTGCCTGAAAATTTTTTGTGGATGCAGGTAATATGCCTCGCCAACTACAAAATCAAATTGACTTATACCTCTTTCTTTAAATAGTGAAGTTAATACGGACTCTTTCATTAGGTAAGAGGAGGTAGTAAGATAAGGAATCTGCTCTCACATGCCTTGAATGAGATGCCAGAAGCTAAACATATTGTGTGGACAGGTTTTGGACCATCTGTTGGCAAGACTGTTACTTGTACAGAAATAATGAAGAGAGAATATCAATATACCTTACATCAGATTACAAAAATCTGCTATAGATTGTAAGTTCTTAATTTATAAAATGTTTATGAATAGGATTGTTCTTCTCTGCATTAACTTTTTGTAACTTTTGCTGAAAGACTCTCATTTCATATATATGGGTGAGTACATAGTATTTGGTGTTCAGTGTCAACTAATAAAAATAGCTTACTTGATTTCATATTGATTATGTCATAAGACATATCGTCGGCTTAACATGCAAATGTCGTAAGTCCGAGGAGGCAAATTTTACAGGAAGGTGGAAAAACTGTTTTCATTGATGCATGACGCTTATTAATCGGAACAACCTATCATAGTATTTAATGAATAATGTTCAAATTATTATTTTTGAAGAATTTTGGCAATAATTCGTATTGGGTGGTTTAATATGGACTTACTACATTTGCTTAGGTATTTGCTAAAGTTTCGTGGAGTTACTACATTTCTTCTAGATCATACAATACGTGATTATAGTATTAACTTGTTTTGTAAACTTAACTGAAAAACGCATATTCGTAGTTTTTTGACTAGTGTACATTAAAAATATATTAATAGTTCATTTTATAGTAAAAAGAGACTAACGATTTTGTATCAATTTTTATTTTACTCACTAAAAAGTAGCAAAGTGGATAAACGTACAACACAAATACAACATAACATACAATCCTAAATAAATTGAATAATCATAAATATAATAATACTGATTATGGAGCTTAAAATGTACATACATTTAGCTTTTGAGTTACAACATTGTTAACAGGATGAAACTAACTAAAATAATTATTGGTAGATAATTAGTTTGGCACTTTAAATAATAATACTTGGAAGGGAGATATATAAAAGAAAACTTATTCCTTAAATGGCAAATTATCATAAAACTGATGGTAATCTTTGATTAAACTTGTTTTTAAGATTTGGAGATGATCATATTAGCTTTTTTTGATAGGGATTTCATTTTGGTATAACTGTGGTAGACTATCAAAGTCTGTAGATGTAGTTTTATTTGTGTTTCTAAACTCTAGGGGGACATAATTTGTGTTATGTCTCAGTTTATATAAAATGGATCCATCAGGCTTATATGTTATGGCACGTAAATCGGTCACTACAGGATCACCAACTTTTTTGCCAGGCCTTAAGGAATTAAGAAATTTGATTCTTTCAAAATTTTTGAAAAAATCATAGCTTAAATATTTCACTACATATGGACGAGGGTTTTTTCTTGCATGGAGGCAGACTCTCACATAATCTGCAGGAACATGAATGGAAGTATTTCTTAACTTTCTTTCAATGGAAGAATGCATTGAGTCTGCCTCCATTTGGGTATGACCCTTTTCTAAATATTTTTGTTCAATATTAATCCCGTAAAACATACTCATATTAATTAGTGCATTGGAAATGGTAACATTTCTATTTTGGGACGTACATCCATCACTCCACAAAATCAGTGATTTCTCTTTTTCGAGATTTTTTAACACAACTTGTTTAATAAAATAACATAATATGGAAGCATAATCATTAGCGGTTACACCACCTGCTGATTCATGCCAGATAAAACAGTAACCGTCTTTAGTTTTCATATTGTAGATGGTGAAGTTATGAACCATTAACTTGGTTTTAAAATATAGTGAGGACACATTTGATTTGGGGCTCAAAAGAACTGCCTGCATATCCATGCAATATACTTCATTTTCTGAAATTTTATCCGCCTCCTTAGCTTCTCTAGCTTCCTTCTTCTTCTGTTGGTGTATGAGAAAATCTGACTCTGAAATGTTACCTGTTCTGTGAGCTACACATTTATCGCATTCGTCCTTTTTTGGTTTAAATAGGCTTAAATTCAGTTCGTCGAAAACATGAGTAAATGTTGCTATGGAAAGATGATCAGTATTTTTTTCTTTACACCATATTTCCTTATAACACCTGTATAAATCATACTTCGACGTACAAGTAGGCTCTAAGTATATTTTGTTTGAACTGCTTCTACAGTAATGGGATTCAAGTTTAGGAATGTTTTCAAAAAAATCTTGTAAAAACTTTTTCATCCCAGTGTATTTCGATATTCTTCCTCGCTCGCCTTCCTGTTCACTAGTCCTGCTCACATCATTTGATGAATTTTCAGCAATCGTTACATTCCGCTCATTACTTCCAGTATACTTCCATATATTTACCATCCTTTCGCCCATTGCAATTGTATTGAGGAACATTTGCTTGCAGAATCATCATTTTTCTTCAAATAATATAAAGATGAAAACTGCCATCTAGAAGCGCTCTCGTCTTTCCTATTTCTGTGTCTTCTGGTTTGCTGATTTTTGACAGACATATAAACAAACGTTTTTCTCTGCTCACAGTTCATCTTATCCCAAAATTTAGAGAATATTTTTTTCGGTCATCATCTGTTAGTTTCTGACATTCTAACAGACTGTTACTTTTCTTGTTAGACAGTTTGCATTGACAGCGGGGCCCCATCATTCTTTTCGGTTTTGGAGTTGTCTTCCAGACACCATCAATTTTTTTTCTTCCTAAATATTGTTCTCCTCTTTCCCTATCAGATTTGTTTATGTTTTGCTTCCACGTATTTTCATTAACCAAATGCCTTCTTCTTCTTTTTCTAGCAGGTTCTATAGGTTCGTCGGCACCGGATGAGTCTGCAGTAGGAACGTAATTTGGATCGTTCTCACACGGAATTTTATTTGTTTCAGACAAGAATTCGTGTTCTAATATGGAAATATTGCTAGTTACGGGATAACATACGAGTAGTTCCCTCTCAAATTCTAATGGACCGGTGGGCTGTCCAGGAGACTTCACATGTTGACAATTGGTAGAAGGGTCATTATAGATTACATCACTCGTGACCGAACAAGTCGGAACTTCACTGGTGTCAAACAAATTTTTAGTCACTTCTGGAATATCCAGAACCAAAAGATTTTCATTGGAAGATGGCGTGTGGCATTCGTTTGTGGATACAAAAGACATTATTTTCATCGTCCTTGAATGATAGTTTGCCATTTTCCTGTAACAGAAACAAAATGCCACTATGAGGAGATACTTAACTGAAATTAACAAATATCTACTCTTGTCTTAGCAAAGACTAGGTTTAAAAATCAAAAACTAAAAAAAATTTGGAAGAATATGTAAATGACATTATAAGTAAACAAATAATACAGTTTATATCTTGAAAATTATCCTTGTCTTTGTAACCAGAGCCATCAATTATTTTTCATAATTTCAAGGATATATTGTAAGTCCATTTACAGGAATATGAAATAAGTATATAAAATGTAGTAAGTCCATACAACTTTTAATAACCAAATTTACCTGGAAACAAAAATGGTTACCATACGTGCTATTTGATCAATTTAGCCTTTCAACTTAATACAATGTATAGCTGATCATTTATAAACCAATAAATTAAAAATACTTACGATATTTCACTTGTAAAATGCACCTGTTATACCCACGTGTGATACACACAACAACCACATGGCCGCTAACGGACTTACAACATTTGATTAACGGTTTAGGCACTAGGTGGACTTCCGACATTTCTATTTACGTTCATTGCAGAAAACTGTAATGTGCCAGAGGCATAATATCATGCTTAACCTATAGCTTATACCATTTAACGAAAGATGGAACCAAAGAGTGAATTTTTTCCAAATGTGGACTTACGACATTTGCATGTTAAGCCGACGATATATACTATGTGATAAATATTTGATAAGGTTGTATATTGGGATTTTGACAGCTTTTATAGGTACCAGGGCAAAATATATGGCCAAGAGGGTGATATTTCAACTATAAAGATATTTCATGTTACACATTATACATTTCATGTTACCAGGTTTCGGTATGTATAAGAATAATTTATTTCCCTCTTCACGGTTCCACCAAAAAAAATACTACTAAGTTTTGCATATGGAAATAAAACAACACGTAGGTAGTTTTAAATGACTTTATTGTTTTTTGAAGTATTCTCCACAAAGATTAATACACATTTTCATGCGCTCGAACCAATTTTCGAAGCACTTATTCCACTCATTTGCTGGCCGATCCAAAACGGCATTTTTGAATGCGTCAACTGCTTCTTCTGGTGACTGGAACCTTTGACCACGCAGTCTGTTTGAAATATTTCGAAGCTTGGTGATGAATTTTGGCAAACAAGTGGTGGCATACCAATCTGCAGAAACAGTTCTTTGCTCATTAAGAGGAATTGTTGCAATATGACCCGCTTTTGACACAAATGTCGGCGACCATCTTTTTCGAAACACTTCGAGACTTTATTTGTTAGCTTTTCTTCACCTTGGAACACCCAAACAGACGACTGTCGTTTATTTTCTGGTTCATAACAGTAAATTCACGATTCATCACCACTAACAATGCTGTACACATTTTTTTGAGTTTCCGGAATTGAAACGGTCAAGCGTTTTTTTGATTTAAGTTCAGATACAATAAAGTATATATAGGGACAATGGAAAGATACTTAAAAATCTGAATGTCAGAGAACAGAAGAAAATGTAGAATTCCAACACATGAATTTTGATTTTTGGGAGCTCCTAGGTAGGGATGTTAATTATTAAAAACTTTTTGTTTATTTTGAATATCAACATATATTACGAATCATTTTATCTTGCTTTTTATGTGTGTATATATTGGGAAAGTTGTTAATGAAATTCTGGGATGTTTTAATAGTTCATTTTATATAATGTCCTAACTAAAGTATCTTTTGCTTCAATTTTGTTGTTTAAATTAATTAATGTATATATTATATAAAGTTAGTGTTTTAATTTTTTTGTAGAGCCCCGAAGAAGGATATAAATTATTCTGAAATGTTGGCAACTTTGTAACAGGAAACTGTATTTCTTTACACCCCAAGTTCAATTAATTACTAGATATATATATATAAATAAGAATCATTACCGGATTTCGTTTACTTAGGTTTAGAATATTTTTGGGAATTTTTGTGTGAATTTGGATATTCTCTTTGATTCTGATAATCAGCTTGATTCTTGTTCCTATAGGTTATTGGTAGCTCAGAGTTATTAATTATCTTCGGTTATCTACACTGGAGATACCCTCCTACGTGCCAAAATCATGTAACCTTTTTTTCTACTATTTATCACTTATCCTTAATTTGAATTTCTCTTCATTGATAATAGAGTGCCCATTCCTAGGCCAAACCCTTTTCAATGATTTTCTTTTTGCAAATTTAATAGTTTATTGAATGTGTAATTTCACTCGTATTATATCTTTCTTTCTAAGCGATTCAGTATGGTGTTGACGATCAGCAAAAAACTCTGTAGTTTTTCTCTGTTAGTTGGCTTCCTATAAAACTTATCTTCTTCAAGGCCACTCAAGATTCCTTCCTCTAGAACGTTACGTATTCTGATTCGCTTTTCTGTTTCCGTTGAGGTCGTGGTGCAGGGGTCGTTTTGTCGTTTTCCGGACTCTGGGATGATATTAGGCTGCAAGCGCCCATTCATAGACTAGCACCCTTTTATTTTTGTTGTGTAACTTAAGTTTAGTTAATTTTGTTTGGGTGCTACGTCTTCCATTCTTTTATGGGATTTTGACCCTCAGCGAAACAGAAGAAAATCATCATCTTTTCTCCTCCAGTCAGTTGCAACGTTGCAGTTTTGCAAATTGGAAGTCATCCCCTTTAAAAAGCCCTGATGTGAACAGGGCTTTTTTTTGTGTTACCACCATAATTTTTGGGACCGAGGCAAGCAGCCCCTGCCCAGTGACGTGCCCACTACTAGCCACGTTTTTTACCAGATTCGAGGACATCTCGGCCGCGCCTGACAAAGAAGACCTACAGGTTTAGTATTTAGGCGCAAAATATCTGTAAATACTTCGGGCGTGTACCATGGTAGACATTTCGCGAGGTTATCTCGAAAAATAATTTTGTCAGGTCGTATTTAAGATTTGTAACATACTTTCTCCTTTTCATTACTCGCACTCGAGTCGTGGAGCACATGTGCGTTTTGTTTTTTTTAATCAATATATTCTGATCCTTTACATAAAAATATTTAATAATGTGTCTATAGCAATGCAAAGTGTAGTTGTATATTAGTATAATAGTTACATATAGCGATTTTCTGATTTGTAGTTGGGAATCGAGCACGCCAGTGGAGCATCATACACTTTGTTCATTTCCAAGCATATTGTGCCTGAATATTAATGGTAACCTTAATTTCTTCATATATGTTCCAAAAAAGCATGATATTTTTCACTATTTGGATGGTTTATCTCTACAATTTGTCCATTTGCTTTAAATCGTCTGGCGGAACATTGGAATTCCAAATAGTGTATATTCACCCATATAATACATTCCTCTAAGATTTTCAGCTAGAGTTTCTATAGATGGACAAAATAGTTCTCTGAACAAGGACTCTTTGCTTCAAGTTAAGAACACACTATCTATTAATCTTATTTTTCAGAGTTGAAGAATATTGGGACCCCCTCCTTCCAGAGCTAGATCAAATTGTAGTCAAGAGGAAACTCCCAATGATTCATATTTATCTTAGTATAGAGCATTTGGATGCTGAAGAATTAGGGTGAGAACAAAATTTTTCTGAGCTTGTACCAAGAATCTTTAAATTCACATTCACTACAACAAAATCATGACTCTAACTATGCCTCCAAGTTAAATCTTGCTCTTCCCAATGCTAATGGCATGTGACATTTATTGGCCATGTAGTGTCGATGTATTTACTGGTGGTTACATGGAAATCCAATGATGGAATACTGATGGTAAAAGACCAGAAGTCCTTAACTTATCTCGTGGCAATAGTCAATGCCATGCTCAGGATCCAGTACTTCCCATCCGCGTGGAAGACCGCTGAAGTTATAATGATTCCAAAGAAGGTGGGTTCGATATTTCCCCAGGATTATCGTCCCATTAGCCTGCTGTCAGCTGCGTCTAAGCTCGCTGAAAAGGTGATTCTACGTCACCTTGAGAATTTCTCGTCAGATCACCATGTGATTCCTGACGTGCAATTCGGTTTTCGGTCTGAACATAGTACGGAGCTACAGGCGGTTAGGCTGGTGGAACGTGTAACCAGAGGATTCACCCTTAACGAAAGTACTGGCATCTTGCTTTTGGATGTCTCAAAAGCATTTGACAAGGTGTGGCACGCGGGCCTCTTGTATAAACTAATCCAAAAGGGCTTCCCTTTTTGGCTTCTAAAACTACTGAAATCCTTCCTTGAAGGTAGGAAATTTCGGATCAAAATTGACAATGTGCTGTCGACAACACGGCTGATTACAGCCGGCGTCCCTCAGGGTTCGGTCCTTGGACCTATCCTTTACTCACTGTACATCCATGACGTCCCTAGTCCCAGCAACTGTGAAGTCTATCTCTATGCTGACGATACTGCATTGGTGGCTCAGTCGTGGTCTGGTGACCTAGTCCATGACAGGCTGCAAAGTGCGGTGGAAGAAGTATTAGATTGGGCGGATCGGTGGCTAATTAAAATAAACCATTCGAAAACGCAGGCAATCTACTGTACAAAAAGACGTCGCGGCGTTCCGTCTGAAGTTTCAATGAATGGACTTCGTATACCATGGGAATCCTCCGCTAAGTATCTCGGTGTCATTCTGGACAAAGGGATGACTTGGCGGAACCATATGGAAGCGCTAAAAACTAAATTCCAAATTACGTTTCGGCAGCTTTACCCATTATTATGTAAACGGTCAAAATTAAGTTTGATTAACAAGATTCGACTCTATAAGGTGGTCATAAGACCAGCAATGACATACGCATGTGCGGCTTGGTGTTTTATTGCTAAAACACACATGCGAAGTCTGCAGGTTCTGCAAAGCAGGACGTTGCGCACTATTGCCGATGCCCCATGGTATGTCTCTAACGAAACTCTACATAGAGACCTCGATGTCCCTTACCTAAAGGACTACATTAAGCAACAGGCGCAGCGGCGCTATAGCCTAGCGGAATCGCACAGCAACCCTCTGTTGCGTGATTCAGTGGACTACACAGTCGAGCAAGTTCGCAAGCACAAAAGGCCGCGGCTCGCACGTATCAAATAACTCGTGAACTTAGAAAACAAATTTGAGCATTTTTATCTTAGAAAATCAAATTTTAGACCAATCAACTTGAAGCGATTTAACAAGCCTAACGCTCACCTATTCTTTCTTCCCCTTTCTCTCGTTCTCCTCTTCCTTCCTCCCTTTTTCCTAAATTGTCGTTCTGGGTACCGACTGAAGCTTACAAATGGGTGACTCAAGAGCTAAGGTCCCACGGACCGCTCTGACAACAGTGACAAAAAGACCAAAATAGTCTTCTGATTGTGTGACATTCACCTAAGATCACTATTCAACATTTAAGGGAGCAAGGAAAAATCCAAATCTTTCGGTGATCTTTGACAGGCTGTATTTCGGTGAAAATGGTCGTATCTAGACTTAAAAAAGGAATTTTGAAGCTTTAAGATCCTGGTTATCAGGTTTTCAGCTGAAAATTTAGGAGCAACAGTTTCTCATGCAATTCTAACAGCTCAAGGACAGTTTTGTGCAAAATTCAAAATCAAATGATCGTATCAAAATTTCAAAAACAGACGGGCTATCTGATCCATATGATGGCCTAAGAGGAAAAGAATTGTTCAAACCTGTGGACTAAAAAAAGACAAAAATCTTGCAAAAAATGTTTCCCAGTACTATCTGTTAGAATTGCATAAGAACCGTTGCTCCTAAAATATTTTGGCTAAAAAACCTAAAAACTGGAATCTTAAAGCTTTAAAATGGTGTTTTTAAAGTCTAGATGCGACTATTTTTCACCTAAATACAAGAACCGTTGCTCCTAAAATATTTCGGCCATAAAAAAATCTAAAAACTAGTATCTTAAAGCTTCAAACTGCACGATTTTCACCGCGAATCCTTTGCCTGTTTAGAACTTGGAAAGTAGTGGTCCATATGATGTTTAAGTCAATGTCGGGCCAACCTGTGTTGAATATAACCACTTACGAACTGATGACAGCTTGCGAGGGAAGTACAGAGTCAACTTACTCGACGCTATTTTTTATATACCATGTGTCATAACGGAGTTATCGACCATATCCACACTAACAACTCACCCTGTATAAGTTGGGGCTAGTTACTGCCGAACAATAACGGGGTATTTTCCAAACAAAATTTTTTGGTTCCAAATTGAAGTTTTACATCTAAAAATTATATATTGAGTAATTTTACATTTTTCTTTGGACAAGAAGTAACAAAAACTCGGCTTCAAAGTTTAAAAATAAAATTTGCCGCCAACTGTGTGACGTATTAATATCTGGCGTGACGTAGTAATATTTTCTCCGCCCCCTTAGAATGTGACTACATTTGTTCGGCGATTACAGTGTGACAAGGACAGGAGATCCACCCAATTTTATTCTACAGACTCGTCCGGAGCTATTTGCGTTCTGTGTCTTTGCGTTTTTGACAGATAATTTAAAGGTTATGATGCATTTTGGCGTTGTTGTTGACGATTTGGTATTGTGATTTAGCTTGTGCAGCGTGGTGCAGTGACTGATTTGGAATTTAGCTTTTTAAATACACAATTAAAATATGGAACAAAACTTCGTGAAAGCAGATTCTTCGAATTTACCGAAAGTAGATTACGAGATGATCGATGAATACTACGACACAATGAAGACTTTGTCAAAGCAAATTTACAAACATTTTGTTGTAACGTTCAAAAGAATTCAATATATAAAGGTTACAAAACGGATAACACAAAATCAACAGCACCAAACAGGGTACGGCACTCTGTCACTGTCAAAAGTCAAGGGCTTGACCCTTGTTGAACCACAATGTTGCCAAGTTATGTCGACCTACAGCTATACATACATATATAGACAGGTACACCATTGAGACAACATTGTTGATTGGAATAAAGAAGGGTTGCTAAGTCGTGAACTTTCATGAAATTCCCTAGCGCATGGCAATAGCGCTGATTATGATCCTTGATAAGATATAGTCACATTCTAATGAGAACCTTTAAAAAAATCGATTCTATTGGCTGATTTTTTCGGAGGGACATACAAGAAGTTTAAATGAACCCACTTTGGTGGTATGAATCTCAAATGTATTTTTTCAGCAACTGAGTGAAAAAAGCGCGTGCAAATTGTATACCAGTTAATAAATGGTGTAAAGAATCGATTTCAGCCATCAATAAGACAATATCAACAAGTTGGAAAATACCCCACTAGTTAGGAAACGCCTTGGGAGTGCTTTTTCAACTTTTATTTTCTCAAGCTATCAGTCAACTATGCAACTATCATCAGGAGCTGGATATGATACTAAAGTAGCAACATTTTTCAATTGACAAAGCTAAAAACTACTAATCATTGAGGCCATAGCAGCATCGAAGTTATAAAGGTATTGCACAAGCCTGATATGAAGTTTACTAACTTTTTCTATTCTTTTATCATTTCGATGTAACTACGACCTCAACGACGTGGTAATTAGTTTTTTGCTTTGTCAATTGAAAAATGTTGCTACTTTAGTATCATTTCCAGCTCCTCAAGATGGTTGCATAGTTGACCAAAAGATTGAGAAAATAAGGCATGACTTCTTTTTTTTATAGGTATCAGTATCCTGGACAAGAAATAGCTTATGGATCACATAAAGGAGGTGGTGACAAGAGGTCAAATCAACGTAAGAAACACAAAAAGAATAGAAATAAAGAACATCAACAAAGTAGCAGTAATACAGACAATGTATCTGGAAGATAGCAATAGATTTAAAAATGAATTGCTAAGATTCTTCATTCATTCTGTAAGAGCACTGGGATGTAATGATACAGAATCAGTTATTTCTTAAAATATTTGTGATAGTTTCAGACTTTTTTACAATAGATCAATAATGCGTACACTGAAAACCAAATTTTCTCCGAAGGCTTGAGTTCAATTTGTACAAGGGAGAAGTGTGTATAGACACATATGTTAGAAAAAGATAGAAGCCGGATGGATAGCGAAGCCTAGCAACGCGGACGTGGCAGTCTGCCGCGTTGACAATATGTTACACCAGGTCCTTGAATTAAGATGCATGTTGAATATATGCATTAGTTTATTCTCTACGCCCAAATAGTGGTTTTATTTTGAGCGTACACATTTTTGAATTGTGTCGAATCTGATTAGGATCGATTCCGGATCAGTCCTAACGGCTCTCCATTTTAGGTCGAAATGAAAGGTCAGGTTCGCCCAAATTGCATCATTGGTTCGCTTGGCAACACCGTATCTCGTACATTCCAAGTTAATGTTTCCACCTCCATGATGAAAGCTGAGCGATTTTGGTCAGTACCCACACCTCGCGTTCATTGGGGAGTGTCGCCCTGCTTCTAAATGGTTTTCACCTGCGTACACGCAGGCACTGATAATTTGTATTGCTTAATGGTATTACAATAACTCAGAATGTGTTGATTTTCAACATCGGTGGAAATCAAAGATAATTCTAAAACAAATTAAAACAATAAGTCGGATCAAAATTAAAATAAATTCTAATCCAAATGAAAACTAAATATTGAATTGATTGTTCGAACAGGCCCCCTTCTTGGGTTTTACAATAACCTCACCTATTTGTAGAAGCCTGTGCGAACATTTTCTGGTGTAACATATGTTGCTAGGCACTGTGATGATGACCTTCGCTCTTTAGCCGACTTCTATCTCTTTCTAACATGTGTTGATACATACTTCTCGCGCTTCGCTCTCGTACACATTGAACTCAAGCCGTCAGACACATTTGGTTTTCCCCATATACATCAGTAACAGCATGTCAATAATGCTGTTTTGTTATATATGACAAGATTTAGTCTCTGATAGAAAGTCTTTTTTTTGAAACTAACTGGAAATATCAACCCTGTTATTACGAAATATGAGATTTAGGTTAAAGGATGGAGATCAAAAGATAAATATACAAATTGTTTTATTCTCAAAAATTAAATCCTTTTACTTTGCCCTCGCTTCACCTTATTTTATAAAAAAATGTTTTTGGTGGCCTTATGAAATACACGTGTCAGCACAGAACTTGTTTCGAGTTACAGTCATATTTATATGTGGCTGAAATGGTATAAACATTGGCATATACTCTTCAATTACTAATACATTTTTTTTAATATCCATTAATAAAACGTTTAGCCGTTGACATTTATTTGATTCTCGTTTAAAAGCCCTCCCCTATCATTGGAAGGTATTTCTTTAAGTTTGTGTTTTGTCGAGACGTAAAAACATTCAAATTATATTATTGAAAAAAGGTTGATAAGTGGAATGTAACAAGCTGTGTGGGAAATATTCAGGAAATTGTTTTTCACTTGTAATACCCATACATATATGGCTTATTTTATCAAATTCCGACACTGAGCCAGCCTTTATTTGAGGTCATGTGCTTAAATAAAAATTCAAACAGTCTACAATCCTGATGCATAACTTGATCTTGTTATGAAGTATAGCCATGTTTCCAACATGTTGCATTAGTCACTGTCAAAAATTCAAACAGTCTACAATCCTGATGCATAACTTAATCTTGTTATGAAGTATAGCCATGTTTCCAACATGTTGCATTAGTCACTGTTCACCAGGCAATCAAGTTGTTCTGTGCATTTACCATGTTCTTGCCCAAGAAAGGGGTAAACAAATATCGAATGTGGCGTTTGTTTTGGTTAACATCCAGAGTCACCCCCGCTTCCGGAGATAATTCTTTAAAAATGAGTGTAAGTAAATTATGAAACAACACCATCAGTAGCTGTGATGGTATAGATGAAATGTATTGTGGCATATGTAGAAGTCAAGGATACTCTAAAGTGCTAAAGGTAGGCTATGAACTTAACACATATAGTTGGTAGACTTTTTAAAATTACATAGACTATTTCCCTTGTCTTAATTTCTACCAATCAAAAACGCGCAATTTTAATTAAATGATGCGAGACGTGTTTTGCAAATAGTGTTAAATAACATAACATGTATTTGGAATACATTTATCTATATTTTCATTTAATACAATTTTTGTACTATTGTCAAAAAAAGTCTTAAAGATTGTGATTATGTGTTGAAGATAAATGTATTTTGTGCATAATGATATCATGAAACTGTTTTAGCAAAACTGTCGAAAGATATATTACCCTTATTGGGTATATCGTATGAATCTACATTCATAAAATAATCCCTCAGGAAATATTTCCGGCAGATCTCAAATTATGAACAAACGAAATCCACGGCACATTCTTGGCATTCCTTATTCCTGGCGCATTATTGGCATTCCTTGGATAGTAACTCCAAGTCTCCAAGCAAATTGATGGCGCCACCGTCTAACAAAGGTCGACAGTGTTGCCATCGCTTAAGGTGTAGGTTCCATTTCTTCAGTGTTAAGTGTTCTGTGGCGTAAGCGTAGTTACTGACTCTATGCTAAACGCTAGTATGCCTCACAACGCACGGCATATTTGTGCTGGTGGTGCGCCATCTCTTGGTAAGGACTCAAATGTATAGAACAACTCAACTGCCTGATGTTCTGTCGCTAGCACATCACCCCGTAAACATGCAAATGTTTACACCTTAGGTAAGAAAGTACTCAGCCACAGAGCACCAACGTTCAGTGAGTAAATGCTGTTCTGAGACCGTTTACACCATGTGCCATGCGAGACTATGCAGCATATAACCACTAGGCCACTTATAAAGATGACCAATGGTTCTGATGATCGCGATCAAGTTACTGTCAAAAATATGCTAACAAACACGCATTTCACAATGAACCATCTTGCCACGCTCTTGAAGTTCCTTCTCACTGTCCCCCTGAAATAGGGGGCGGTGGTGGCGGTGCTCTGGGAGGAAACGGCGGCCTGCCCCCTTGAAAGTGGGCTAGAGGAGGGGGCCTCCAATTTGGCGGCGGCGGTCGACCTCCTGGTGGTGGCGGGGGAAACATCCCGCCGAAACCGGAGGGTGGGGGTGGCGGACCGGGAGCGGTTGATGATGGAGCCCATGGGGGCGGCGGCGGCATCATGCCACGAGGACCTGGAAAGGAAATTAGCAGTGTTTCAACTTTTGGAAAAATATTCAAATTTACTTCCCACCTGCATGCTTAAAACTGCCCAGTCATCATTGTCTGTCAAAACAAACCAAAAAGGCCGTCTCTCACTATACGAAATTTTATGCTAAATTTCGTACAAACTTAAAGATAATTTCAGACAAGATTTAGTACACACTATTGTACGAATAAGTTGGGTGCTAAATAATTTAAAAAATGTTCCACATAATACCTTGCTATGGTGCATTTGGAGCAATACAATGGCTGCTAGAAGCGCGGCCTGACAAGGAATTATCTATTTTTTGTATTAACTTATTCACGAAACTCCCCTGCTTATGCTGATTAACTTGTAGGTTAAAAAACTTGAATGGTGTCGGGGTCAAAAGAGCAGTGTGACATACTACTAAACGAGTGTGAGAAATATGATTGTTTATTTGCTATAAAAAGCAAGACCTATAAATACAGAAACGCCAAATAAGATGCGTTGGATAAAATCAGAATGATTTTAGAACCAATTAGGCCCATAAGCCACTAGATCCTCCACTAGAAGTTCTTTATTCAGCATATGGAGCATACCGAAGTCCAGCACGGGTATCAATGTTTGGCTCTGATCTGACGTAACATCTGCTTCAGAGATGGCATTATTGGAGGTTTAAGCTGTAAGTTGTATACTATAGCTGGATGGAAACGGAAGTGCTGAAAATCTGTATTGATGATAATTAGATTGGTTTCTTGTCTCAAACACACTTATATGAGATGTTTGCAAAGCTAAAAATTAGTTGCGCATCCGCTTTTTCTAATTCGACCTGGAAATTACATTCAAATTTGCTGAATTTCAAAAATGTGAGAGAAAAGAAAATCCCTGGTTTATGAGGAGTATTACAAGTAACAGGTGAGAAAATATGCTACAGACAGTAATATTTATGAAATGTAAAAAAGTTATTACTGTTGGCCAACTTCTCTCCAGAAAGGACAACATATAAATAACCTGTCGAGCACAGCTAACAGATATAATTAATTGGCAGCATATTTTCTCGCAAAGCAAATATCACTGATTGTATACACATATATAAACTTTTACTTTTAAACGTACAGTGTTTGACAAACAAGGTTGATGAACTTGAGTTGGTGGCAAAACAGCACAGTTATGACTTTCTTTGTTTGAATGAGCGTTGGTTGACTTGCGATGAAATGAATACTCTGAATATTTGTGAGAATATATGAATGTGTCTAGTTTTTGCAGGTCAAACAAAACCTACGGTGGTGTTTGTATTTATGTCAATAATAAGTTTAGTGCTAAGCCTTTGTGTGACAAAGTCTTAAACATTACTGAAGAGTTACACTTTGAGGTTGCTGGTGTCACCTGTTTGGCACACAAATTCTAACTATATATATGTAGATAACCAAATGGACACTTCGATATATTCTATAATAAGCTTCATATACTACTTAGCACTTTAGACTATACGCACAATATAGTCATATCTGGTGATTTTAATTTTAACGACTGCATGCCAACGTGATGTGTGATATTTGTGTTTCTTTTGGATTGTATCACTGTGAATGTTGAATACTAGGCAGAATGCTTGTCTTTTAACTGTGCCATGCATATATATATATATACTGGAATGTCTGGTCCATGTTAAGAATAATTACGATAATTACAGAACTCCGAAAGAGATTCACAAATATAACACAAGGTTCAACAATGAATTAATACCAGAGTACACGAGACTATCAAAAACTAGACACGGTAGTAATTATTTCGGCTTATTTTTTTTTAATGTATTGCCCACGTTTTGTCAAACACTCAACTCAACCATTTTTAAAGCAACTGTGACAAGATATCTAGTGACGAAAGATAGAGAGTTTTTAAATAATGACTTTGTTCCATAATTGTTGACTATTTGTTTTATTACTTTGTTTTCGTTTATGTTTTTTGTGTATGTGTTATTTTTGTATTACATTTTATTGTTCTCCAGACGTGTTGTAAGGACTTTTGAGTACAAACAGGAAAAAAATATTATTATTTCATAATTTTTTAACCATCTCATTTTATTTTACATCTAAATTTTAAACTAGGTTTTATCATGTTTTTTTTTTACCTTTTATTGCCACTTTGTGTTTTACGTTTGTCTTATTTTACGTATTGTTTGTTGTTTTTACTTACTCTTTTATGTTCTACTCTAACTGACCTGTGCAAACACATTTTTGTGTAATAGTACCAATAAATTATTAACATTATAATTATTAATAGACATAATCATCCAGATGCGATCTTGCTACTCAGCCAACTTTCTTTGCTTCATATCTTTAAAGAATAAACACTACAGACGATTCTGATTTCTGCATGTCGTGTCGTTGTCATTTATCCATAGATGGGCGGTTTTGTTGGCGCTCACAGTGATAATAGCGAGCAAACGTGGAATGAACTGTTTGCACACTAAAACTACCTAGTTTGCAAGATGACATTTTGTCGATTTTTACGTTTTTTTAGGTTTTTACATAATACCCCTGCAGGTCCTGCTCCCTGATCCAGTTTTGTTTACTTGGTTTTTTCATGAGGTGGGCAGCTACAACGCAGATCGCTGCTGCCGCAGTCGCATATTATATATGCGAATTACGGGATCACTCAATTTTCTACAATTTTCTATTCATTTAAAGTAATAAAGTAGTAAGCTGCAAAGAAAATTGTAGTCAGATTGACTGACGTGATAAATAGTTCGAAGTTGACAGTTGTTTTCTACCGACTGCGCATGATTTCGTACGAAATCTATTACAAAAACTTCTTTTCCTGGCAGACAGGATTGTAATTGGTAAACAAATTGGGAACTCAATTCAGCAATGCATTTTTTCACAAAATTTGATACCGAATTGTGAACAAATTTTCGTATCATGACAGACGATCTTTACTCTTGGTTTGACAATAACATCTGTCACGAAGATGCGCTAGTTCATCGCGATAACCTATGCATTTCACACGATTTGCAATAATCCAACTCCTCCATTCTCATTCTCGACACAATCTGATGTATGGTGTCTAGACCTAAATCGCAAATAGTGCGGAAGTTAAAGGTTGTCGCTATAAATTAGTTCACCTTTGGTGACCAAGGGTTAGAACCTTTAATTCTGAGCATCCAGTTCTATCTGTCACTAGGGTGACAGGAAAGAAGAGGACTAGCACTATGTACTAACACTAAATATGGTCAATGCTAAAAGTTGAGATTTTTACACAACTTCCAGGACATTATTGGAAACTGTGATGGATTACTGTTTTATATGGCTTTGTGTAATTACACGGGGTAGGTCGGGGTCCAATGGCGGCAGAGTAAATGACTGAAACTACAGTGGACTTGATGTCTGCCCTAGTAATTGCAATGATTCCAATCACAATAGTTATCAGTCGCGAGAAAGGAATCGATACCATGGAACAGATTCACCAAAAGGAGCTATTTAACCCAGTGTTGACATCTCAAAACATCCTTACCTGACCCAACCCCGGATGGTAATGGAGGTGGCGGCAACTGTTGAACTTGTCCTTGACTGGTAGCAGGTGGTGGTGGGGGAGCGCCCGGTGGTAGTGGGGGTTGCACGGGAGGCAAAGGTGGTGGGGGAATGCCAGAGGGAAAGGAAGCCGGAGGGGGTACTGGAGGAGGAGGTGGAGGTGGTGCACCGCGCATCGCTGCTAAGCCTGAAACAAGATAGGACAGTTGAAAAAAAATGTTGATTTTAATGGAAAAAATGTGCAAAATCATTCTGATCAAATAAGTTTCATCATAACAAACTACAATAGTTACCAGGTGGCATCATTCCTGTAGAAGGCATGACAACAGGAGGTGGTGGTGGTGCCAAAACCGGCATCATTCCTACTGGTGGAGCATCTGCAAACAGCTGATGAGGTCTGTCTGCTTGAGACAATGGGTTCTGAGCTGCTAGCAGCCTCTCTGCTGCTGATCCATGTCTTTCACCTGAAAACATGGGAGTTTATTATAAAAAAAAGTAAAGGTTTGAGATAATTTGTTATTCAACTTGATTTATATCAAATCAAACATATCAAACTAGCAAGACCATCAGGAGTTACCCAGAACTTCAAGTTTTATGCAAATATTAAAATTACCTAATGCTAAATTATATATTAATGGATTCCTGATATATACTTATATTTGATGTTTATCAGCCAAACATGTAGATCAAAATTTTCTGAAAATAGTTACCTTTTGAGTCTTTTTTGAAAGCATAGGAAACAGAAATAGGCCTGTTGCATAGATACTGTCCATTCATAGCTTCAATTGAGGCATCTGAGGCCTCAAAACTTGCGAAGTTGATGAATGCAAATCCTTTAGAGTTGCCAGTCTCTGGATCTCGCATAATCTGCAGGAATAAAAACTATTGAAAGCTATCTTCCTCAAATGCTATGTTGGTATTTTACAAAACAGATGATAATTACAGTAAGATATAATAGAGACAGAATACTGAGAAATACAAATCAATTTTTTTAATATGTATTTCAATATCTGAGCAAACCAATATTTGTGAACAAATTATCCTTCACATCGATTTCAGCAAAAAATTTTAATCTCTCCTATAACGTCCATTTTTAATTCAAGAATATCAAACTACCTAAATACTCAAAACCTCCACATATTAACACAATCATGAACATTTATAGATTTTTTAGATATTTACAGACTTAACACTTTTACCTTTGGTGTTTGTAAAATAACCCCAAATGCTGAAAATGTGTCATACAGCAGCTTTTCATCTACCTCAGGATCCAGATTACCAATGAAAATGTTGGCTCCAACATCCAGATTTTTCTGATGTGCTGATGCCTTGTTTACTCTGATGGGCTTCCCATACAACTTAATCATATTCATTATTTTTATAGCATAATCTGCATCTTCTTCCCCCATAAATTCCACAAAACCATAGCCCTGGTGCATCATTGTGACTCTGTCTTTTGGCATGTGGACATTAACTGAAAAAAAATTACTTTGTTAGACTGACTAAAGCAAGTGCCACTCAGAGTCAACCAAGGCAGTGACCTCCAAGCCCAATATTAGATACAATTTTTGCATCATTTTCCATTGGCTACATATTTTTCTATTAAAAACATGTTCAGACAAAGTTAAATAAAAACAAAGTTCCAGCAGAATAATTTATCAAGGGGTTCTTTACGCAATGTCACCTATTTTGTGAGAAAACAAACATTATACCATCTAACCAAACTTTTTGTTTATCACGAATTTCAACTTTATTTTGAAAACTTACCAAGGGGGCCAGCTTGTACAAAGAGTTCCCATAAAAGAGACTCTGAAACCTTGTCGTCCAAACCTCCTACGTAGATTGTGGCATCTGAAAACAAGATGTGTAGTAATGTGAAAGGGTATCATAGAAAGATCTAAATGCCGAAAGTATATTTACCTCGATTTCTTTCTGCTATAGGACCATTCGCCATGGTGCGCAATATTTATTATTATCGTTATATTCAATAATTTAATTCTGGATATAAGTTCTTTCTTAAACAAATTTTATCAAAAATTGCTACATTCCTAACCTACAAGCGCCAAGACCACAACCATAACACAAAGCATAAAATAATATACAGGGATAGATAATACTGTCAAGAGTGTCATGCACATATCTTATGCGGGTCCCACACGATGCTTCCAGCATTGTATACATTGTTAGACACCCCACAATTGGCAAGTGTCTCGGACGTTCGACGCATGGTGACGTCTTTTATCGGTGTCAGACTCGCGCTTGAACCTTTACAACTGAAGCAAAAATTATACAAAATGAACGTTGAACCAATTTTTTTGAGCGCCGAAAAATAATTTCAGATCTGTCTTCAGCGACCAAAACTTAAGTGTCAGAAGCCTCAGAATGTCAAAAAACAAAGTGTGACCGTTTTTTTATCTGGTTTTCGATGCCGCGACTGTACCGATTTTCAAAAACTGCAGAGCTGTTTAGTCATTTTTATAGTAGTCACCTAGGGTCAAAATTTCATCAAAATCCTGATAGTACTTTTAGAGTTATCATTTATTTAATCGTTTTCGTTAGTTGTGAAATGCAAGTCAATATTTTTCTCAACTAGCCTTGCATCGCAACAGGACATTATAATGATACAACTGTAAGCACTTGATAATTTAAAATTTACTAAAATACATATCCTTAGGCTAGCCGTAACTCGTCTGCGAAACGTACAAAATATTAGCAAGATGAAAAAAGTGTTGTTATGACAGCCTATGCTTTGTATGTATACTAATTTAATTCATTCTCCCCAAAAGTTAGTTACGGAACATACATTATTATGGATAGGCAGGTATTCAAATCAAAATACTTCCCACTTACCAAAACTTCACTACAATCACAGCAAGTAAGTAAATAAGTAAATAATGTTTTTGGCCGCTACTGGTTCTAATCTGAAACCATCAAACACATGCCATCTCGTGTGGGAGCGTAACGAACCATGCTTCCAACGTTGTAACGTCCTTTGATGGGGTCAAATTTACCGGCAAGAGCCCGAACGTGCCTTGTGGCGAACATTGGACACATGCAATCCGTCTGCGCTCTCCGACACGATGTGGCGAACGGTTGTGTTATGTGTCCAACGTTGTAAGATATTCGCCACATCGTGTGGAACCGGTTTTACACGATTCGCAAGCTCTAAGTGTACACGACGCCTACTCGCAGTGGGTAATACAACATTGCCAAATTACCGGATTACTTAAGCTTATGAGTTTTGATTAAACAAATTCATCGATATTTTTCTCTGAAATTAAATAACGAGGAATATCTACTATCTAAACATACTGGTTTTGTCCGTCCGACCAAAGACAGTCAAAAAGTCAAAAATGGATAGATGTTTTGTGCATTTTGGCAACTCATCAGCATTGTATAGGCTTGGCCTCAGGCTCTCATTGACACTTAATCTCACTTCCCGGATATTATAGAACAAAACTGCAAGTAGGTACTTGTCCATTAGAGGGAATTTTTAAACCGGTAATTCGATGCTTTACGTCCAATATTAAAAATATTTCCTTTTTAGAGCCCGTAATTCCTTCGTCATGTTGAATGAACGAAGACAGTGCATTTACTAATAAAACAAACGAGCACTGCAATACGTTAGCTAGCGCGCGCCTAATATGCTTGTTTTGACATGTTCCAACGCAACTCGGCACGGGTTGTCTTCGTTCTAGGTACATAAAACTTTATTTAGAATTGTTTTGACATTGTTCAAGCGAAATTGAAGGGTATGCGTTTGAAAAAAGAACTTTCATTTTTTTGGGACACTATAATGTAGACATATATGTAGATAATGTTAGTACAAAAGTATAGGTATGTGATTTTTCATCCTAAGCACTTTGTTGGTGCTCTTAGGGAGGATAAGAAAATAATTAATGCTTCAGAAGAATACGTTACAATGGTTGTTTAAAAAAAGCTGTCTCATATACATAATCCTTTCTGAAGCAATAATAAAGGAAAAAGCCATAGATACTGACTATCCTGACAACAGCCCATGATCAAATTCTTCAAATCTGGCAACGCCGTCAGATACCGGTGACTGGTTGCAATTATTAAACCGGTCCCACACGATCTGGCGAATATCTTACAACGTTGGACACATGGCCGTTCGCCGCATCGTGTGGAACCTGCATTAAAGTGAAAAATGACTGGATTTAAAATTGGTAAAGGAACAAAGATGGAGGGCAAGATCACTTGTCTTTATTACATTAAGAGACGGGGTCTTACTTACCCTTCATATCCATGATATATATCCATTGATCTGTGGCGAATATGTGTTTTGTGCTGTGATGTATGTCATATATATGTCAAAACAAATTTTGATAATCAAATAACCAAATTTAGAAAAAGTGGAAAATATTTTAGTAATGTGATTTTTTCTGATTTTTATCTCATAAACAGGTTATAATGGATAAAGTTGAGGATATGACACATTCTTATGCTTTAGCACCACTGACGGATCAGTACGTGGTACACATGGAAGAAATTGATGGTAAAATCATCCAGAGACATGCAATAATTTTGGGCATTTCAACATCAAATGTTCTCTTCTAGATGATCATGATCAACTAACAGCTGAAAATACAGATGATTCGAATCCTGATGGCGAAAAAATTGGTATACCACTCAGGGAACAAGATAGATTTTTACCCATCGCTAATGTTGCAAAGATCATGAAGAAAGCTATACCAGAGCAAGGAAAAGTAAGTTTGGGAACAATAGATAAGATTTTACGTGTGTTTCTATTTTCATGAATTTGGCCCAACCATTATCCCCTTGAACATTTTTGATGGCTAAGGAGACGCCAATATAATGTCTTACGATTCCAGATTGCTAAAGATGCTAGAGAATGTGTCCAAGAATGTGTGTCTGAGTTTATCAGTTTCATAACAAGTGAGGCCAGTGATAGATGTCATATGGAGAAGAGAAAAACCATCAATGGTGAAGATATACTGGTTGCTATGAGTACCTTAGGTTTTGACAACTATGTTGAACCATTAAAGATATATCTCCAAAAGTATAGAGAGGTAAGCAGACCTAATGGCTATAGTTATGTTGTATAGCATCTCATTTTTTCTTGTTTCAGGCAGCCAAAAGTGACAAGAACATTGGTGGTGGTGACCTGTTATATGATGAAGTACAAGAAGATGCTTTCAGTAAGTTACTCCATCTGGATGTCAGATTAGAAATTCATAAAGTTGGATAGTGTACTTGAATAACAAGCTATTGTTTTAGATTCTGCAGGAAACAACATACTTACTTCAGAAAGTGGTCAGACAGAGACAGCAGTTATATACACATATCAGGATAATAATTCTGTACATCAGTTTCAGATAGGGTAAAATAAGCAATGTAAGTTTGTTATAGAATAAAAGGTATCCTCACACTACCAAATGATCTACTATAAATAGTCTAGCGCTTGTAAAAGTAGTAAATGCAGCAAAATAATGTATGTTGAGCTTTCTTACCATATTGTTTATATTTAAACAGTTGTGAAAGCAATGCTCAAATATATTGGTATAGTTTAGAAGGCTATTTCATGCTAACAAATGAGCTGTTTATATAAGGTTGAAATGAATATTTTGATGATCCTTTTATTTATAATCTAGAAGTTCAGTGAATATATAATGTCCTCAATGTATAAACATCAAAAACAATGGTTACTAACCCTTAATCAATTTGATTTTAAATAATGTATTTCCACTTTTTTCAATAACAATGTTGATTATTTGTATAACCACAAAGAATGGTTTTCAATTTTTCATCATTTTTGACCACAGTGCAGAATTCTTTGTAATTATGATTTTGATAATTATTGTGATTTTTGAATAGGTTCATTTATTGTAATTATGATGTAGTTTCTGGATTGCTGACTGTCTGTAAATAAAAGTTTTTATATGAAAGAACAGTTTTTTATCAATAATTATAAGTTAAAATATTTTTTATTTGTAACACATTCTTATGCTCAGCACAAAGAAAAGCTCCTTATTAACTATATTTGTTACTCAATGTTCACACTGAATTGAACAGATTTGTTAAAAAAAGTTAAAGTATTTCAAAAGGGCATTTGAGACCATAGATAGGGAAAAATTGTTAATGACATTACATCACAGTGGTTTTAGAGGATCAATCAGTATTGAACATTTTATAAAATTTAGTAAATAAAAGTCAAAAAATTAAAATTGGAAATTTCAAGCATTCAAAATGTATCAGTATCCCATGTGAGTAAATTAGGGCTGATACTATTGATTATACACACACACAGATATATATATATATATATATATATATATATATATATATATATATATATATATATCACAAACATTTGGACAATGCTTTAGAACTGTTAAAAATTATGAATTGGTTAAATTTCAATGAACAAAAACACAAATAAGACAAAGTGTACATACAAATGAAGTAGTCACTTCACTCAAATATCTGGGTATATATGAAGATAGTGAGCTATTTCAAGAGCAATATAAATACATTATTTCAAAAATATCAAAAAAGATATATTACGTCTATAGAGTTTCACATAATCTCAGTATATTCCAAAAAAATTGTGTATAACACTATAATTATTCCCCACTTTTTATATTGTCTACCATCTTGTTTACAGCAAATGAAAAAATATTTTCAATATTACAAATTCTACAAAATAAAGCTATAAGAATCACTTAAACTAAAAACAAATATGCTGTTAGAAAAACTACAGTGGTTGAATGTCTGAAATTTCATGTTATTTCTCATTTTCATATTTAAATCAAAAAATCACCACCACATTTAGAAAACTTCACAAAATTAAATAGTCATTATCATAACTACGAAACTAGATATAGTATAGATTTTGATCTGCAAATCTGTATTTCAAAAGGGAGTACATATTTGAATTTAATAAATTGAATAATGACACTAAACAGTGTTTGAATTTAAAAATGTTTAAGGTGAAATTAAAAAATCACTTTATGAATACTCAAAATGCATAGTGATGTAATTTTAATAGACAAGAATCTAAAATTACATAAAATTGACTCAAAAAATGTATATACAAGGTGTCCGCAAAGATGGGGTTTTCCTTTACACGACGTGTAGATCTTGAAAACCTAAGCAATTTTTCTTAGTACCATATACATCAATGTCTTAAGGGAACCGAGATAAAGGGCTCTGCAACATCAAAAATATCTGAATACCGTCCTGTAGCCGCGACATCACCGACTGGTACAAGGTCACTGGCTCAACCCGACGACAGAACTGGGTCGGGGTCAGTGTGTCAGGTCAGTATGCAACCTTCAACCGACGGTTACGGTCACGCGTGTAGAGGTAATCGCGTAAATGTATATGCAGTGCTTACATTAATACATCTACTATAAAAGAAACATACACTTGTATCAATATTTTCCTGAAACATGGTTACTACTGCTGGGATAAGAGATATTTTTTTAATTGAGCTTTGAAACTTGAGATGCTCAGAGTTTTATATTGTACCGGAAGGGTGTTATAAATGGAACAAATTTGGTAGCTGAACGATCGTTCAAATTGGACTGTTCGGAATATCGGCGGTGTCCACAACCACCTCGATCTTATATTGATGTTATGCACATCTGTTCGAAATGTAACTTTTTCAAATAAGTAATTGGGGTCGTATACAAAATTATTTTATGATACGTAGTCGTGCCATAAGTTCTGTCCCATGATAATCTCATGATAAAAATGAAACAAGATAAGATATATTTATATGAAAGATATTATTTATTCGACAACATTTTTAGAATTCATAATCAAACAGTTTTATTCAAAATGTCCCCCCTTGGCCTTCACACACTGCTTCAATCTCGCGGGCCACTCATCTATCACTGCACGCACAGCTTCCAAGGAATAGCTGCCGCTGATCGGATCAAATCCGCTTTCAGGGACTCGATATTACGGTGGGCTTTGGAGCAGGCCAACTGCTCTAGCAGGTCCCACAACTTGTAGTCTAAAGGATTGAGGTCCGGACTCCCTGAGGGCCAATCTTCCGCAGCAATGAACTCTGGCACATTGCTTTCCAGCCAGCGCTGCGTACTCTTAGCCTTGTGAGCGGGGGCGGAATCCTGCTGGTAGACCCAGTGTTGGTTGGCAAACAATGTACCACTTAAAGGCTTGACGATAAGATCCAGTATGTCGCTCTGATAGTTTGCCGCTTTTGTTTTCACGCCCTGTTTACAGAAATGGAGCTGAGTGACCCCTTCGTAGGACACCCCCCACCAAACCATGACTGACGCAGGGTGGTGGCCTCTCTCAACTCTCGGAATGATCTCCGAAGCTTCCTGTGAACTCCTTGCATACACTTTGTCATTTTGTCGGTTGAATTTTTCTTCTATGCTGAAGATTTTCTCATCCGTGAACAAAATCTTTCGGAATCCCCCAGCTGCGTACCTCTCCAAGAGCTTCTTGGATCTTGTCGCCCTGATGTGTCGCAAGGTGGCCGTAAGTCGCTGGCCCGTACGTCTCCGGTAAGCCCCTAGCCCTAGGTCTTGTTTAATGATGCGCGACATCGTCCGGACAGGAATCTTCATTTCCCTGGATAGGATCTTCTGCTTCCGGAGTGGATTCCTTTGAATCCTGGCTTTTACGGCTTTGATGGCTGCTGGAGTCCTTACTTGACGAGGTCTTCCGCTTCTTGGCCTGTCATCAACAGAGGACGTCTCATTGTACCGCTGAATGGTCCTAGACACAAATTTACGCGATATTTGAAGGCCGCGTAAGAGTTCAAAAATCTGACTAGCACTGTGATTACACTTATGTAAAGCTATCACTGCAATACGGTTCTCTGCCTTGCCCCACTCCATCGTTATGCTTCGAGAGATCAATACAAACTGAGGTATATGTAATTACCCGAAAAGCGCTTAATCAACTGACACCACAATGTAAACAATCGGACAAGTATTAACAGGTCTACACTTGTTTGAAAACGAGGGACAGAACTTATGGCATGACTACGTATAATGTTGCGGCATGCAAAAATCTTCTTGTTTCCATGTTCAACCAATTCGCATCTTTCAACTTATGCGATATTCGGTCTCGTCTTCTGATGCCATATGTTAATCTGAGGCAAGAATTCTGCGCAACCTGAATTTTTTGTTTGTAAGTGGCAGTTAAGCACGGGCCATACAACATATCAGAAAAATTGAAGTGCGAGAGCACCAACGATTCGCATAGATTTATTTTGACTTTAACGGGAAGGTTACGTCTGTTGCTGTACAATATTTTTAAAGAGGAATATGCCTTACGAATGAGCGAATTTACATGTTTTTCAAATCTTTTTTTTTATACTCCAACTACCACGAAGGCCTAAGGCCTAAACACCCATTGGGTACCTTGGGGCTATAGGGGGATACAGGAAAAGGGGGGACGCCACACGGACTCTGGCGAGGGAACACGTGTGCATGCAACATGCACACATTCTGGCTCCGCCTACGAGATCCGCCGGGTGGTACCTCCACAGTCAGAGACCGTCTACCACCTACGGACAATCACAACATCCATAGCCAAGAGAAAAATTTCTCCTGGGACGGGACTCGAACCCGCACAGCGCACGGTGACTGATCAGGAGACCGAAGAGTCTACTACTGCGGCCACCGCTGCTGCCTGAAATTTACATCCAGTGTTACACCCAAGTTCTTTGCTTCACTGACAGTTTCAAGTTGTTGTGCATTGACGGTAAAGTTAATTGAGTTAGTAACAGCCTGGCGCGCATGCTTTGGCCCAAATACAATTACTTTAGATTTGCTAGAGTTAAGACGTAAACAATGTTCTTCGGCATTCTTTGTCAATAATGATAAATCTCTGTTGATGGTTGCACTCACAATGTCCACATCACTGGGTAGAAAAGTATGATACAGCTGAGTGTCATCAGCATAGCAGTGCATTTTGCAAGTATTTAAGCCTTTGCCCAGGTATGAAGTATAAATTGCAAAAAGGAATGGACCCATAATAGAGCCTTGCGGCACGCCTGATTTTAAGGCTAATACGTTAGAATAACTTCCCTCCAAGAAAACCTTTTGCTTTCTGCTCTTTAGATACTTACTGAAAAAGTTGACACTTTCCGAATCGAGGAATATAAAATGCAATATATTTAGGAGTAAATTAAAATTGATCGTATCGAAAGCTCGACTAAAATCCAACATTATCAAAACTGTACACCTTCCCTGATCAGTGGCTCTGATAATGTCATCTGTTACATGTAGAAGTGCAGTTGTACAGCTAAAATTCTTTCTAAAACCAGATTGAATTGGAGAAAGCAAAGAAAAATTTGATAGATGTTCCATTAATTGCAACTCAACCGCTTTTTCTAATAATTTTGACAATGCTGGTAAGATGCTTATTCCTCTGAGGTGATTAAAAACTGAAGGATTTAGCTTTTTGGGAATTACTTTTACAACTGCACTCCCCCGTGCTTCTGGAAAAACATTTTGAATCAAACAACAATTTATTATATGCCTGATATAAGGAATAACATGTGGACAGCAAAGTTTTATTAGAAAGATACTCAAGCCATCACAGCCTGCAGCATTTGTTTTAATACCAGAGATAGCTTGATATATGAATATTTCATCAATTTCTCTAAATTTGAATTTGGAGATTGTCAGACAGTTATTTTTGTAAAAATTTATTAAGGAATCTGGAGGTTCACTTGGGGAGATTTATAAAAAAATCATTCAGAAGGTTCACATCCATTAGGTTAGGGGGCAATTAGTTACTAAAGTTATTTTTTAGCGTCTTGTTTTGTTTTAATATCCTCCACATTTGCTGAGAGCTGCTATGTAAGAACTTATGTAAGAAATACGCTCTTTTCTCTCTTCCAATAGCGCTAGTGACATAATTCTTTAAATCTTTATAATACTGTAAGTGCGCATGAGTACCTGATCGTTTATATCTTTTAAGTGCTTCATCACGGAGCTGCTGCATTTGTTTGATCGTATCAGTCATCCATGGCGCCCTACCTTTTGTAACGCGTTTTCTAACTAAAGGGGCATGTCTGTCGAATAATTCAACTAAGCAGTTAGTGAAAAAGGCTATTTTCGTATCAATGCTGTCTTGGTCGAACATTTGGAAAAAAGATATACCACGGAGATCATTCAGAAAATGTTCCTCATTGAAAAACTGGAAACTTCTATAAGTGATAAATTTTTCTTTTGAATGTGGATTACCAACTGACATTTTACAAAAAACCAAAAAGTGATCTGATACCTGGCCAACATCAATTATTCCTTTGTCTAAAACAAGTTCCTCCCGTAATAAGATAAGATCCAAGAGCGTTGCTGCAACACCCGATATTCGCGTTGGTCCTTCAATAATTTGAATTAGCTCGAATACCTCTAAAACAGAATAAAAGTTATTAACAGCACTATTCAAGTCCAACAAATTTATACTAAAATCTCCCGCTATTATAACATCATCCACAGTAGGATATATCAAACTCAAAGCTGTCTCAAATTCGTTCAAAAAGTTATTTATTTCGACATATGGAGGCTTATAAACAACACCAATCGCAAAACGTTTATTATACAACTTAACAGTAATCCACAATTGCTCACTAAATAACTTTTCTTCAATTTGAATCAATTCACTATTAATGGTATGCTTTACATATATGAGTAATCCACCACCCCTAGTATGTCCATCAATTCTGTATAAACTAAAATTATGAATGTGCACCGCATCATCATGAATTCCAGCATGTAACCAAGTCTCACAAATTAAAAAAATATCAAAAGAGTGCTCAGTGATTAGAGATCGAACATTAGATATAGATGGTAACAACGATCAAACGTTTAAGCTTCCTATGTTTATATTTTGCATGGTTATCGAAATGAAGTCAACCAGTTATAGCGCCTACTCAAAATAAGATAGATACAAGATAGTAGATAAAAGATAATATATATATATATATATATATATATATATACACATATATACATATATACAGGGTGACTTTGAAGTTGAGTCATTAATTTTCAGATAATGATTGTAGAAGGAAGATAAACCAAAATATGTGTGTAAAAATAAAAAAAAACAATTTACCTTGTTTTATAAAGTATCCTCCCGACAAGTATTTCAGTGCGGACCTGTATTTGATCGTGTGGTCTTGGAGCACCGGCATGCCCTCTCCTGTGAGGTCTTAAGTCACGTGATTCACGATCCCTTTGTACTACATTAACAAAGGCACGAGGGGTTGGTTGCACTCGATTGGGAAACCGATCCGGATAAATCCGTGATGCCGCGGCAGCATTTTGTAAAGACTCCTCCCCCCCGGTAAATAAGAATCATGTCCACAAGTTCAGCATTTTCGTAAACATGTGCCATTTTTTATTTCGTTTGGGCGACGCAACAAACACCACTATTCACTCACGCGTTACCGACTGACACATTGACTGAATACAACTAAATAAAAACATCGTGATAAGCGTTTCAAATTCTTTCGCTTTTTTGTTTCCGATGCGATGAACCGATAAGGCGGATTATATCCGTTGTTGCCAAAAACGAGCACATAATATTATTATTGAGACAGGGCGGTACTCAAACTTCTAAACGGCTATAACTTTGTTACTTTAATTTTACCAGAAAAATGTTATAGGAAAAAAACATTTCTTTTGATCAGATCTACTCACTGTTAAAATAAATGACTCAACTCCGAAGTCACCCTGTATACACGCATATACATATATATGTAGGTTACTAGAATTAAATGAATGTTGTAATCTGCAAAAAGTTGTTGGTCTCAAAAAAAGTGTTGTAGTAGTAGTAGTAGAAAGATTTATTTAGCACATTTGGCTACATAAACAGAACAATTGTAAACAACTTAGAACTAGTAAATTCAAGCCATATGGTGTATGATGTAAATGCTGGGCAACCTATAATTGTAGATTTAACAAGTGATTTCTCAATTTTACTTTAAATTTTGTCAAAAACCCCAACTTTGCGGACACCCTGTATATATATACAATAGTGTAAATGAATTATTTGACCGGTATTTACAGCCCACACACAATAATTATCTCCTACCATTCATTCATGCCATTCTTTCCAGTCACGAGAGCGTATTAACAAGCGAAATAAGTAAAGGACAATAGAAATACCTTCAAATGATATACCACAATAGTAATTTGAAATTAAAAATTCAAAGGTACCAACACCACTCTGGGGGGATTTTAGGTAGGTTGTTTTTATGCTGTTTCTTCCAATAAGTGACCTGTTTCGGAATTATTATGTCTATGAACAGTAATCAAGATAACCAATTTTGAACTATTGAAATCAGAAGGTAGAAAACCTTGCAAATGGGGCACTTAACGGCGGCCGTCATTTTGCCGAACCATAGTGTCATCCAAACATGCCCATAGCAACAGCCCGTATAGTAAAAAAATGACGTCAAGTAGGTTGACTACACTTCCTACGCAATGCCGTCATCAGTATATAATGGATCGTTACGAACACGCATAACAGCAATTAAACGGATTAAGTCAGTCAAACAGCCCCATACAATTAGTCCACAGACATTCATTCATGTCCATCTGGCATGTCGCCCTTCCCATATATGCGGGGTATCGCTGCAGCGACATATCCTTCACTTCGTGCACGGTCCATGTATACATTTTTTGGCTGTAATACGGATAGATTGCTTAGATAGCAGATAATACAAGTACGTGTATCGAAAACATGTTTCTATCATTCTATTGTTAAAGGGTAAATGTACGGGGAAACCTATGATCTGTAAAATATAGCTAATAGATGCATAGAATTACCGAGGTTGGGAGCTTATAAATATACTAGGATTAAACAAATTTATATACTCTCTCCCATCCTGTCAACCCCAAGTTTCAACCTCTACAATTTTTTTCTGAAAAAGCGGTATTATTTTTTATAGCTGTTGGATTTCTTCTCCGCCGCCACTGAGCCGTTTTCTAAAACTAGAAAGCATTTTCGTCCTTGGTATAATACTCGTAGCAATACTGAGTGCAAATCTCACTTCTCAAGTTATAGACAGACCTATGGAAATGTGACATAAGCTTTGTCCCAACCCGTCGTAGAACCGTGCTGGAACGGTGACGCGCTTGCGCATTTAGGAAAAAGTATTCCAACCTTGTCCGTCACAGTAATAGAACGGTTCTGTATTATGTTCCAACCCGTTTTGGGATCGATTTGGTACGGTTTTGTTACGGTGATAGTACCTGCACTGAAGCGAGAACTAAAGGAACTGACATGCGCAGAAGAGCTACTGTCAGGTGATTTCTTCTAAGCCTAACCTCCAAACCTTCTTGCTTGGATGGTGACTGAACGTGTTTACAAAAAAAGATAATGATTCGACATTTTTCATCGCGATGAGTAGTGACGACGAAGGGAACATCGATTTTGAATTGTTTTCGGATAGTGAAGACGACCGGATTTTATTTCATGGTTGCTGATATATGGTCATATTTTTTAGTCCATAAACAAATCTACATCAGCGATTTTGAAGTTATTGCAAACGCATGTGTATCACAGTCCAGGCAACTGTAATATAAAATATCAGCGTAATGATTTTTAAATAATGCTGTTGCAGGTGGAATGAATCTCAAATTTTGATCAAACGTTTTTAACTCCAAATTACCGTCTAATAACTTAATGTTACGATTTAACTTTATTCAAGGCATGTCATACTTCAAGAGAGGGTCAAGTGTGAACAGCATTGTCGCTAAATAAGCGAATTAAAAAGAAAATCCAAAGTTCCTCATAGCTAGGCAGAACAATTGGTAGATCAGGCAACATTGCCCATCCTGTCAGGCACAAAACGATTTCGAATCCGTTCCAACATCTGTTACAGTCCAGAAACGATCCTAGAACCACGACAGGCCGCGCATGCGTGTAACAGGGTACCTCACGATAATCTAACGGTTTTGGTACGATACTAGCACTAAAGGTTTGGACAAAGCTATAGTGTTTCGTGATGTACATGTCATGTAACATTAAAAGAACAATATATGTTTACGTGATTACAATACTTTCTCGCCCAATGGCGTAGAAAGTAAAACAAAGCAGCCAATTATTTGCTAGTGGAAAGAGCAGGTAAATAAAACAAGCCAGTACATATCAATATTTTATTACTTTCACATAGAACAACGAAAGATGGTAGAACGTTTGCATCATTTAAATGCTTAAAAACCTGCCGAAAGTGGAACTCAAATACACAACAGAAGACGACGAATATATCATGAGAGGAAGGGTGGCGGTGTTGTCTTGACTCCTGAAACACATAGTTTTTTTCAAGTCAATGAATACATGCACCTTTTGTAAGGAATTTAAATTGACGTTCTTTATCACGGCATCCCAATAGCGTAAATCTATGTGAATATATTACGAATCTGGTATTGCAACTACGTACCCGTGCGACTGCGATTAAAGGTTTGTTCGTACAGTGGTCGGTAACTTGTCGGTGACTGTGTCTGAGATCCGGAAGTGTGAATTCCGTGTATAGCGTAGCAAAATGAACGGAATTTTGGCGGCTGTGTTTATAATAGGCCACCGCTGTGGAACAAAAACTCAAAAAGTTACAATAATTGAAATGTTCGAAATCGGCTGTGCTGAAGTTGCATTTGAAATCGATATAGCGATTGCAAGAGTAAAAAAATTGAGCAACTTAAGAGACCAATATACTGAAATGTGTTATAACACAATCTAAAATATCCGAAGAACTTGATGGGTTGTAATTTTATATCCTCAAAAAGGTGGTGAGATTCACCCAGTTGCTTATTATTGTAACTTTTTCAGTTTTTGTCTCAGAGCGGCGGCCTATTATGACCTCAACCAAAAGTTTAATTTTAGTGACTGATAACGGTCGAGCATACTTATTTCGATAACGGATCATGTGTACGTGAGGCGTAACGGTACGCGTACACCAAAACCGATTTATCGGCCGATGTCGGGCCGGAGCTGTTCGGACGACTGTCTCGAACGTTCGTCTGCATACACTACGGCCATCGGCGGACGCTGCTCGTCGGCCGTCAATGTTGAATACAGACTAACAGATTGAAGACGTGTTTTTAAAATGGAGGACTTCGAAGAGATGAATCTTGGCCTACCGCCAGTTTCCGGCTTGACGTCGACTTCTGTATGTACTTTTAACGCCTGCACACCCGCTAAGTTGGGTAGTGGTCTGATTTGCTAGACGGATGCCAAAGGATGAACTGATTTGGGTGCAGTGTCTTTTATCGAAAGTCTTGTTTACCTTGGTCATGTTTGATGTAAGTCGGTTCAGATGTTCAAACGATTTATGGGTGTGAACAACCCAAAATAAGCAAACATGCCTTAATGGGGTATCACATGGAAGTCTGATTTGTAGATAACTCGCGTACTCAGCAGAGGGCTTTAGGGCTCAACCCCCCACATAACCCACAGCCTGGTAGGTATTTACACATATGATACAGCATGCTATTACTTAATGTAACATGTGAAACTTATCCTGTCGTTTACATGTCGATAATCGCCCATGCTTGTCTGGCCTACAAACCACATGTATTAACAGATCTTCAGACAAAGTTTCAATCACAAAGTTAAGAAGATCTGAAAAAAAGTGGTTTTATTGGCCAGGCAACCAGGGGGGATTGTGCTATTCATTTTGAGACGTGTAACGCTCTCCCCCGAAGGAGAATCAGGATTGATCGTTAATACGTCTTTGAGCTCCCGCTTCCGTTGCTCAATTGTCATAAGGGGATAAGGGCATTCACTCTCAGAAGCACTGATGCAGACGACCTCTCCCCCACTCTTCAATTTTCATCTTCTGGAACATGAATCCTGAGCCCCCCAGAACTTTTTATGAATACACCAGTGTTATAGATTTTAATAAAAATCGGTCAAGTCGTTCAGAAGCTAGGCCCATTTTTTCTATACGATTTTCAACCACAGACGCAAAAACTTCCAAATGGATACACAGATTTGAACGCGTTTTTTTCTGTATCGGGGTAAATATTTAATGCTGCTTTTCGAATAAATCAGTATCAATACGAGACTCCTTGAAGGTCGGTTTTTTAATTTGCCTAGCAAATAACTTGTATAAATAAATACTAACCTGAGGGCTTGATGATCAAGTCAGTAAGGTATCATCAAGCTCTTCTTCTTTTCCCTCGGGCTGTGACAAGATTTTCTTCAAAACTTTACTGACAACGTCTGATAAGGATTCTCTGGCTCCTACGTCGAGAATACTGAGACACCGCTGAAAAAACATATCTCTATAACTAGTCATATATGCGTTTGAGCACATAGGAAAAATATGTAATATGTATAGAATAAAATAAATAAAGACAAACCATTTTACACTGCCCCGAAAGTTAGATATTGATCTAATTTGGAAGAAAACAAAGATGTTCAAAGCCAAGCATGTCATGCTATTTTTTAATACAAAATTCTTACCTGTAACATTTGATCGCCATCTTTGAGCTTCAACACGCCGATGAGCGCAATCTCACAGTTAGCTTTGACATACACATTCTTCTCCTTGGTACCGTTCACCAATGTGGGTATGAGGAGCTTTAGTAGATCTGCGGACATCTTTTCTTGAGGTACTGTCTTTGATAGGTGGAACGAGATACGGGCTAGGAGCTGTTTCACATCGTTACTGTTGTTATTCATTGTCTGCAATGGAGAAAACGTGTCATTTAGTTATAGTTTCTCGATATTGCACTGGTTAGGGTATTAGTGCTTATTCTGCATTAAAGAAAGGGCATTTAGTCAAAATTACAGCAGTTAGGCTTAAGTAATTTTGTTTTGAGAAACTTTAAAGTTAATGTTAGTGACACTTTCCAAATATATTATTAGATATTTTAAGAGAGAGCTTTTACTGCAACAACTTCACCAAACTTTAACAACTTACCCTGACAAAAGGTACGACTAGATTATTAGGTACAGGTTGCTCGTTGATCAGCAAATACTGCAGGAGGTACCCACAGGATCTGATCGCAATTTGAGTTAGACAGACAGACTGTGCGCTCAGTTGGCTCAGCAATGTTTGGATCAGTCTGTTTCTGTATTGTTCGTCCCACAGTCGATCAGGGCATTCTTTCAGGGCAACGGAAAGGACCCACCCTCTGCCTTCTTTGACTGTCTCTTTTGCCGAACTATCATCATCTGGAAAAATATGTAGAGATCATAAAATTCATTGTTATATCCAACGAATTCGAATCGATTAGAAGGAGTTTAGCCTATATGTTTACATTGCATTGTTTGTCATCAAAATTGTGTAGTTTTAGTGCAAACTAATAGGTTGGTTAAATATGACAGTTATTTAACCTTTATACGTAAGTTAATTATCTCTGGAACTCCATTTTATTTAAGTGAAAAACTAATTTTTAGATACAATGATCATCCGTCTCTATTTAAACGGTCCTTTTTAGATTATAGAACAAAAAGCCAGCTTCTACTCGTATATAGTTTTTGAACACATCTAAAAGCTCTTGTGCTCAATGATGATTTTTGAAGGTGTTTTCCTCCAGCATTGTACTTTTTTGCTCAGACATCTTTAGGTTGTGATCAGATTCTTGCGCATTTTTCCTCCTTTCAATTTATGTGTAGTATAGCTGTACTTTTCTACCATCTAATATTTTCATGCAGTAGCTGTTATAGCTAAACTTGCTCACTAATTTCATTAAGGGTAATACATGTATTATCTGTAATTTTAAATAAAAGACGGTTTATTATTATTACGTTTGGTTAATTTATTTACCATTGCCTACCAAAACCAATACGGGGTATACTCACGCAGAGAAAGGCAGAAATACTGTCCGTGTTGCGATGTGAATGTGAAAGAAATGAAAGTAAATATGTATTGAAGGAACGACATATGAACAATTCTGCTTAATTCGTGCTTTCGGAATGCGAACAATACGAAACGTTCTCTCTATCAAACAGCAACAATGGCACCAGTATTCACCTAATATTGGAAACAGTGGAACACCTTGCATGAATTCTACTGGGTTTTCTAATTAGTTGTGATCAGGGCAGATTCCTGGCAAATATCTAGTTTAGCATAATATGGAAATTCCTGCTATTATATCATTGTCACTATATTTATCCAATAGAAGATTTGAAAGTATTTTAATGAATTTGATATTGATAGTTTTTTATGGGCGTACTGAGCTTCCTTCATATAACCCCGTGACACCAAAATGAGATCGTAAAATAACTACTTATAACGCGAAAGTACCTTTCCTAAGAACTTTTAGATTCAAAATTAAAGTAGATAAAGTAGAATAAAGATTGTTTTTATTCAGTTTAAACTGCTTTTGCAATTCGTAGAAAAATATGAATTTAATGTGAGATGTCAGCAAATGTCACACTGGCGGCTTAAGCCTGATCGTATGAAGTATGAACTTGCATTCTGGCTACTAACTACGTAATATTTGGCGACAACCCAATCGTAAGTTTTCTCCTTCTACTTAGTCCAAATTCGTTGTTATACCAATACGATCAAAATAAAGATTGATTTTCCAAAATTTTAATTTGGACGAAATATCAATATTTTGCTTCAAAAAGTGTCTTTTTCTATGAACGAGAAGTGACAAAACTTGCCCAAAGGGAACATTCAAGTATTACGTACGCACTAGAGGGGGGCGGGGTCTTCCCTTATTTTTGACGACATGGGGGATCTAGGTAGTGATTACATCAGCAATATTTATTTTTTTACTCGTTCGGATTGCCTATAAAAATTAGCTTCAAATTGTAAAATGTACCAAAATGATTACGTGAGCATGGGTGGTGGAGGGGGGTTAGATATTTGCTTACTTTTACAAATATCTAACGTAATACTTGAACGGCCCCAAAGTTCAAAAGTAAAATTACTAGCCAAAGCTGTGAGGTAATAAGTTCTGGCAGAATTTCGCCTTAAAATGTGACTTGTGTAGTAAAACACCCATCAGATTGGGCGCACTTTAACATAAAAGTCAAATCGAGCGAAAAAAAAATGATAATACTGCTAAAATGGCGTACCACACAATAATTTGAATAGACTCTTTAATTCAAAGTAAAGGCAAAAAAACTGCATACTTTCCAATTACCTTAAGTTAAAAAAAACTTCATACCGTGAAAAGGGACGTCAAGTAGATTGACTCCGAAGTTCCTACGTAGTTACGTATTCGTTTTAAAGTGATATGAATCATTCTGAACTGTTCAAGAGACTTGAAAATGTCACATTCCCCCCCCACCTGGGAAGTTAATTTTGATACATGGATGTTCTGTTGTGTGTTGTCTAAATCACGCACCAGATCGGTCCAAGATTAACATAGGTACATCGTATCGCTGGAGCAGGTTTATTTAATAATCAGTTAGTAGTAGATGATTTACGGAGTAGTACAGTGTTGATACTATGCGGTCGGTCTAGTTACCAGGTTTCTACTTACTTCTTAAATAATGGAAAATAAGAACAATCTTACAATTATCACACACACACACACAGTAGTAGTGGTAGAAGGGAGTATATTCCAAATACACAAACCTGCGCTTTTAATAGCTGAAATAAACTGTTCACGTCCGCTTTTCGTTTTTTTGCACGTCTTTGGAAAAATCCGTACATCAAAGGTCAAGTTTTCGTCCAAAGAGAATAGTAAAAAAAAACAAATACACTTACACTTTTTGCATATTTTTTTTGAAAATCCTCTTTATCTATGTGAAGAAATTTTACTTACTCAAAATGTGTTCGCTGAGAGTTGAATCTAATTGTTCAGGTGATAAATATTTACAAATGGCACCTAAGCAACCAGCTGCGCATTTTCGAACTGTATCCTCAGGTTGTCCTAGTAACGTCACTAGAGTAGCGTGAATTTGTTTTTTCACAGGTTCAGACATTTTTTCGCCCGCTGGTGAGATGATTCCTCTCAATGCATGTAGTGTCGTTTCCCTGTAATTTGCAGAGTTTAAAGCATTCTGAAAGGATTTGGTTTTATTCCATTTTTTGAGCATTTTGAATGAATAAGTGATGAAGTAAGTCAAGCGACATTTTTTTGTGTCGTACATGCTTCCTAAGAATCATATTTCTTTATGTCTCTTTGAGATCCACTTACTTGATAGAAATGTCTTCAGTATTTTTGATCGTATTGTGGAGTTCTGTGAATAACGGGTCAGCTCTCTGATGAATGACGATCAAATGACTTAGAGCAGCCGCAGATTTTAGTCTAACTGTTCTGTTCGAATCATTCAGCGCCTTGACAAACGTAGTTTGCAGTTGAGGCAAAAATTGCTTCAGCATTATGCCCACCTATAAAATATTCAAAATTAAAAATTCAAGCTGTGGAAGGAATATGTACTGGTCCTGCGTCACAAAATCATATTGGGCTGCGAAATGTGCTGAGATAAATAAGGCACTGTTATTCTAAATACTGAACAAATTAAATTGCTTGTCACATCAACTGTAGCTTTCCTGGAAGACTTTTAACACTGTTGCGCCGAATGAAGCACTTCAAATGATGCAAAAACGCTATGGTTTATCAATCAAAGTGGGATATTCACATGAATTTTGTCATTAAAAAATTAAGATATCTACTACATACACTCTAAATTCTTAGTAATATACATACTAACCTCACATGAAAATAATATACAACTCATTTATTGAAAGTCATAGGGCATATGCTATAACAGCGTTGGGTGCAGCACAAAATTTGTACATTCCACCATTACATCTATTACTTAAAATGGTGTCTCAGAAGTCGACATCAAGCCGGAAACGAGGTTTAGGCCAAGTCTTAATAGGTATCAGGAAAATATGAAAAAAATCTAAATGTACTTTTAAAATAATTATAGGCTTTGAATCTGAAATATCGAAAAAATCTACACCCTGTAATGCTCTTTTAGTTCCCATTACTACAAATTTCAATTTTTTCATAGACTGAGTGACGGAAAGTGTCATTCTACTTAGGCCCGTATCGTCAGTCGTCCCTACAATTGTAGGGCGCGTTTATGGCCTCCTTGATTGTCATACTCCTTTCTCTGCTTCAAAAATTTCTAGATTACACTTGTCCCGTGTCAGCGTCAGCGCTCTCCTATTGTAAAGATATGTTTTCTTTTTAAATTGTAGGAAATTTCAGGCTGATAAAACATGATATAACTCAAAAGCAAGCACAATTTGATGCAAATAGATGTTCGTGACATAACCTCAAAATAGAGCGCTGACACGGAGAAGTAGAAAACTATGACAATCAAGGAGGCCATAAAGGCGCCCTACAATTGTAGGGACAACTGACGATACGGACCTTAGTGACATGAAGGCAGATGCTAACGACACTTCTATTAATTCGTGAATGGATTTATTAAATTCACAATAAGTATTCAAACTGCCTTCCTGCAGCAGCAATGCAAGCTTGACATTTTAAAAATGTCAGACGGGCGAATCTTCCGTTATTAACAAATTCAGCTGCTTCCGTTATTCTGTCCCGTAGCTCCGCTAAATTTTCGATAGGCTTTGAATAAACTTTCTATTTCACCCCTCCCCAGTAAAAAAAGTAGGATGGATTTAAGTCAGGCGAACGGGCTGGCCATGAAATTCTACCAGACCGCCTGATCCATCTGTTCGGGTAAGACATTCTTGTTTAAAATTATAGAAAAGTGCATAAAATTATTATTTTCTATTCAATTTAGTTCATGTTGCTTTATGGAGTATTTCACAAGGGTAATTATCTTTTTATGCCACACTCACGCTTTTTTATTTATTCATCTACTGTTATCTATTTTCACAGTGTGCCATATTTTTTATATAATAATCAAGTATTTAAATTTGAATTTTTATAATCTTTCATCAACTGGTGCGTATATAGAAACCGAATAGCGACGGCAGTTCCAGCAACCACTAAGCAACTGGTATAGATGCCGTTGTTTTGGTGAGAAGGCTTGTAATTGAACAAATGTGCCGAGTCAGGTGCCGTCGCTAGTTGCTTTCGGAAAGAAGGGTTGCTGAATGACATAATTAACAAACGATTGCTCCAATTACCTTAGCTAGCAGTGTTGCCAAAGCTTCAAGCACAGCCGTTTTGACGTTAGCTCCAAATCTGTCACCCAAAATCCTGATCAGAGGCCCTGTGATTGCTACTACGCTGGGTTGTAGTGCTTGAGCGCTGGTCACCTTTATTACCTGTGAATAAACAAGTTAATCAATCAATTCTAAAATAGCACTTGATGAGTACATATGTTCGTCGTTGTGCATATCTTATTGCAAAAATATGCTCCAAATACTATCCTATCAGCCTGCAACCCACAAATCAGGCAAATATCAGCAACACAGTAATATTTTGCTATCGGTAAGCATGCTGGAGGATTTCCATTGTTTCCCTTAAGTTTTCCAATAAATAATAAAGGGTGTGTCTCAATAGGTACTTTGGGATTTTTAAATGAAACTATCAATTTTGAAAAATTGTTTGTTTATATTATCGTGTGAGTTATTATATATAGACCTAGAACCTTGCTCGGCCATGTAAGTCGTTTTGAGATAATTGCGTTTGAAATATTTTTCTGGTATTGTATTGTATGCAACATAACACGATTTATAATGTAACTTCCTTATTATTAGATATAACATTTTAGGCAAACATAGTAACCTAGTCTGGCTTCGGGGTACAGCAATAATATTCTTCAAATGTACCTTTCAACTGAGAAATATTTTGCATTAATTGTCTACGGATTTGTCAAGTGGGTATCACCGGCGCAAGAAACCACGCGGCCATCAGGGCAATAGGTCTGTGACCGTATTGAAATCGCGATAATATTCGAATTTCAGTTTACAAGTCTTCTGTTGCGTAAAGATGTCTAATCATATTAGCAAATCTCCCAGAAATATTTGTGAAGTTTGATTTTATTGATGGAAGTTGTTCAAGGGCGTATTTAAAATATGGACGTATAAAATGGGTACACCAATTTTTTTGAGAAAACTTTTTATTCAACAGCAAAGACTGAGAAAACGTGTATTTTGAGATTCAATAAAAAATGTTCGCATGAACAAAATAAAAAGGATTTTTATGTATTTACGAGACCAACAAAATGAGACCACACATAATAAGATCCGGCTAATCGCAAAAAAGTTGACTGTTATAAACAATTAGAATAATCTTAAAAACTATAATGATACAATGCTGAAACTTTAAATAATGTATTAAGGAGTAATACCGAGCATTTTGCCTAATTTTTCAGACGTTCAGTTCGCTACAATTGGTTGATATTTATCTCGAGTTTATTTTCCAACACTTTGAACTCGCAGTCGTTTTAGTGGTACGAGATTGCGATAGCAAACGTATACTTTTAGAAAAAAGGTCCAGTGAATTATATTTATTCGAAAAGAAACTGGATTACGTGTCCTACTTATTTGACAAAGTCATGCAACCATAATTGTATCTTTAGTTTGTGTCCTAAGTTGATAAACAGTTCAGCGCATATCTGTAATAAATTATTTTTTTTTATAAACTTTAGAGAAAATTTCCATGGCAAAGTGAGAGTGCGTTCGCACAATTATGATGCGTTGTTCTGTCCATGATTAAATTTCCGAATCTGTAGATGACACATGTGCAATATTTAAATGTTCCAAATTTAAGTTCCGGACTACCTATTGCGCACTGTGTACAACTTACCTCAGCCAATCCTTGGGCAGCCGCCTCTTTCTCATCCCCATCACCATTGAGAATGGCTTCCCTGAAAATGGGTAATACTGGAGCGATACCTTTGGGCAGACAGAATCCGGGCAGCAAATCGGGAGGCGTCCCCCCACCACTTGCGGATTTCATATCGGACATCGCGTAGCGAACCGCTTGACGCACATCCCCAACATAAGCCGGTAGCAACTTCGGCTCCACTGTCTGAAAAAAGAAACGGACTTTAAATCGTTATTGCTATAGCATGAAAACATAAGAAATACATTCACGTGATTGCTCAGCAACAGGTGGTATAGGGCCAAGCGCGGATGGTGGTTTTGACCCCCCTGGGCGAATCTGGTTTGACTACTAATATTTATGACTTTCGAATCTCTTTGATAAATTTAATAAAATATGTAATGGATTAAAAATCACCGGATTTGGTGAAAAATCACCACACCTCGCAACCCTGATCAACTAGTAAGAGCATTGATGATAGCATGCAAATAAGTGTTGCGTAAGTGTTGTTGCCTATACGTTCAGCTCGACGCAAATATATGTAAAATAGTGATACTGCGGTTTTCGGGTTGGTAGCACTGCATGTCCGTTAGTGCATTATTGAAAATTGAGTCTCTTGTGATTAAGGTAGTTAATTGAAAATTCGGATATTCGGACAGGAATATAAAAAAATACGTTTTCGCGCGCGCCTGTTACCCTGTGAGCAAATTTGATAAACGTACATTTTGACCCACAAAATCACAGAAAAGCGATTTCATTCGATTGAAAGGAGATGGTAAGTAATAAGCATCATAGTTATCTAACCGGAAGAGTGTTCAAACCTCGCTCAAATGATCTATCAGCCCATAAACATATATAAAACTTGATATTTTTGATTCCGGAGAAGGACACGTCATTGGAAATAGGTTTTTCTTAAAATAATTTTCACATATCGTCGCTTAAATTTTAATATCGACTAATTCAAAGTAAGACGCCATCAAGTTATGCGTGTTATTCGATAGGGATGCAAAGATCTTCCTTTTTTTGCTCTTTTAAAAGTTTGTCAATTTTGAGTTACGCTATGTGACGGTACAATCCAATGAAAACTACTAACTCATTTACTTCGCCAGAGACGGACTGGCCATAAACACAATATATTGCTAATTTTTTTCAACTTTGTATAATAATGACTTGAAAATATTTTTGGAAATTGGAACGCTACCTACGGTTCAAGAAATTTATTTATGTTTGATTTCGACATCAACCGTTTTTAAGAAAACATATCCGTGGTTTTTCAGGTCTGTTATGAGAATTACCAAATCCCCCCTCCCCACGGAAACCAATATCTTCCTGAACAGGAATCCTGTAGCCCCCTGACACAAATGCTGGTTCCATCCTTTGGTGAAGTCGATATCACTCGCTTGGTCTGCCGCGACATGCACCAGTACAGATTCGCAATCATACATTCGCATTTTTATATTACACATTTAGCTACTTTTTTTTAAAACTTATGCATTTCAATTGTAATTATTTAGATGTTTCACTAAGCAATAGCATTTGAATGTTGGTCTAATTCAATCATTCTCCAACTTCAGAGTATGATACGCACAGTCTATGATTGTGTTTCTTAGATTTGGATGAGGTTTACATTTTTCGAAATCAATTGTCTCACCATCTAACTCTACACGGATATGTCAAAATGTCGTTTTTCCTACAAAGTATCAGTAAAATTTGAAAGCTCCTTAAGCTCATATAAAAAATTCCTAGCACCAAAGATATAGTTGTAGAGGTAAACAGTCGTAAGCCCAAAAATCAACTTTCGATTAATGAGCAAAACAAGTAAACATTTCACACGGATTAAATGGACATACAATATTTCCAAAACAATCTGTCGCATATGTTTTTTGCTACAACATCAAGCCAAAATAGTATAATTTAATGGTGAACTGGATCAAACTGGACTTATGACTGTTCATATCTGAGCTTCAGAAATATAGAGTGTATTATTATTTTTTTGAAACATCTTTCTGAACGTCAGCAAGTTTTCTCTCTCTTGGATAACCAATACTCTAATCCTTGCCTTGTTACATCTGGTGTTCCTCAAGGCTCAATACTTGGCCAAATATTGTTTTTACTGTACACAGGTGATATGCATACCGTTACATCTGACTCTTCTCTAGTAACTTACGCCGATGATACGCAACTGTATAAGTCTTTTAGCGCCGAGTCTACACATCAAGCAGTTAGTGAAATTAATATGGATCTTGAAGAAATTGTGAGATATTCTAAAAATAGTGACCTTAAGTTGAATCCTGATAAATTAAATCTCATGCTTTTTTGTTCTAATAGTGTCCGTCCAACTATATATCATTCCTTAAATATACAGACTGAGGGAATAGCTCTTCCAGCGGTGGACAAAGCAAAGAAGTTAGGACCAATATTTGAAGAATCTTTACGTTTTAAGGGGCATGTTGCTAATATTCTGAAAAAGGTTATATTGTTCTTAAACGCCTTTATTCTAATAAATTTATATTGAATTTTAAAACTAGGAAAAAACTTTTTGAGACGCTAATCTTTCCTATACTCTCTTACTGCTGTGTAGTTTATTACTCGTGCCTCGATGCTGCCACTAAGAACAGGATGCAAAAACTGCAAAACAGTTGTTGAAGAATTATATATAATAAAAATATAATTTAACTCTATTAAAATATACAATGATGCAAGTGATCATTTGAAAACTCTGTCAGTGAGTAGAATGAAAAAACAAGCTAAACAGCTTTTTGTGGAATGAACTATTTGCACCCTAAAAACTACCTAGTCTGCAAGAAGACATTTCGCTGTTTTTTGACGTTTCATAGGTCTTTTACATAATAGCCGTGCGGGCCTAAGCCTCCAAATCAGTATACCACCGACATCTGCATTGAACCACTCGCAATTAGCCCATTAGCTGAATAATAATAATGAAAAAAAGCCTACGCGCCCCTTGGATATAAAAGTGTTCCGCCAATAATGGCATATTTTCCACCAAGGAATGTAATGTACTGTTTTACCGTAACTTACCCTTGTGACAGCACTGAGCGCTTCCCAGGACATTTGCAGCACGTCCCTGTCTGTATCGATACACAGATGAATCAGTCCCCTCAGCAGCTGCGGCACATGCGCCGTGTACTGCGCTTTGCTATTGGCACAAAATCCGCACAGTAAAGTCGCCGCTGCTCGCCTTTGACCAGCATCTTCGTTTCTTGTGTTCTCTAACAGGGTATCGATTATTGTGCGGATGCCCGTCTCGTCTGTTACTGAGAGGAGGACTGCTTGACAGTATTCCAGTTGCTGGAAAAAGAAAAAAAAACGTAGAAGTTATTATCACCTTACATAATACACAGAGCCCTGAAATTAGCCACCAACCACTTTTGAACTTTCTCTTAATTTCACTTTTCCAGAAAGGCATCTTTGTCCAAAACTGGACTAAGGGTCGAAGGCATGATCGTTCATTAAGACATACTTATTGCGAGCACACCTTATTTGCCTAATTACATAGATGTGACAGGAGAACTGTCAAGTATCAAATGAGTATCAGTAAAATTTTGTCAATTTCAGCGACTATTATTATAGTTAATTTTTTTATGTTTATTTTATGTGGTTCATGTATGGTATGCACACTAATAGTTAAGTTACCATTATATTGCGCTGTACGTGGATTAATCTGTTGGGATCTATGAACAAATAAATAGTGAGCACTTTTTTCCAATTTGTTTTTTATGGTTTTGCTGCTGTTTCACTCCACCACTCTCTATAACTAACAAATTGCATAACTGATTGAATAACTAGCTTACCAATCCTTCCTCTGGGGTACCTCTAGAACTCGCTAATGCCGTCTGCAGAGCTGGAAGAATTCTATGCAAGTACTTGTTGAGTGCTTCACCAGCCACGGAAGCCAAGATCGATAACGCCTTCGTATTAGCAGGCGGTGCTGTCAATTGTGGAACCAAGTAAGGAAGTACAACTCGCGATTTGATCGCCATCACTTGCCTAAGGCCGTCTAATGTCCATTCTACTAGTTCCGGGTCGTTATTATTCTGAAAGAGATATCACGAACAGGTAAAATGCGATACTTTCGTTTTTTCTTTATGAAGGATCTTAAATATGTGGAAGTCTAAAATATATACAAAAATCTAAAGCAACAAAGACGCTAAGCTAACAGTTTAAATTTTCCCGCGAAAACTACATTCATGTTGACGTTATTCAGTTTATAAATCGGTGTTAATACGCGTTTGACATCCACAATTTCTTCAGGAATTTATTCAGATTTATTTTCTCATGGTCATTCCAATTATGTTTTGCAGTGCTTCCATCAATGAACAAATTCATGGACTATCTCAACTATCTGACAGTACACTACTACCAACAGTGTCAGCTACACAACAAATTGTTGCTAGAAACTGTTTTACTTTTGTATTGAGGTTTTGATTTTGAGGCGAACCTCGCAAACCTTTGCTGGTCGGTAGTGTTATCAATGTTCTATACTCCATGTGAAAAGATGTTCACTATAATGGAAAGGAGCATAATGTTGGCACCATGGGCTTTGACGACCAACTTGCTAAAAATTGGAACAGGTTCTAATTGCGTAAGAAATCCACGAAGGTGTTTATTTCAAAAACTTCATATGAGCATATACTCTAAGCGTCATAACTTTCTGTGCATGAGTATAACAATGTCGATAATATGACAATATCGGTAACTCGGAGAGGTAGTTTATATTTTTTCACGTGAAAACTGTGAGTCGGACTAAAAAAATTCAAGAGATCAAATCTGCTCATAAATGAATGCAGATATTTTTTTTATTTAAAACAAATCAGTTGCGTGCCACTGACTTGATTTTGATGACTTTACCATCCTGTATCTCAAAAGTTGAGACGTCTAGGACACATGGAATTTTCTTCTTAAAATGGACCCAAAAATCGATCCATTAAATATTGAGATTCAATTAGGAAACACTCTGTATAGTTCAACTTACCAGTTGATTCAGTAGCGTAGGAAGGATGTCATCCAAAGCTCTAGATCCAACTGTAGAATGCAAGCTGTCAAACGTTTTTGCTGCTGCTTGTCTAACCTCAGGTAAAGGATCACATAGAGCTTTCCTGACTGTAGGAACTAACGAGTTAACGAATGTGAGCACCATATCTTTGGATGTTGATGCCATTATTTCAGAAAGCCCTGAAACCAAGTTTTATGTCAATAGAATATAGATAGGACTTTGTGGAAAAACATTTCAAAATTCGTCTCCAGTAGAATATGAATATGAACGTTAAATGTTCTGGGGCCTAACTTGAGTGTCGTTTAGAACCACTGCCAAAATTTCGTTAAGCTAAGTAACCGCTCTTCAGATGCTTGTAACTCTGTAGGGATGTCCCAAATAATAATAATAATAATAATAATAATAATAATAATAATAATAATAAATCGTCTTTATTTAGGGGCGAAGTTTAGCATAATGCTACTCTGCCACTTAACCCCCCCCCCGAAAAAAAAATAAAAACTGAAAAAATAATACAAAAAACATAAATACATTTGATAAGTTAGAAGTTTAAAAATGTAGGTGTATAAAAAATATGGTATATAACATATATAAGTGAAGGCTATTCAATATTTCATGATTTAAAAGTATAAAATTGTAATTGTTTTGTATGAATCCGCGGAATTGACCGCGTATTCTGAAACACCCTGTACATACATTTGAAAAACCACGACGCATTTTAAGAAATCAGCGTATGTCGTTCTCCTTTTTGCGAGCTGAACTCATATATGCTACAACCTTTCAACTAAATCCGTGCAAAAATTCATCCTTCATCCAGAATTATGTCGCCAACAAATTTACTTTTACGCGCTTACCAATGCACACCCCCTGTCTCTGATCCGGCTGATCGCTTTGCAATCCCCTCTCCAAAATAGGGATGATCTCCGGCAGCACCCTTTCCCCTAGTTTCCTCACCAGGTCTCCTAGGGTCCTAGCTGCCACTTGTCGCTTGTCGTAACTGTCACTGGCCAAACATCCCAGCAACAGACCGAATAGAGTTGGCAGAATTTCTCTCAAAGTTCTTGGGGTGTTTGTTACTACTACTTTCCATACGTGTAAGGCTGCTTGCCGCACCTAAATAAAAGATGGGGAAATATAAATAATGGTAATATCTCTTTGCTGTGAATTTATAAAGGTGTTCATGGACGTTCCGCCGCTGAGCCGCTCAGGATTCCGTGGAATTCTCGGCAACCAGCAGCACCATTGTCAGTGGTGGAACAAACATTTTTATTAGAGTGACTTTGCTTTCATTAGAGCCTTATCCAGAAACGACCCTTATAGTTACGGTTCCTCAAGAAAAGTTGCAAAATGACTTGTGGATTTCGCTCACTTAAAAGATCTTTTGACTATACCTAAACATTCTAAAGTCGAATACCATCGAAAAAAGAAGTTTTGGGATGATCTGAAATTTTTACTTGTCTCCTCATAATCCCGCCGACAATGAAGTGATTTCCAAAATCTACAAAGCTCCTTCGTTCTTGGCATGGTGCAAATTTGTATCGAAATTTCATCAAAATCGGGGCAATACTTTTCAAGTGATAGAGTGGCTATGCATTGTCGGACGGACGATACGAGGGATGTCTTTTAAGTTTTGCATATAGAAACATAGTAGGCCGCGCGGATCAAACGTCAGTACTGAATCTTAACCTCACTCTTTAGTAAACTTAAATTCAAAGTTTCACAACAATACGTGCAGTGTTCTCACCACAGTGATTTTTTAAGTGTCACAAAGTCATTAGAAAAAAGGAACTCAACCGAGAACATTTTCGCGCCATAATTTATTACAACTTTCAGAGACAATTATCGCAACAAGAACGCCTTGCTGAGTTACTGTCTGTTTTCGGCAACGAAGCGCCACATTAGTCGACAATGTCCCGTTGGTATAGAGAATTCAAACGTGGACGGGAGGGTCTTAGCGAAGATCCTAGGGTGGGTGCACCAAAAACGGCAGTCACCCAGGTAAACGTCGATGCTGTGCGCAAACTCATCATTGAAGATAGACATGTGACATATGGCGAGATTGAGGCGTCCTTGAAGATCTCTGAAGACCTCAATTCAAAAAATTTTACATGAAGAATTAGGAGTAAGAAAATTAGTTTCTCGTTAGATACCCCACCTGTTGTCTGAAGAGCAGAAAGCAGCCAGGGTTAATTGGTGTCAAAAAAAGCTTGACCGTTTCGATTCCGGAAACTCAAAAAATGTGTACAGCATTGTTAGTGATGATGAATCGTAGATTTACTGTTACGAACCAGAAAATAAACGACAGTCGGCTGTTTGGGTGTTCCAAGGTGAAGAAAAGCCAACAAAAGTCATCCGTTCTCGAAGTGTTTCGAAAAAGATGGTCGCGACATTTGTGTCAAAAGCGGGTCATATTGCAACAATTTCTCTTATAGAGCAAAGAACTGTTACTGCGGATTGGTATACCACCATTTGTTTGCCAAAAGTCATCACCGAGCTTCGAAAAATCAACCCCGAAAGAAGAATCATCCTCCACCAAGACAATGCAAGCTCGCACACAGCCCAAAAAACAAGGCAGTATTTAACGGAAGAAAACGTGGAATTATTGGACCATCCTCCATATAGTCCCGATCTAAGTCCTAAAGATTTCTTTACTTTCCCTAAAATTAAAAACAGACTGCGTGGCCAAAGGTTCCAGTCACCAGAAGAAGCAGTTGACGCATTCAAAAATGCCGTTTTGGATCTGCCAGCAAACGAGTGGAATAAGTGCTTCGAAAATTGGTTCGAGCGCATGCAGATGTGTATTAATTTTCGTGGAGAATACTTCAAAAAACAATAAAGTCATTTAAAACTACCTACCGTGTTGTTTTATTTCCATATGCAAAACTTAAAAGATATCCCTCGTATACCCAAGGAAATATACATGTTATGTAACATCCAAGTAACACAATTTGATTCCAATTTTTTTCGCGATTACAAACCTTGCTTGCCAATTGGCATGATGCCGCAGTTATACTTCGAGGTGGCGGAGATGGGTGCAGTACAGGTTATTTGGGGGTAATTAAAACATTTGGGTATTTTTTTTCGTATCTGATTTCGTTTTCAACTGTGTTAAACTAGCCCCTGCCAAACGAAAATTTCAACTCTAATAGCTTTATTCAATTACGCCACAACTACACTTACAAACAACTGCTCTCGATCGCACTAGTATTGATCAGTATTGAAGAACGCGATGTTTGCATAAATACTATTTGAATATAGTGTAATATAATATGCTTTGATTCCAGTCGGTCTATCGAGCAGTCCTGTGCGGCATCCGTCGACGGAAATATAAAAGAAGAAAGCCGGGTAGAAAAATGTAATAATCGTACAAGTTAATCTACTCGATTTTATTTTGATTCTGACTTCGGAATTCATTTTAATCAAAGTGCTAAAACTCTGTATTAGGAATAGTTGCTACGCCAAAGGATCCACGATCACATATTTGTTTATGCTATGAAGGTGTTTGTCCATAAAGTAGTTCGCACAAAAAAATAACCGTATATTTTAGAAAAGCTAGTACCAAGAGGTAACATTAATCAGAGAAATCTCAGACACAACCTAAATTTTGCGATGCCAGTCCACTATACAGCCCTTTTCCAGAAAAGCTTCACATTTCATGCTGTCAAGTTATACAACTCTACAGATAAAATATGTCGCAGTAAAACAATAGTGCCTTTCAGGAGACTCGTTAAGAAACAGCTGATGGGATATTAATAGTTCAAGTGTGCATTTGTTTCTTTTTCTTATTATTACTATTGTTTGTTTGTGTATCGAGTTTAACTGTGTTACTCTTTCGTACAAAGTGAGGTTAAGTGTAAGAGTAGCCATTTGGCTAAACTTCGCCTCACTGATGTATGCTGATTAATAAAGACATTTATTATTATTATATAGGTGAAGAAATTTTAAAACTGAACATTCTTACATTGATAAGCAAGACAAAAACGGTATGAGCATGCTGATATTGCTAGTCAAAAGCAGAACTTCTATCTTTTATTCATCATCATACGAGGTCTGTAAATTAAATAATGAGACTGGCAACGTAGAGTTCGATCTGAAAACACTGGAAGCGGCGCGCCGGGATTGGAAGGGAGACAAGGGACCTCGTATGTCCAGTTTTAAAATGATTATACCTGTATATGGTCTAAATGCTTTTTTAATGAAAACAAACCATCAATGCGACATCAGATCTGCCCATATAAAGTCCTGCCAGCACTCTGTTACGTCTCTCTGCGCCCAATGACCTGATAATAGCCATATGGGATTGTTCTGTGCCGAAATTGTCGTCTTCACTAGCAGTTTCTGTGCTCATCTTTCCAGTTACACCTGATATACGATATAGCAGGTCACCAAGTAGTTGAACTGAGCTGAAAAATATGATATTTGTGTCAGATTCTTGTATTGCAATTAAGTGAAAAATATAAAATTCCATAGTTCAAAATATACGTAATTAATTTGTACTATAAGTAATAGAAATAACCGCATTCGACGTGCAAATGAATCCAATTGTTAATAATACCGGATGCGCCATCTTTTATGTCGGTCTTGAAAATCGAATGACTTTGATATTTACCGAGTCATTTGGTTATACGTGTTTCTGAAACGTCAATTTACTACAATTTTAGTCATGAATCGCTTTACACCGAAACAACGCGCCGAAATGGTCACAATTTACATTGAGAATCGTCGTTCAGTTGTGTTAACGCAACGTGCATATCGTGGCAAACACCGTCTGACAACACTATCCGTCATTTGATTTCGAATTTTCTTGAGTACGGGACAGTGGGAGATCGTCAACATACCGTTCATCAACGACGACCAAGACGTTCCAATTAATTGGTTGAAGCGGTCAGAGACAGCGTTGCTCAGAACCCAAAAGTGTCGTATCGTCACCGCGATCAGCATTTTGGCATCAGTGGACCCACGTTGCGGTGCATTTTGAAGAATAATTTGCATTTGTTTCCTTATAAGTTGCAGTTAACACAAAAAATATTGCCACCTGACCATCCACGTCACTTGGAATACGCCCAAACAGTCGCTCGCATGGTTGATGCTGAACCTGATTTTTGGAAGTAAATTGTGATGTTCGAAGAGGCCCATTTCACGCACTCTGGCGGCGTTAATAAGCAAAACTGCCGCATTTAGGAGACGGAAAATCCACATGAGATCTACGAAATGCCGTTGCATGACCGGAAAGTGACTGTTTGGGCCGGCGTTTCCGCCAAAACCATCATTGGGCCATTTTTCTTCAACGAAAACGAAACAGTCGATGGAAATCGATATCGGTGGATGTTGGCTCCTTATGCCTGCCCACAAATGTGTGAAAAAGGTCTTGATGGTTACTGGTTTCAATAAGACGGTGCGCCATGCAAATGAAACAATCCAGTTTCTGTAACGACAATTCCCTGGACGTCTGATGCCAAAAGAGGTGACATTGACTGGCCACCCAGATTTGATCCACCGGACTTCTTCTTGTGGGGTTATTTGAAAAGTCGAGTCTACGCCAGCAAGCCCCAGACCACTGAAGAACTCAAGGCAAACATTCGTACCGCAATCGCCGCTATATCATCAGAGATGTTCGAAAAAGTAATGGAAAACGCAGCAAAACGGGCACATTTTGTTTTGGCCAATAAAGGTGGTCATTTGATAGATGTGTTCAAAAACTAGTCCCAATAAATTGTAAAGGACCATATTTAATAAAAATACCCGATATATAGAAATCAGTTTTTCGTTTTCAAAGTTATTTCATGTTTACATTCCGACATAAAAGATGGCGCACCCTGTATATGATAGTCTAATCATACTAGATGAAAATACCCCCGGTTTGCGAAATAATTGCTAAGTCTGGTTTTATGGATGCAAGTTGTTCAAGGGGGTATTTAAAACATGGACGCATAAAATGGGTACATCGATTTTTGTGGGAAAACTTTTTATTCGACAACAAAGAATGAGAAAACGTGTTTTTTGGGATTCAATCGTAAGTGTTGACAGGAAAGAAAAAACTCTTCAAATAGGATATTTAGGAATTTATGAGACCTACAGAATGAGCCCACACGTAAAAAGATCCCACTAATAGTATAAAAGTTATGGCCGAAAACCGAGGCAAAATGCAGATTTTGGCACAAATTCTTCAAATCCGAAGGCTTCTTACTTCTAAATAACCACAGCAAGGTTGGAGTCGATTGGTCAGGTAGTTTTTGAGAATTTCTAATTGTTTATCCCAAAACACCTGTCTTCCGGCTATCACTACTAGTTTATTGAGCAATATAGAGGGTTCACTCTAAGGGTATTTTATAGCAAAATACACAAGTTTACCTTGCCGACATGAATCAGAAGCCATTGCGAAAGCTAGTTGTTATTTTTATGAGAAAAACGAAGGTTTCCTTTTTTTTTCTCCTAAACAAATTCAAACATTTTATATTTGTAAGTAACTGAACAGATTCGCTACGATATTCGAAAAACATATGTTACAATACAGATTTTAAAACAAGGCAGGCGTGTCTATCACCTTTTGTTGCGAAGAAAAATATGACTTACAAATACGAATGTGTTTAGAAGAAAAACGTAACCCTTCGTTTTTCGGATAAAAATAACAATTATTTTTCGGAGTGGCTTGTGATTCATACCGGCAAGGTAAAATAGTGTATTTTAGTAAAAAATGCCCTTTGAACAAACCCTGTATATTGCTAAATAAGCTAGTAGTGATGGCCGGAAGACAGGTATTTTTGAGATAAACAATTAGAAATTTTCAAAAACTACTTGACCAATGGATTCCAATTTTGTTGTGGTTATTTAGCAGTAAGAAGCCGTTGGATTTCAAAAATTTCAAGTAGCGGCGTGATATTATCGTCGCATTAGCAGCAAGTGCCGAAACCTGCATTTAGCCTTGGTTTTCGGCCATAACTTTTTTATTATTGGTGTGATCTTTTTACGTGTGGTCTCATTCTGTAGATCTCATAAATACCTAAAAATCTTATTTGAAGAGTTCCCTTATTCCTCCCAACACTTTCGATTGAATCCCAAAGAACACGTTTTCTCATTCTTTGTTATCGAATAAAAGTTGCTGTACCCCTTTCATGCGTCCATGTTTTAAATACCCCCTTGAATAGCTTGCATCAATAAAACCAGACTACAATTATTTCGGGAAACTTTGTTAATATGGTTAGAATATAATGTAATTACCTATACAAGTTCACAGGTCAAGCCAAACGGCACATATTAGAAAATGAGCGGAATTATGATGATGCAAACTAACTTGAAAAATCAACTCTTAAGGCATTTTATACTCTAAGATTCAATCACAAACATTCGTATTTTTATTGTATTTTGACAAAGAATTGGTTCGGAAACAAATCTATTGAATATTATCAATGTAATATGACCAAATTCAGAATCATCATAATATTAAAAAAAAATTTTAATTGTGATTTATATTATGTGAAAAAAACATGCTATACTATGTTAAATAGCATGTTAAAATTTATATTAGTACTTTCGGTTTTTAGTAATGAGAAAAACTGGAATATATTTTAAAGAAAGACAGTTATGTAAACTCGCACCCGGCAGTTTCTTATAGTTAACGATTCCTTCACATTAGTAAAAAATTTCCAGCTGGCAATATCTGCAGACTCACGAGTAAGTACCAAATGCATAAATGAACTAAATTTTCTTAGGTATTGTTCTAGAAAATGTTCCCGAAAGAGCACTGACGAGGATGTGATGAATATGTTGCTAATTTTTCTAGATCCATTCTTCAATAAAGTTAAACAGGAACCAAAAATAAAAAGCAGTAGCCTTTACATGAAGCTGGCAAAATGTTATTAAAATAAGTAATTGTATAGATTTTTCCATAATATCAGTATGTATTTCAAAAAAATTGTGTATAACACTATAATTCTTCCCCATTTTTTATACTGATCAACCAATTTGTTTACAACAAATGAAAACTTATTTTCAAAATTACAAATTCCACAAAATAAAGCTATGAGAATCATTTTAAATAAAAACAAATATGTTAGAAGAACTACAGTGGTTGGACGTGAAAAAAATATATGTCATTTAGATCTCATTTTCATATTCCGATCAAAAAATGATTTATTAGAAAACTTCAAAAAATAAAATAGTCATTATCATAAATACGAAACTAGAGGCGCTATAGATTTTCATCTGCAAAATTGTAATAATAGCATAACAGTTAAATTGTATTTCAAAAGGGAGTATTTGAAGTTAAAAAATTGAATAACTATATTAAACAGTGTTCGAATTTTAAAATGTTCAAGGGGAAATTGAAAGATGAATACCCAAAATGCATAGCAATGTAATTTTACTAGACAAGAATTTAAAATTACAGTAAATTGATTCAAAAAGTGTGTAAACGAATAATTATACAAAACTGACATTGTAGCATTTATGCGAAATAAATCTTCAACATTGTTAATTCTAACTTTCACTTGATTTAGTAATGTTTTTATTTTTTTATTTTATGTATTTATTTTATTTCACTTAAATATTATTCATAAACAAGTTAATAAACCAAAAAGCATCGAATCAAAACTAAATTCAAAGGTTTTTTATTAATTGATTCTGCACCTCCAAACAAAATTTCACAGTGTGGCCCATTCACACGTTTGAATTTGTCGAGATTTGGGTGTCGGTGCGTAAGGTAAAATATAATAAAAGTATACCTTACCTGTATCTGATCCTCCAATTATCATCAAACAGTCCCTTCTCCAACTCTGGTAGAAGCAGAAGAATAGCAGAATCTGCATACAAGGTAACTATTCTTTGACCAGCCTTAAGAGCAGTATCTCTAACGTACTCGTTTTCGTCTGCCAGAGCTTTCAAAATTGGATTGATGATTTGACCAATGTATGGGGTAAATTCAGTTTGGAAGACCACCGGCATGTAAATGAACATCATAATGTAACTGCGAAAAGAAGAAGATGAGTGAAGGTACTTGATTATTTAACACATAACTTTTGGTACATAATGATTCATTCTTCCATTGAAAACATTTTTATTGCTAACGCCAAAACAAAAAGCAGAGAAAAACTCAACATATGCGTTATCCTTCATGCTTACCCGTCTTTCACATGTGGCGCTATATCAGTCCTTTCAGCTGTACTGATTATTTCAGGCATGAGTTTATGAAGTTTCTCAACTCCCAATCCTCCAACAACTTCAGATAAACCTTGGGCTGCTCCTGACCTATCGACCGAACTAGTTTCGGAAGTCAAAGTTGTCATCAACCATGGCAACAAATCCTCGAAGCTTGATTCGCCCATACCTAACACATTTCAACCAAATTTAAATTTTATTATAAAAACCAACATAAAAAATAATTTACTAGATAAATTCAATTTAGACAAGGCAAAAACCTTGCATTCGTGAGTGAAATTTTCCAACCCGATTTTTTCATAACGACTTTTGTTTGATGTCCCTCAACATAAATCAATAGGTTGCCGGTTACAACAATTTTTTTCCCTTCCGACAAGTTTTTTTTTCATCATTTTGAACATAGAGGTTCCTAGAAACATATATCTTCAAAGTTAACAACTTTCTAGTTGAACATCGCTTAAGTCTAAAAAACTCTAAAAATGGCAATTTCCAAACTCGATCAAAAACCACTATTTTTGAGGTTGTCAAGTATTTAAAAATCCTATAGGAGCCCAAAACGTATTCTGGGTTTAGTTTATTTTAGAGCAATATTACTTAATTATTAAACTCAAATTTAATAATTTTGCGGCAACCGCTTGATTCATGTTAAGGGACACCAAAAAATGTGATTTTGAAAAAAATAGAGTTTTGAATCCCACGATTGCCTCGTTATCGCCTCCCCTAAGCTGAGATCAATTAGTTTGTTCCAACGAAATAAGTATTGCTCAGAACTAGTTCCGAACTATTCTTTTGGAATAGAAATAGAGAATAGAAATGCATCAGATGGACGATAGCTTCTAACGAATATTTATGATTTGGAGACAACAGGAAACAATATCATTTATTATAAGTAACATCGATAGATTATTGTTATTCTTAAAAAATAGTATTAAAAGAAATATGGATGTAGTCACGTGATACGAAACACCAATCAGAAAAGGTTACGTCACGCCGTCTCTAACATCTTTATACAAAGAATAGGCTATCACGCTATCGGATATTTTCAATTTTTAGCGGTTTTTCTCCAGAGATTTGAATGTATCTTGAAAGACAAGTTTAAGTCGCTATGGAATTCAGCAGTAGTTTACCCAAAATGCTGTGAAAATTATGAAGTGATTTTTGTTTATAGGAATTTTGTAATTTTGAAACCTCAATGTAAGAACATACAAGTGTGAAAATATGTTTTACGCTCAAATATTATTGTTTTAGTTTTGTAGGCAATACGCTTTTATCTTGGCATGCATTGACTTTAGTCAACTAGCCTATTGTATGACTTGTCATAAATAAAGATAACCTTAATTGAAGTAAAATTTAAAATTCTCAGGTTTCCGTGGTTATTGAGAAAGTAATTGAGAGGAATGTTAACAACACTAAGCTATTGATTGAAATATACAGGATTAACATTACTAATAACATAACTGGCATATGTAATTTTTATTTCTGGTTTTTGAAACTTCCATAATCAGCTAAAGACCTCAACCTTCATTTAAATCTGTTCCAAAGTAGGTAATCTTCAGCGTCCCCAGTACGAACTTTAGTTGCAACAGAGAACTGCCAGTTCCATTTTCTGTCAAAACGGCGCATGCCCTGTTCAGTTCGGAACTAGTTTGACGGTTTGTTGGAACAAAGCTGATGACATCTCGAGAATGTGGAGTGTGATCTTCTAGTTTCATTATGCGATTTTTTGCGCAATTTGGATACTTAGACAAAAAAATACATGATCAAAAGAGAAAATACTATCTACTTACCTCTAACCATAGCTCCCAAAGCTCTAGCGCTGACGGATCTGACTTCTGGTACTGGATCTAACAAGCTCTGTTTCAAACCGGGTATGATCGTTGGAAGATACGGTTGAAGATCTTTTTGATCCGTTAGAGAATACATGTTCCCGATGATTTGGGCTGCCATTTTACGTGTCTCTGTCGACCTGTTTCAGAAATAAATGAAAGTTTTAATAAAGTTTAATTTACTAATTATTTTTTTTATTAACATATAATTGGCATTGGAAGTTGTCCATTTGCCACAGATGTGTGTTACTTATATTTCTCTAATTATGGACAAACACACGACGTCACAACATCCATGGCGAAGGCGAGATTCGAACTCGCGGCCCGGCCGGCCGGCTGATCAGTAGCACGACACTCTGACCAACGCGGCCAATCGAGGCCCCTTTAATTTACTAAGGAAAACGAAATTTCTAAATATAAATCTAATTTATATATAGGTGTATATTCGTCGACCATGTGTTCCCTTCACTGTTGTTTCAAAACTATTTCAGCAACAATCTCGCCGACTTAGTAAGTAACTATTTTTCCTCCTAATTGTTATTTGTTGCTATTGTCAATAATTGTTTCCAGCTCCAGACGATGAACACATAGATCTTCGAAAGCTTGAGTACAGGGTGACTTCGAAGTTGAGTCATTTATTTTAACAGTGAGTAGATCTGATCAAAAGAAATGTTTTTTTCCTTTAACATTTTTCTGGTAAAATTAAATTAACAAAGTTATAGCCCTTTAGAGGTTTGAGTACCGCCCTGTCTCAATAATATTATGTGCTCGTGTTTGGCAACAACGGATATAATCCACCTTATCGGTTCATCGCATCGGAAACAAAAAAGCGAAAGAATTTGAAACGTTTATCACGATGTCAGTCAATGTGTCAGTCGGTAACGCGTGAGTGAATAGTGGTGTTTGTTGCGTGGCTCAAACGAAATGGCACATGTTTACGAAAATGCTGAACTTGTGGACATGATTCTTATTTACGGATTTATGCGAATCGGTTTCCCAATCGAGTGCAACCAACCTCCTCGTGCCTTTGTTAATGTAGTATAAAGGGCTCGTGAATCAGGTGACTTAAGACCTCACAGGGGAGGGCATGTGCCGGTGCTCCAAGACCGCACGATCAAATACAGGTCCGCACTGAAATACTTGTCGGGAGGATACTTTATAAAACAAGGTAACATTTTTTTTTTATTTTTACACATATATTTTGGATTGTAGAAGGAAGATAAACCAAAATATGTGTGTAAAAATAAAAAAAATAAAAAAATCCTCCCGACAAGTATTTCAGTGCGGACCTGTATTTGATCGTGAGGTCTTGGAGCACCGGCATGCCGTCCATATGTGAGGTCTTAAGTCAAATGATTCACGAACCCGTTGTACTACATTAACAAAGGCACGAGGCGTTGGTTGCACTCGATTGGGAAACCGATCCGCATAAACATGTGCCATTTTTTATTTCGTTTGAGCCACGCAACAGACACCACTATCCACTACCGACTGACACTGACTGTATACAACTGAATGAAATAATTATAAAAAACATCGTTCCAACCAGGGTGACTTTGAAGTTGAGTCATTAATTTTCAGATAATGATTGTAGAAGGAAGATACACCAAAATATTTTTTATTTCGTTTGAGCCACGCAGACACCACGGGTTACCGACTGACACTGACTGTATACAACTGAATAGAATAATTGTAAAAACATCGTTCCAAATTCTTTCGCTTTTTTGTTTCCGATGCGATGAACCGATAAGGCGGATTATATCCGTTGTTGCCAAACACGAGCACATAACATTATTATTGAGACAGGGCGGTACTCAAACTTACAAAGGGCTATAACTTTATATCTCTCTATAGAGAAACGGTAATAATGTTAAAGGCATGATATAATAAATTCTCGATATTTCTCTGACGTCATTGGAGTTCAACTAGAAGTTACGGAGAATGAACATGAGAATTAAGCCATTCTGAAACTTTAACACTTCAAAGGCATATTATTTGAGAATACTTTAAATAAATCGTATGTAGTTGTATAAGGTGAAGCAAACCCGTTTTTTATATGAATCGGCAGGATTAGTACGTAGAAAACCTACATAATGTAAAAAACCCGATAAAATGTCAACTTGTGGACTGAGTATACTAGTGTGGCAAATAGTTCATACCACGCTTGCTATAAGTGAGCAAGAAGTAAACGACAGCTAGTTCACAGGTTGACGTCTTGTACGAAAACCTACATAATGTAAAAAACGACATAATGTCAAAAAACCCGACAATGTCACTTTTTACGTTACGTAATACCCGTGTGGTTATATAGATCACGAAGCTTTTGTCAATGTTTCGCTGAGGTCGACGACGTTCCCAAAAAATCCATTCCAAGTAAGACTTTGTGAGTTTTCAGGGTTTTTTATGGACATGGAACAGATCAGCGTCCCAAATTAGCTATGTGTACCCTAATTTCATTCATGTAACCATGAAAGACAGAGACGGAATTTTTATATTGAGGAACCTCAAATTTCAAAGAGACAATATTGAAATACATTTTCGAAATTTCTTGCGTATTGGCGATTTCGAATACACCTGTTTCTAAAGTAGAGTCTGATATCAAGAGGCCCCAAAAATCCCACTTTTCTATGTCATGTAGGGCTTTACGATTTTTTTGGTAATTATATTCAAGATGAACGTCCCACAAATATTACAGTGTAGTGAATTTTGTAGATAAAATTGGCATTTATTGCATTATGGAACTTTAAAGGCGTACTGTTAAAAGAAATTTTCAAATATTCCCGCGCTTCTACAATGTTGACGGAAAGTTGTATTTTGAAATCAAAGGGGTACCCTGAAAGGCCCAGTACAAAATCCCATATCATTTAATGTGGATAATGCACAGATGGGCGACTGGAAACGTTCAATTCTGACCTAATCTAATCGTGATTTCCTTTCCCCTGCCCTTTCTAAGATCCCAATACTTGGCCAAACGTTTGAACATGGATTCAATATTTACAAAAGCATGCATACACTGATTCAAAGTCTATGAGAATATTCTTTGGCATAAAAATCTATCTTTCGCAGCAGAAGTGATATAGGCAATTTTGGTAAATTTCGAATCCTGCCAAGGTCTGTGTTTTTAGTACCTAAATGTGCAAATCTGAACCAATTCAATAAACTTTGTATCTCATTTTAAACACCTGTACTACGATTTCATATATTCATAGAAAATTAAAAATATCGCCTGAGGTTTCAGTGAACGGAGCTCGCGGAAAAATTGTGCTAAGTATTTTGATGCCACTCTTGCCACGGTGATGGCCTGGTAGAAGCACACTGAAGCATTAAAAACTAAATTCCAAATCACGTTTCGGCAACTCTACTCTATATCATGTAGAACCTCGAAATCATGTTTGATCAACAAAGTTCGGCTAGACAAGACGGCTATTAGAGCAGCGATCACTTATTGCGTGTGAGGCTTGCCAAAATGCATTGGCGTAGTCTGCAGGTTTTGCTGAACAGAACCTTGTGTACAATCACTAACGCCCCATGATCTCCAATGAGACCCTTCACAGAGACGTTGACATCACTTATCTGAGGGACTACATCAAACAACAAGCGTTATACTGAAGTGGAATCGCATAGCAACCCTTTGTTGCGTCGGTCAGTAGACTACACAATCGACCAAGCGCGCAAGCACAAAACACCGCGGCTCGCACTGTGAACAAAATTAAATCGTGCGACTTTAGAACCAACCAAAATTATAATTTAACTTCAACAACCAATCTCTCAATTAATTTTAGGATCAATTTGAAATTCCCGAATACTAGTGAACAATGCCAAGACACCCCTCAAATTGACGCACTTCTTTCTCTTTGCTCTCCCTCCTTCCTTCCTTTCCATCTTCTTCCCTTCTTTCTCGTTGACTTTATCTGGTATCTGGGCAACCAGACCTGACAGTATTTCAACCAAAAACAATGGTCCTACGGACCGCTCTGAAGAAGAGAATCAAAATGTCTTTTCCGAGAATCTAGTGGTGAGCGCCTGATTTACAACACCCTGTATAAGCATTTCATATTTACTAAAATATCCATTCAACTCGTCTACGAAAATATTCCTTCGCATAGAAAAAACAACATGTTTCACCCGTACGGATCGCTCGTTGTTAAGCGCCGGCGCCGGAAGAGGGACAATAGGGGAAATGTGACGCAGCGCTGTGATTGGTCGAACTTTTCTCACTTGTTTTATCACTGATAGAAAGGTGACCACTGACCAGTCTTATCGCGGAACACCACGCGTTTCCATCATTTGGGGCCGGTTTGTTTACGTCGCGCGTCGTGATACAATTGTTTGAACGTAAGTAACCGTTTCGGGAGGCTATTTTTTGTTCAGATTGTACAATTTGTTGTTTAAATGTTCAGGAACTAATGTCAAAAGATGTTATGTAGGTTAAATTTTTGTGACAAAGTGAGCTCCATCATTAACACAGAAAAAAATGGCAACTAGCCGCTAGCGGCAACCTGTCCAAGTCCAAATGTGGTTTTTGTCATGATTTTCAATGACGTACAACAATGCAAGTTGATAATGGCAAAGTTTATTATTGCCACCATTGATTAGACCTAGTTTGTCTTTTGCTGAATTGCACGAATTAACATGTTCCTTGAACCAGTACCTACAGTTTATAATCTGTGGGGTACTACTCTGTGGTCTGGGACTACAGAATACGTGAACGTGAACTTCAATGATAATTAATTTGATGATGTAACACCTGAAACTCATTATACGGCTAAATGAAACCACATATTATGTTTTAAATACTGTTTACTGATGACGTTGCAAATAACAATTTTGACAACAATATATTTTGTTTATCTGTCCTCCAGTTGAATGTTTTTTTTTCACATTCATATACAGTGTGTTACTACAACAGCATTTGCAGTCGAAGATTGCAGAACTATTAGCCGGTGTGTAGCGACAAAACTTCCAAGTGGGATTTCACGTTTTCGGAGGGCTTTTGACGTTTTCGGGACGTGTCTAGCACATTAAAAAACGACATAATCTCATGCCCGCTTGTCACTTTGTGAGGCTGGGCGTCCTTTTGGGGACGGGAATACCTACCCCAGACAGTCCTGAGGTTTGCTGGATTTACGCGGTGCCATCTAAAAATTGCAATGATGGCCTCGCGACAAATAAACAAAGCGTATTGTCATCAGATTTGTCATTTGTACTTGCAAAGGCCACCGTGGTGGCAGAAACATCCTGCCACTAAACAGTAATTCAGCCATATGCGGTTTCATTTAGCTGCCCGACAAACACGGAGGATTGTCTTTTGCTAATTTTTATCATAGGTCCGAAAATATTTCGATTTCAGGAAGTACTGCATCAATATTTCTCCGAAATTTCAATTAAAAAGCGGACTTATGACTTATGTGTATGTTTTCAATTTTCGTCAGCATAGATGTGAAACTGGAATGTTATGTTACGCATCAATAAAAATAATCAACGTATTTAAATCTGGCGATCTAGATAGTCATAGTGATTTCAACAAAACTGTTTTTTAATTGATTTCAATCAAATTTCCGACATGCCTGTACCTGCAAACTTTTTACAAGATTTCCTAAAGGGTTGTCGCGAACTTGATGAAAAACGATATTCAAAAAAAAGTTCCTTGCAAAAAGATGCATCACTGTAGCGTTTATAATTTTTTTCACCCATCCAGGAAATCACTTTTTTAAATTTGACCAAATACTTTATAACACACTGTATTGCAAAGATAATCCACATGTCTTTTCGGACCATTAATAAATTCTCAGTTGGCCATGGAAAGCAGAATGTTGTTGTCGCCGTGTCATGGCCAACTAAGATTAACCGATCTGAAATATTTTGATGCATCAGATACACGATAACCTCAAAGGTTCGTAATTTTCTAATGTCTATTTGACTTCCTTCTCCAAGTGAAAAAATATTACTAAAAATCATTTCAAAAAGCATTACTTTGCTTCCCAGTTTACGTCTTTTCAATCGGAAATTTTGTGTCGCGTTATAAACTGGCGTCGTTGTTTCGCCAGAAATATTGGTGATTATCTGTGGTGATCAGTGATACTAAGGCCCGTATCGTCAGTCGTCCCTACAATTGTAGGGCGCGTTTATGGCCTCCTTGATTGTCATACTCTTTTTTCTCCTTCAAAAATTTCTAGATGACACTTGTCCCGTGTCAGCGTCAGCGCTCTCCTGTTGTTAAGATATGTTTTCTTTTTAAATTGTAGGAAATTTCAGGCTGATAAAACATGCACAATTTGGTGCAAATAGATGTTTGTGACATAACCTCAAAATAGAGCGCTGACACGGAGAAGTAGAAAACTATGACAATCAAGAAGGCCATAAAGGCGCCCTACAATTGTAGGGCCGTATCGTCAGTCGTATCTTTATGGCCTCCTTGATTTTCATAGTCTTTCCTCTCCTTCAGATAGGCTGGGGTATTTCTAGATTTCTATTGTTCCATGTCAGCGTCAGCGCTCTGCTATTGTGAGGCTTTGTTTTCTTTTTGAATTGTAGGAAATTTCAGGCTAAATCTAAAGCATGAACAGTTTGTAACATAACCTCAAAATAGAGCGCTGACACGGAACAGTAGAAAACTACGAAAATCAAGGAATCCATAAAAGATATTGGGTGATTTGAATAAAAATATGTAAATTTCTATGCACGTGGAAAATCAAGTAAATGCTCGCTGTAAAGGGAATAACTTGAGAGTCAATTTTGCTTCAAGTAAGATTTCAATAGTGATGCAACCTAAATTAGAAAATGGGGTGAAACAATAAAGTAATTTCTGTGATTTCTTTATTGTCTTTCAACAATTATCAGTGAGCAAATGCCAGTACTTTATAGTTTTATTCACTCCAGTTTAAAGTAATTTGCAAGTAAAAACTAAAATGATTGCTTTTTTATTCAACTGCCTTAACATGTAGAGGTTAGACCTGGCAAATAGATACTGTAAAAGTCGCAGCTTAAGAAAACTGCATCGTTTATATTCAAAATTTCAGTATACAAAATATTGATGTGTCGGAAATACAGAATCGATATAATGAAGGCTATTTTTATAACTAATCGTTCAAAAAAATCAATGACTTACCTGTCCATGAAAGCCCTTTGCACAACAGGCATGATGAGAGCCAATGAAGGTGCATCTATGAAATGCACAAATTGAGTGTCTAGCAAAGTTTGCAGACATACTGAAGTCTTGTTAGAGGGATCCTGAAGAGCTTTCAGTAACACAGGAACAATGGCTGTAAAGCAAACGAAATTAAGTGAAAATACATGTTGTCAAGGAATTTATCATACTGCTTTCATCCGTCCGACGACAGACTGCGAACCATGAAGAACTGTTTCATGCTTTTTGGCAACTCATCAGCATGGTCTAGGCTTGACCGTGGACAACGAATAAAAGCTTAGCAATATGTCTGAGGTATGAGATCTACCGAAATAAGACAGCAAATAGTACCATCCATCATTCATCAAAATCGAAACAGCTGTCTATAGTTGGCTATCTGTGGTCGAGTGTACGAAAGCAGCATGTTTAGTTTGTTCAATGGCCACATATGCTATACCGTCAGAATCGTCATCTTCTAGCGGTCACAGTGGTGACTGGGCTATCAGACGTAAACAGCAACCTTTACACTACCAACCGATAGCTGATGTTCATTCTCGCAGTGGTCGATTCTAGTAATAGACGGCACTTTGTGCTGTCTTATTTTGAACCCAAGGAATTATCAGAATACTAATATTAGTCACCTACAGAAAAAGAGTGGCTAGTCTCACTGATTTAGTAAACGAAAAAAAAAAATTATAATTTTATTTAACAAGTTTTTTTATGTTTCACATTTCGTAACGTCTAGATCCCTAAAATCCATATGACTCATTTTCGTCGGCCTGTTTGCGTTTTTCTAGCCGTATAATTTCAGAATCGGCGACATCGTTTTCATGAAATCCATAGAAAGTAGAACTACTTTATACCTTAAAATTAGTTCAAGGAAATTTGTGTATCCAGATTGCTTCAGTAGAACAGAGTCAATCTACTTGACTAACATTTTTTGAAGTATGTGCATATTTGAGACTGTTATTCAATTGATGAATTCAACTTAAAACACATTTCCAATGAATCTTTTCTATCTTTTCAGAGGATCGACTTCCAGTAAAGAAAATCGAGTACCTGAAATGGTAAGTTTGCATGATTTCTTTATACGTCAATCACGAGAAAGTTTTGTAATGTATTTCGCAAATGAGATACAATGTTTTGTGGATATTGCATGATATATCATATGGTATATATCAGGAAAAACCAGGACACTCATTTCTGTTGGTTCGTCGGTTTGTCTTTCTGTCTGTCGGCAAGTACGCTAATCCTTGGCCCGTCTATAACTTGGTAGTAGTAGTACTGTTCGGATTTAGATGACTTTTTCACTATGCCAAGGACGAAAAATCTTTGTGGTTTTTGAAAATCGGTCCAGTGACGGCGGAGCTACAGATAAAAAAAGAAAAAATAAAAACTTTTAATACTTCGCTTTTTGACATTTCTGAGGCTCCTGATCATTTTCAGAAAAAAAATTTTAGCGTTAAAAATTGAGGATGGGGGTTGATCTCCATTTTTTGCGCTAATATATTCATACGCTTCTAGCCACGGTAATTCTATATACCTATTAGACATATTTCACACATATTATATTTCCTCGCTTATTTGCCCTCAACACTAGTATTTGAAGTATTTCAACCCCGCCCGCGCCCAGGGTATCCAGAAGAACTGCATATTATAAAGTTATTATAAAGTTGCTCACTGCGACTGGCTCAACGTGATAAACTCAAAAACTACCCAACATATTTTCACACGGTTTCCACTAGTAGATAGAGGGATTCATGAGGAAGGTTTTGTTGTATTATTTCTTAAAGTTTCGTGGAAATTGAAACATTACGGAATTATTACCCAATTGGATATAGCTACAAAGTCAGTATTTGGCGTACGCTGGAAGACCTATTAATATTACGTAAAATAAAGTACAACATATTTATAGTACTCATCGTGATTCAGAAAAAAACCGCGAGGCTATGTGCTTATACCCAAGTTGCGTAGGAGCAAGTACAGAGTCAGCCTATTTGACGCCATTTTTTACCTTTGTCTTACCTTGAATCTCAGGATTTCTGATCACAGATCCGATAACTTTCAAAGCAGCTGCTCCAGCTTCTTGTACTTTCATGTGTGAATCGCTGAGTACTTCGATCAGCTTTGGTACTATGCTGGGAAGACATGAAGATAATTGTTTTGGGGCACAGTAGGCCATGGCTCCCAACAACTCAACCGAACCTGTAAAAAACATTTTTAAATGTTGTCGTGAGACCGCTACACTTGGCAACATTTTATAGAAATGTCTGGAATTTTTATACAGAGTGTGCATTTGAAAACTTCCACCACGGATTTATCGAAGACTACTGAAAAAAAGGAAATCCAAACCGAAGAGGATGGAGACCCTACACTTGATGAGGCTGAAATATATTTCCAGCAAGACTATGTTCTTCCGGTTCGGCAATGGCTAGACAAGTTTCCAGATAAATGGATAGGGCGAAGAGGGCCTATAGAATGGCCTGCTAGATCTCCTGATTTAACGTCATTAGACTTTTTTCTATGGGACCATTTGAAATCTATTGTGTTTACTCCCAAACCTGAAAGTTTGGATAGACATCGTCAACGCATCATCGGAAGCTGCCATGATATCCCACAACATGTTTTTGAAAATGTCAAAACAAAGGACTTCGAAAGACCTTTCAAACATGCTATTATTCTTTAAAAATTTTTAGGGAATGACCCTGGGAGGCCGAGGGTGAAAGGGAGCTGAAGTTCCTTCTGGTTAAAAAGTTGTCACCCTTCACAAATCTTTTGACGTGTCTCGTTTTTTTTTTCTTTTAATCAATGGTTTTCGATAAATCCGTGGTGGGAAGTTTTTAAATTAACAGTCTGTATGTTTAATGTATTTTATTCGACACACACTATATGAAGTCTACCATTTAGTTCTTCAGTATAACATTTACATGGACTCTTATGAGAAACATGGTATTTGCAAGCAGAAACAAATTCATAGAAATGTAAAAAAAACTTATCATATCAAACTTGAGGAGCATCTAAACGTTGTGTCAAAATTTTAAGATCCGCCGTTCCGCTTTTTAAAAATTCGGCCTTCCATTTTATCGATGTTTTCTATATTATTTTATTTTGGAAAAAAATATTTAATTAGGGCTCGACCGACATCGATATGTGTCGGCCGATATGACTGTCCATATGCCGATATAGGAAGGTAATAAAGAATACAAAATTCTTGAAATGAAAAAAAAAACGATACATAAAATATACAATGCTTCTGAGGAGCTTTCAGCTTGAGCCGATCAAAAAACAAGTAAGGAGGTCTTTTTGAAATATATATTTTAATTAATTGTATCAATTTAACTTCATGTCTGTGATTCTTACATAGGATACAAACTCGACTAGCGACTTTGTCACTCTCAAGATTGTCGGAATATTTCCGCACATCGCTATTTTTCGGGATTTTCCACATTTTCAAGCAGCATTAGTGCCGTCAAAACAAATCAAGGAAGTTGCGACTTACACTGAAGAAACGCATGAAATGCAATTTCACGAAACTAGATTTCACCAGTGACTCCAATGTTCACCTTTCAAGTGATAATTGCCAATGAAAACAGTTTCTTGTAGCTATTAAGGGTTTCAACAGCTGTTGAAAGAAAAATGAAGGCAAAGGGGCTTTGACATTCAGTAGATAGTCTTCAATTTGATAAGACCATTCATAAAAGTGCAATGTTGCCAAATTTCTGATCAACGAATCGTCATAAATTATTGTTTTTTCTTTATTTCCATCACAAACGCATATCCATCGTCATGAGAATGTATATCACTACTGTCGTAACTAACCATGGTTCTGGTTTCTTGGTATCCGTTTCTTTCTCCGTCATCACTCGATTATGCGCACAAAAAATGAATGGCCGGCAAGCCGATAACACCGATATATCGCCCTTTGGAATATCGGTATCAGCAAAAATCCTATATCTACCGATCTCAGATAGAACTGAAGCTTGAGAAGCTACACTCTACTCATTTTTTTTTTTAATATCTAGGAGGCTAATAAGTCCACAGTTTCTGTCACGGGGCACGGTTCACGTACAGTTCAATTTCGTTGTTACTAGGCGTGCTTATGTGTGGTTGTTCGGTCGGCGGTTGTAAAAACAGTCTACCTCAGATTTTCGCACTTCTAACATCTTAACATACCTGTCTTTGTCCTCCACGAATCTTCCTCCAAAGCATCCAAAAGCGACGGTAATACCAACTTAACTCCGTGCCCTGATAATTTGCTCATAACCACCTTAGCAGTATCATCCGCTGCTGTTCTTACATATTGACTGGTATCCCCAAAGCATTGCAAGAGGTGAGGCAGTACGTGGACAATGTAGGGCTCGAAAAGCTTGCCTAACATTTGGAAGAGCATCTCAAAGGCAAAGAGGGCACCTTCGCGGTGCTTGTAATTCTTTTTGTCTTGGATTGCCTCGGTTAGTTTGGTCATTATATCGTGTTGTTTCAGAGCTAGGATACCCATGCCTGGAAAGAAAAAGTTTTACAAGCTTTCAACATATGTATTAAAGATAAAATTCAAGTATTGATGCTATATAAACGGATTTAAAGTTTCATAATCATTACACGTTTGAAAGTCTAAATGAATGTCATTTAGAAGAGTTATTTAGGGATAAGTGTATATGTGGATTTTTTTTATTGAAAGTAAGTCTAAAGATACGAAAGATTTTAATGCCCAACTTATTTATTGAACCTCAAGATTGGACAAATCACTTTTCATACATATTGCATGAAAAAGAGAATGCAAAAATCGTCATTCTAAAAATTTATTTTTTACTGAAAATAACTTAATGATAAATCTGGCATAACAGCCATTACTAAAGGCATTTATTATTATTACTTACTCAATCAGTATAATGTATATATGTATATATATAGCATAAGTATGTACATAGTAAATAAATAAATAGCTGGGATAAATTTACATAGTTGACGTTACGTTATCTCAGTTTATCTCGGATAATTTTTTGGACGCGAGAATATATCGTTAGGTTGGCTATCTTCAAGTAGAATTCGTTAATCAATGACATAATCTACCTTTTACTAATCCCGCGAGACCGTAGGCCGCTCCTTTTCTTTCTCCGTATTTGTCTCCTTTCAACAGCTGATGAAGTAATTTATTGACCAAACCAGGAGCATCTTCTTTGACAGCAGGTACTAAAGGAGGAAGGCAGTTCGCGACAGCTTCTTGAACCTAAAAATCAAAGATAAGGTATATTGACTTGCGCACTAACGTTATCAAAAGCCAAATAAAAAATTAGTGCATTTTTCAATATCTACAGCAAAACATGACATGTTACTATTAAATTGCATTGAATATTTTCCAACATTGACTTAGCTTACTTACAGTTTGTGAAGGTGTGGACAAAGCTTGTATCAACCTCATGACGATTGGTTTAATTCTAGGGTCATCCTTTTCTAAATGTCTTGCTAGGGAGCCCATGAGCACTACTACTGCTTGTTTGATAGCGTCGAAATGGGCTGATTTCGAAGACTTTCCCATGAAATCGTCAAAAACAGGCCATAGTGTTCCAACAGTTTCCTGAAAAATAGATATTTAAGAACTCTTTAGTTAGCGAAAATGAGCCTTTTTCTCAAGTAGTTTTAGAGTATCCAGGAAATAGTATAATTGCGAAAGTTCTCAAAATTCAGATAAACAGTTTTTTGAAGTTTCACAACATTTATATCCTGAAAAACAAAGTCTTTAGGTTTGTTCCAATAAGCAGTTGCAAACTAGTTTAGAACAAGGTTGAAATTATTTTTCTGCGCACGCCCGAGGTAGATAAAGTTCAAGACCAGTTCCTTACTATTATGTTGAAACATAGAAACATAGAACATGGCTTGTTGTTGTAAGCACAACCTTAATTGAAGCAAAGTTATCAAATTTGCCATAGCTAGACCTCTAATTTGAGAGAATTTATTGTTTTATGAAGTAATATACATTTTTTGAAAAAAAAAATGGGAAAACAAGATGGCAAATTTAACAAGAGATGAGTAGATGGGCTAAATATTTAAAGAAACAGTATGTGTCTTTTCTAGCGCTGGAAATTTTGCCTTTAGACTAAGCATGTTTTGCTACAGTAACCAAAGAGAAAATTAAGTGGAATGTTAACAGCAGTAAGCTATTAATTGACTTGAAATGAAATAAATATGTAAGATTGATATGACTATTAACGCGAATGAATAAAATTCGTTAGAATCATCCATACTTGCCTATATGTATTTTTTCCAGTTCTTGAAGATCCTATAATCAGGACAAGATCCTCATCTTCACTTGAATCTATTCCAAAGTAATGTTTAGCGTCATCCATTTTTTAAATATGTGCAATAGATTGCACAATAAACGGTTAAGATCGACGTTAAACTTTTTTATATAAGAGAGATTGAAAAGCTAGAAAAGGGACAAAGTGGCATCTACAAAACCCAACTTTCCGGCTCTGAAAAGTTCAATTCTACAAACGCGAATGGGCTAATAAAATGGATATTTTAGTTCTCTCAGAATCAGAACTGTTAGAAGGATAATTATTATCTGCACATGCACTGCTCAGAACTAGTTTACTGGTTTGTTGGAACAAAGCTTCTATATTCTAGATCGTTGTCAAAGTTTGTTTTTGTATGTTTTACAACTTTCTGATAATTTTTAGGCGTATTTGGTCATCGTTTTTGTAGTGGCTAAAATTTATTTTTTGCTGTTATTAAAGTTCTTTGGGCACAGTAATATTCGTATTGAAGGTTTTCAATCTTCACGTATGAGTAATTTTGAAAATATCCTTACATGATTGTGAGGGAAGTATTGAGTCAACTACTGGACATTCCTCTTACCTTTCCATGTAAATCAACAACTTTGAGTGCGGCGTTCAGTATTTCCTTTCTAACAGTTTCGTTTCTGTCTCCCAGTGAAGTAAAAACAAAGAACTGCACTAAATCACCTATCAGATCGGGAGTTATAAGTGGGGCTAGTTCAGCTAAAGCCAAGGCTACACCTCTTCTCGGAAACCAAGTATCAACTGCCTTTTCCACTTCTCGGCCGAATTCGTCCAGTTTCGCTGGGATTAACTTCAAAATAAAATTTTATATAAATATAAGTCATTAGCCCATGATATAATACGCTCATATACGAGTACTATTAACACTCAATTTATCTCCACAAACTCATGGATCAAATGCAGTTAGAATCAAGGATCGTTGAGGTAGCTCTTGGGTTTGGCCACAATTCATTGGCATGCTTGACATTTTCATGTATTCAAATCGTATGACTTTGCTCGCCAGCAGGAGATCAAGGCACACATAACCTTCTCACAAAACTCCACTGTGTAGAGAATAGACAAGCCTACGTCGAGTCCAGAAACAAATATAACGAAGCGGTTCGCAATGCTTAAGACCAGCACAATATAAAAGTTCGACACAGGGTATTGTCGCAGCGCAATCGCAGCCAGTCTTTCTGGGCGCTGGCCAAGCAGATTGAAAGGAACTCACAAATTGAACCTTGAGCTGATGTAAAGGTTCTTCAGCACCTTCAAGAGTATGTACACATTTGTACAATTGTTACCTGAAGCTTTAATACAACCAACAAGAGAGTTTAGTGTCCTATAAAGTATGCTCACTTATATGAGTGATAATTGTTAGTTGGGTATAAATCGGAATTCGATAAATCCGTGGTTTCTATTTAAAACACCTGACGCAAATACGCTTGATTCCAGTTGGAAGATAGATGTAGTTCTGACAGACATCTCAAACAAAAAATTTCTATTCAGAATGGTAAATTATTGCCTGAATTAACTTGGTCATGTTAATAATCAGTAACTACGTTTGAACTATGGGCTTTTGGAGGTCAAATGAAGGTGGAATGGCATCCGAGCCTATAAGGCCGTTACCTTACCTTGAGTCTGTCCCTATACAACTGTATCAAATGCTTGAGAGTGCTCTCTACTTGAGCGTTATCAGTTTCCAAAAGAGATGCAAGTGCCTTAGCAGCTGCCGTTTGTACGCTTTCTACAGGGTGTTCTATATCGCTAATCAACTTATTACTAAGACTAGCAGGGAACTCCATTTTAGCTTGTTCCCACAACTGATTCGCCAATTCTCTGTAAGAAAATTAAATGTCACTAATGAAATACGGTTCTACAATATTCAGTTTTGGATAAGAATAAATAGTACATTATATTCCTAGGAGTCAGATTTTGGAAAAGAAATAAATAGTAAATTACACACGTAGGAGTCATATTTATAGGCTTGAGCCTACCTTGGAAACAATGGATATCAAATATCTCATTGGAAACAGTAAAATAATGATGCTTCCCCGAGGAACGTTCAAGGAAAGATTCAAATTTTCATTTCACAGTTGTCTGTAACAGTTGTCATCATGAGCTGTAGGCGATTTTTCTTTGCTATTTAGCATTTTGATGATAAAATTAAATATTGATAAGCAATGCAAAATAATGCTTGCTTCTTTGAATTGCAGTGCAATCACAGATAAGTACAAAATTGAATATAGCCAACCAGTTGCACCGAACTGCTCTGCTGGTTGAACATTGTAGATTGATCAACATTCCTCTTCAGACTTTAGAGGAGTTCAGGGACCTAGGAGTAATATTTGACAGGACATTGAGCTTCAGTGCACACCTAACTAATTTAATGAATTCTGCCAATAAAGCACTGGGATTCGTTATACGCAACTCAAGAGAGTTTATCGGTACCACAGCACCTACAGTGCTGTACAATTCGTTTGTTCTTTCTAAGCTGGAATACGGAAGAATAATCTGGAACCCATGCTATGTTACTTAATGTGACTCATTGGAAAAAATTTAGAGGAAGTTCTTGAAGTATTTATCTCTCAAAACTGATGGTGTTTATCCTCCCATAGGGATTTCATAAAATAACTTACTTCAAAAGCATAGATTTCTCAGCCTTGATGATAGAAGGAAGATACAATCTTTAGTCTTTTTGTTCAGTTATAAATTACCAACATGACTGTCCATCATTTTTGTCTATGCTAAATTTCAATACACCTAGAGTACGAACAAGGGCCAACCTTGCCTTTTACCTACCTACCCCACGAACGAATCTACTGCTGCACTCACCGCTATATTCGATATGCTCATGTTATAATGACTATATGAATTATTTTGATATCTTCAACACATCCATTTTTATTATTAAGAGAGTATGTAAAGCGGTAGTTTTTTTAGAGCTACCACAGTTTGATTGAGCTATGATCAGTGGTTGCTTTTCATGTGTTCTTATTGGTAATTGCTAAGCAATCAATGCAATTAGTTTATTTTGTGATTTTTATATATATGTACGGTATTTCCCACCAGTAATTGGTTTATAAACTGTTGGTGGTGTAATTAAATAAATAAATTACGCCTGTCAGATTCAACTACTACAGCATTTCACGAAAAACATACAGGGTCCGTCAGAGAGAACGCATGTTTTTCGAATGGGTATAACATCAAGTGGGCTAGTCCCGTGTCGGTGTGGAAGGGCGTGTTGGAAAGTGTTGTTTCAGTTGGAAAGCTGGTTTGTAACGCGAGCATCGTGTGTTCACTGTACGTCGGTACTTTCAAAATGGCGAGTCTGTCGTTCGAACGCAACGTCAGTTTCGCGTTCCTTTTCGTCATCCACGTCATGGGACAGAACCAGACCGTAACACCATTTTGAGATGGGTGGAAGCATTCAACACTACAGGTAATGTGATGAAGAAAAAACCGCCAGAGCGAAACCGCACTGTTAGAACCCTCGAAAACGTAAACAGAGTGAGAGTTGACACGCTGCAAAGCTCGAATCGTTCCGTCCGTTTGCGTACCAGTTCTCTAGGGCTCCACGCGTCCTCTGTACGTCGCATGTTGAAGAAGGATTTAGTGTTCCATCCTTAAAAATCAAAGTATGTCAACAACTGATACCAGGGGATTATGCACCACCTGTTAATTTTGCTCATGATTGAACGGTTGGATAACAATGATATGACATTGTTTATGAGTGATGAAGCACATTTTCATTTACATGGATATGTCAATAAACAAAATTGTCGATATTGATCTCCAGTGAAGCCCCAACAGTTGCATGAGCACCCTCTGCATTCCCCGAAAGTTACAGTTTGGTGTGCAGTAGGCCCAACGATGATTATTTGGCGTTATTTTTTTGAGGATGATGGAGAAACAACTACTGTGAATTCAGAGAGTTACATCCACATGCCGAACAACTTTTTTTTCCTGAACTTCGAAATCGACCTCTTAGAACAGTGGGGTTCCAACAAGAAGGGGCAACATCTCACACTTCGATGGAACTTCTTCATTTCACGTCATGGCGATATTCCACGGCCCCCTCGCTCCCCAGACCTGTCAACGTGTGATTTTTTTATGGGGCTACGTGAAATCAAAAGTTTACCAAAGCAAGCCTCGGACCCTCGTCGATTTGAAGGAGGAAATAAGTAGAGAAGTAACCCAAATTCCTGCACGGATGCTGGCCGACGCAATGGCTCATTTCGGAAGAGGCTTGATTCCTGCATTTCGGCTCAAGGGCCCCATATGACCGACATAGTTTTTAGAACGTAAATTTTGTTTTACTTAAAAAATGGCATGTATTTCTGAGTATTTTGATATAACGAAATATTTTTCCTATACTTATTTTGACACATTTAAAAAACATGTGTTCTTTCTGACGGATTCTGTATTTTATACCCAAATTTTATATTATAGATTATAATTGTGACTATGAAAAAAAAGAAGTTCAGCGAGAAGATGCAGCGGAGCAGTTTGGTGCAACTTTTTGCCTGTATTCAGTTTTTTACTTTTCTGTGATTGCACTGTAATTCAAGGAAGCAAACACAATGATTTTGCATTGTTTATTGACATATTTAGCATAAATACAGCAAATCGTACCAGCAAAGAAAAATCTGACTTCGATGACAGTTCGTGATGGCAACTGTTACAGCCTACTATGAAATGAAAATTGAAATCCTCCCTCAAGGAAGCGTCATTTCAGTGTTTCCAAGGAGAGATCCATTGTTTCCAAGGAAGCCTAAAGCCTCAAGGACGGTCTATAAATCTCACTCTTAGTTGCAAAGTGAGTCAATTACGGGGCGAGCAGTATTATAATCTAAGGGGCATAGTGAACCACTTTTCCGTATTTTTTGAGATTAATTTTGTTTTTGAGCATAGAAAAACTTTTTTCAAAGGGGTCGAAGTTCGCTTTTTACGTTTTCAACTTTTTCTATTACCTTAGACTGTAAGGAAACATTTTTAAGGGTAATTTTTTAGGCAATTCGTATATGTATCTATATTTTAAATCAAACTGTAATATTATTATTGAGTCCTACATGTTTGTCTGGGTGCTAAATGAAACCACGAAAAATTCAATATAGGAAGTCTCGATATTGTATAAAGAGGATAACAATTACAAACTGTAGGTAAGGAATCGCATATATAAAATTAAATACCAAGTATATTTCTAGTTGATCTGTGGACTGTGTACCAATTTGGTTGCGAATCTTTGCTGTTGTATTTGAAATCCGCAGAAGTTTCACTTCGCTATCTCAAGGTCAAACTGTTGTCTTATACAAGACAAACAACATAGTTCCCTTTAGAGGTTGTAGTACTACTTCTCGTATTTCAGATCCATAAACAATGTACAAGCAGCATTTATAGTCGAAGATTGCATAACAATTAACCGGTGCGTTGCCGTACCTGGTGCATTAAAAAACGACAGATATAACCTCATGCTCACTTATCCCTTTATGAGGCTGGAAGTTCTTTTGGGAGCGGGAATACCTACCTCAGGCGGTCCTGGGCTTTGCTGGTTTTACACGGTACCATCTTAAAATTACAATGACTTCACACAATCTCAGCATGTTACAGGACTGAGAAAAAGAAGAGAAAAAACAAAGCGTCACCTGTAAGATAGATAAACAAACATATATAGTCATCAGTATTGTTATTTGCACTTGAAAAAGGTCTCCGTGGTGGCCGAAACGTCATCAGTAAACAGTATTTCAAGTATATGTGGTTCAAGTCATCGGCCAGACAAACATGGAGGATTATCAGCATGAAAACCACAGGATAAGTTTCAGGAGCTACATTATCATCCTAGAATGCCAGATCCTCAAAAACCTCCTTTAACCTCAACTCACCTATTCTCCTCATTCTCATCAAATCTAGCAATCCAGACCCTCTTGTACACCTTCAGAGCATAATCGTAATCCGTCTCAAAGTTCGGCAACGCGGCAATGTCTATCGTAAGCCCTCTCAAGGCTGAGTCCCTTACTACAGCTGAAGGGCTTTGGAGGGCCGTTAGAAGGACGTCGATGACCTCTCGGTCAGCTGTGGCACAACCTGGTTGCCCGGAGACGCAAGAAGCTACCTCCAGGAGGCAGGCCTCGCATTGGGATTGTACTCTGCCGGTTGTAGCATCTGAACACAGAAAGGAAGAAAGATGGATTTTAGAGGCCACGCACATGATTCTTTTTCTAGGTGTCGATGATTATGTGGTTCACGAAAACCTGTTAATTGCGTTGCTAAGCTGGTACATGGGCTGGCCATACACATATTCTTTCACGTGCGACAACTTCCATCTAAACACATGTCACAAATCGTTTCTGATAGTTCTCGTCCCTACACGATATGAGGGATTTTATGTATTCTTCAGTGTACTTAGCGTGTAGGTGGCAAAGCGTCGCGTGTCACGCCACGACAGATAAAATCAGCGTTACTCGATGATTATAGCTCGGTTTTTCAGCCGCAGGTTAACTACGATATTGGTCTTAACCTAATAGTTATCTATGAAAAAGCTTTTTTCGATATCATGTTTATAGTATAATATAGTTAACTTTAATTAACAGACCATCTGTGAGTTAACTAGAAAGGCTGTAGTTGAATAGGAATACCTGACGTTTGTTGACACACGTTTATTTAATTCACAAAGTCATAACAATTTATCGATAAATGTAAATTAAAGCTGGATTACGCGCATAGCGAGATAAAGAATAATCCTTCATCCGCCGTATTACTTTGACGAAATTGATTTCCTTGCAAGGTTTCGTCGTACAAAAAGGACAATAGAAACAGATCTTTTCGCTTTCCAGGAAACTGTGCATTTTTTTTTGCTCTCTACTGAAGGGCGTTTGGAACTATTTACAGGGATAAATTACTTACAAAATTGCATCACTATGGATTTAAAGGATGTGTATTCAAAATTCTACAAAACTACTTAATTGACAGTCAAAAAAACAAAATTGGATCTTCATTATCAAGCTCAAAAAATATTTATGGTGGTGTACCACGAGGGAGTAAACTAGGTCCACTACTATTTATTTTATACATTAATAACATATGTAATATTCTAGATTATTGTAAAGTTCAGATATATGCAGATGATAGATTAATATACATATCATATCAGATGAAAATATAGACACTGCTTTAAAAATGCTAGATTCTGACTTGGCAAAAAATTAGTTGAATGTAAATAAACTAAAACTGAATGCTTCTAGATCAAAATATATGCTAATAGGGAAATACCTAAATGAAAATACTATCACAGTTACGATAAATGGTCAAATAATTGAAAATGTTGAATCAATGATGGCCCATCTAGGTGTGGTTGGAAAATTACTCATAAACAAATACATTTTGGGAAAATCTATTTATGGGGTGTTATACATGACATTTGAGGGCACATTTCTAAAACATTGTCCATTATAGGCATTATAGGGTGTCCCAATCTCGACCTACATATCAAAGTTGTGATTTTTCAAATGGAATGCCTCAAATTTTATTGCACATTTGGATAAACCAATTCAAAAGAAGAAAATTGATATAGTACTATAGGGTTTTGGGAATTACCTACTGAGATATAAGGTGTTTTGTCTAGAAAAACCCCCTACTTCGGCAACCCCTCAGTCCGTCATTTTGAAATTTGGAGTGCTGAATGTTGTATCAAAAAAAACTGACGCATCTCAGCTTTTATCTTTTTTGTTACTTTTTCGCAAGTTTGGATTCAAATTTTTATAAGCTTTTTTTTATACTAGACACATAAGGGTTTTTATGGCTATTTTTTCGGTTATTAGCACGTCTTTTATGGAACGGCTTAATTCCCTAAAATATCACATCATCCTTGGAAACAAATAAATTGTTGATTAGTTACAAACTGTCAAAATTAGCTTGTGAGCATTATAATAAAAACGTGTTCGAAAATGGATTTTTCAAAAGAAGAAATGGTGAATATTGTGTTCGTTTTGGGCGAAGCCCAAAGACATAGTTTCCTAGCATCTCGCATTTATAAGTAACGGTACCCTAATATGCGACATTCAAGACCGGAAACATTTTCCACACTACGAGAACGTTTTGAATCAAGTGGAGCAGTAGAATATAGTAAAAAATGTATAAATAATCCAAGTGTGTTACCAATGAGGCGAATCAGTTGGAGGTTCTATTAAAGTTGCAGGAAAATCCCCATTTAAGTGCACGACAAATTGGAGCAGAAACAACTGTTATATGCAGAACTTCTGTCCAAATGGTTATTCACAAGTATAGGTAGCATCCATATCACCTATGCTTACATCAAGGCCTTCGTCCTCAGGATTTCGCAGCTCGAATGGAGTTTAGTAGAATAAGTAAAGTGAGTGAAGACACTAATTTCCTGGATAAGGTTCTTTTTACCGATGACGCAACTTTTAACAGCATCCATGTTGTCAACGAGCATAACATGCACTATTATGCGACGGAAAACCCTTACTGGGTTAGGCAAACAGATTTCCAAAATAGATGGAGCTTGATTGTTTGGGTGGAGTTATTGGCAGACAAGTTATCGGGCCTTTCTTTTTCGACAACAGATTAACAGGTACAGAAAATACTTGAATTTTTTGATCGAGCATTTGCTTCTGCTTTTGGAGGATGTCAACCTGCAAACTCGGATGCATATGTACTTCCAACATGACGGAGCACCTGCGCATTATCATAATCGTGTGCGTAACTATTTGGACACCTGGAGTAACAATCGTTGGATCGGTCGTGATGGGCCTATATCTTGGCCTCCTAGATCACCAGATATGACATCGATGGACTTCTTTCTATGGGGCTACGTTAAGCAAGAGGTTTATAGATATCCACCATCTACCCCGGAAAATATGAAGGAAAGGATTAAGGATGCTTTTCTGAACATAAGGGAACAAATGCTGAGGGATCTGCAACGGTCATTTATCCAAAGACTACGGCTGTGTATTCAACATGGTGGAGATATTTTCGAGCAGTTTTTGTAGATTAGGTCTTTAGTAGTAATAGTTGTTTGTTTATGTTGTTGTTATAGTTGTTTTTCTCTATTACGCTTGAAGCTGATTTATACTGTTCTGATTGTTATTAGTTTTTACGTCAAATCTGTACTCTAAGGACCGTATCGTCAGTCGTTCCTACAATTGTAGGGCGCCTTTATGGCCTCCCTGATTTTCATAGTTTTCTACTGTTGCGTGTCAGCGCTCAAGTTTCAGGTTATGTGACAAATATCTATTTGGATCAAATTGTTCATGCTTTTGATTTATATCATGTTTTATCAGCCTGAAATTTCCTGCAATTCAAAAAGAAAACATAACTTCACAATAGGAGAGCGCTGACGCGGACACGGAACAGGTGCAATCTAGTAATTTTTGAAAGAAAGAACGGACTATGACAATCAAGGAGGCCATAAAGGCGTGCCACAATTGTAGGAACGACTGACGATACGGCCCTTAGTGGGAATATGGAACTAGCCCACTGTTTGTCTTTTGTTTCCATGGATGATGTGTTTTTCCCTTAATTTTGGTGTGTTGTTCTATTAAAAACTTAATAATAGTAAATAAATAATAAACCCAAAATCTAGTGCTTTTATCTGAATCAAACCTTATACCAAAAAAAGCTTATAAAAAATGAATCCAAACTTGCACAAATATACAGGGTGATGCATTTGAAATTTTTCAGAAAATCTACAATTTGCGATTTGACCACCCTACCCTGTATGAGCAAAAATTAAAATTCGCAAAAGTAACAAATAAGTTAAAAGCTGAAGTGTGCAAGTTTTTTTTAATACAAAATTTAGCACTCCAAATTTCAAAACGGTGGACTGAGGGGTTGCCGAAGTGGGGGCCTTTTCTAGACAAAACACGTTATATCTCAGTAGCTAATTACCAAAACCCCATAGTATGTTATATCAATTTACTTCTTTGGAATTGGTATATGCCAAAAATTTGAGGCATTCCATTTGAAAAATCACATCTTTGATATGTAGATCGAAATTGGGACACCCTGCATAATGGCCAATATTTTAGAAATGGGCCCTCTACTGTCATGTATAACAATAAATAAATAGATTTTCCCAAAATATATTTGTTTATGAGTAATATTCCGTCCATACATGGATGGGTCACCCTGTATACAGGGTATTCCTTAATGATATGCGAATATTTAAGCGTGTGAATCTACATTAAAAATTAATGTTAATTTCCTTCATAAACTATGGTCCAAAAATGTTTCCTTACAAAAACTCGGGGTGTTGAAGTTTTATGAAAAAAATGGAAATTTAATAGTGGCGTGCGTACGGGTATTGTCTTCGATATTTTTTAAGAAAAAAATGGTACGCCAACAGTTTTTTGCCAAATAAAAATTATTTTTGAATTCCCTGTTCAATTTAAAACAAATGATCTCTCTTTAATTGTTTTCCTTCGATGCGCCATTTTGGAGTAAAAAAATAAAAACCGTTCTATTGTCCGAGAAAATTAATGTAATTATTGAATGCAATTTAGCAATAAATATCTAGTTGCTCTGGAATATGTCACTGGCTTTTGACATCTGACAAGTCTCTGTTCAAATCTGATCGCTGTGACATCTTTTTCATTATTTAGTTTTTGCAATCTTGTTAATAATGGTGAATTATTCAAATGCAGAAATGGCGGAAATGCATTACGATTATGGCCTTGCCGACGGTAATGGTGAGCAAGTCCGACGGATTTATCACCAGAGATATCCCGATCGTGCTTTGCCAGATAAACGAACCTTTTCTAATATTCATCGTCGTCTTGTTGAAACCGGTTCTGTCCGAAAAGGAACATCTTAAGGTAGACCGCTAAGTGTGAGAACACCTGAAATTGAGGAAGCAGTGCTGCACGAAGTCGAAGAACCTCCTGAAACGAGTACGAGGAAGTTCGCTAGACCCTTAAATATTTGCCATCAAATTGTTTGGAGGATTTTAGTGGATTTTTTGTTATATCCTTACCATATTTTAAGAGTTCAGGCATTACTTTCCATTGATTTTCCAATGCGTGTGACCTTTTGTCAGTGGTATCTTCAAAAAATTACACAAAATCCGCAATTTGAATCTATGATTCTGTTCACGGACGAAGCTAATTTTTCTCGAAATGCCATTCAGAATTTCCACAATATTCATTTGTGGGCAGAAGAAAATCCCTATGCCGTAACCGAAACCCATTTCCAACACCAATTTTCGGTTAACGTATGGGCAGGAATTATTGGCAACCACTTTATTAGCCCATTCTTCTTGCCGGGACGGATTGACGGACAGACTTACCTCAATTTTCTTCAACAACAGTTGCCTTTGCTGCTTGATGATGTTCCGTTAGTACTAAGAAACAATATGTGGTACATGCATGATGGTGCACCAGCGCATTTCAGTGTAGCGGTTCGTAATTGTTTACAAACTGTTTATCCAAATCGTTGGATTGGCCGCGGTGGGCCCCAAGAATGGCCACCAAGGTCCCCAGACCTCAACAGTTTAGATTAAGATATCTTAAGACACTAGTGTACACAAGTCACATTAACACTGTAGAGGAATTAAGAGAAGCTGGTGATAGAATAAAATACACTCCAGGGATATTTCAACGAGTGCTCAATTCCATGAGAAGGAGGGCGGAAGCATGCATACTAAGAGAAGGGGGCCATGTCATTTTCAACAATTTTTGTAATCATTTCGTTGATTTTAATGTTATGTTTATGTTGTCAGTTGTTGTTCATTACCCCTAATGTGTTTAATTTTTCCAATTCAATTAATAATAATTAAAAAAATTATTTTTGCATTGAAAAATATGCAACTTTATTAACTTTCACTACGTCCTAAATATCAGTGAAATATCAGAAGCGGTTCTGCAAATATTGATTAATTTCCATTTTTGTCCTAAAACTTCAATACCTCGAGTGTTTGTAAGGAAACATTTTTGGACCATAGTTTATAAATCAAACTAACATTAATTTTTCATGTAATATAATATGAATGACGTTGTTTTTTACCAACCGAGTGATTTGGTTATACGTGTTTCTGAAACGTCAATTTACTACAATTTTAGTCATGAATCCCTTTACACCGAAACAGCGCGCCGAAATAGTCGCAATGTACATTGAAAATCGTCGATCAGTTGTGTTAACGCAACGTACTTATCGTCGAAAATATCGTGGCAAACAGGCACCGTCTGACAACACTATCCGTCGTTCGGTTTAGAATTTTCTTGAGTACGGAACAGTGGGAGATCGTCAACATAAGTCAAGTGTACGCCAGCAAGCCCCAAACCACTGAAGAACTCAAGGCAAACATTCGTACCGCAATCGCCGCTATACCACCAGAGATGCTCGAAAAAGTAATGGAAAACGCAGCCAAACCGGCACATTTTGTTTTGGCCAATAAAGGTGGCCCCTTCATAGATGTTGTGTTCAAAAACTAGTCCCAATAATTTGTAAAGGACCATATTTACTAAAAATACCCGATATATAGAAATCAGTTTTTTGTTTTCAAAGTTATTTCATGTTTACATACCGACATAAAAGATGGCGCACCCTATATATATATATATATATATATATATATATATATATATCGTTAGTGAACTAAAGTTTGAGGATCACTGTGAATACATTATTTAAAAAATTGCCAAAAAAAAAACAAATTACGTTTATAGGGACTCCCATAGTCTTAGCACATATTCCAAGAAAATATTTTATAATACAATTATTCTACCGCATTTACTATATTGTTCAACTATCTTGTTCACTGCCAATGAAACTTTGTTCTCAAAATTACAAGTCCAGCAAAATAAAGCTATGAGAATAATATTAGGTAAAAATAGGTACATCAGAATAAATCTATGTTACAAGAATTGCAGTGGTTGAATATAAAAAATTTCATATATTTGGTTATTTTTAAATTTAAAATTAAAAATCATCTCTGCCATAACATTTAGAACACTATATAGAATTGAATATTCATTACCACAATTATTATACAAGAGGAAAAATAGGTTTTCATTTATGAAATTGCAATAGTAATATAACTAGCAAATCAGTATTTCAAAAGGGATGACTTGACTTTCTTAAACTAATTAATAATATAAAGTCTTCTTATAATTTAAAGATTTTTAAAAAAAAATTAAGGGAATATTTCATGGACAGTGAGCATTCTTAGAGATGCCAATTTTGTTTTTCTAAATATTTGAATGTTATGTAATTGCTGTAGTTTTTTAAAAGAATGTAATTGTAGCAATCATGCTAAATAAATCTTAGGCTAACAAAATTCGTACAGGATAAAACGCCATTCCAAATGACAAACTAAATGATTTCGAGCTTTTCTTTAGAATCGGCGTGTCACGTGTATACGATATATGGGCAAATATAACCGTTTCACCGCGCGCTCGTGAACCGCCACGGAAAACAATTCGTGTGTGGCCAGCTATTGATCAATATTCCAATTAGAAACTTGCTTGTAATAGCCATATAATTTTTTCATTTAACATACCCAATATTGGTGTTCAGCTACTTACTAAGAATGTCCACCAGAAGGCTGAAGATCTGCTTGGTCGGCAGATATTTTGGATGATACAGGTCCTTTATCCCATTCTCGTCGCTCCCCCTCAATTTGGCATGCTCGCTGATGATATGAAGTCCATCGTGGATAAGTTCATCATGGTTTTTGGCATAGTTTGAAGTCAGACTGTATTTCAGTAAAGGAAACATGTAACTGAACGCTGGAACTGTGAAGGAACACTTTTGCTGTTCTTGATCGTCTTCCGTCTTTTTGGGCATAGTCTTCTGGTGGATCAGAGATATTACTCTGACCATAGCCTTGTTCAGGTTTTCCGATTCCCAATTTAGGTCCAGATCGCATTGTGGTTTGGATAACCTGAAGTTAAAATTCACAAGTAACTTGGTACTTTCAGTCTAAAGCGAAGTTAGCATGATATACAGGGTGTTTCAGAAAGTCGTATCAATATTTCTAGGGCAAAAAATAACAAAGAAAGTCCCTGTAAATATGATGCTCCGCTACTGAGATACAGGGTGATGAAGTTTTATTGACGAAATAGAAAATAAAAATTATATCTACGGAGCGGGTAAAGATACTAAGTTAAGATTTCAGACATTCAGTGAAAACATCATAAGCAATAAGCATGCAGAGTTTCCCGGCCCAAACCGGGGAGGTAAAAACTAGGGTATCTGGACCCCTAGTAGAAAATATTTTCTACACCACTGCAAGAAGTGCATTTTATACAATACAATTCAATTTTTCATAAAGTTTGTCTCTTAAGGAATATTTGACAGATCACTCGTTTTGGAGATATATAGCTTAGAATATTTGAGATAAAATCCTAAAATATTCTTGAAAAAAGGTTTATTTTTATCTACTTTTCCCGGTATTACCCACGTTAGATTTTTCTGTTTGTCTAAAATCACATCCAGTAATTGTGGAACAAATCAATTTGGGTAAAATTTTTATTTTCTGAAATATCGGCATTTTTTCTCAAAATTCGGATTAGGTGAGCTCAACAAAGAAGATCACAAATCGCTATCAACCTGGGACACGAAGTATGAACACGAATTATACAGAAGGCTTTCAACACTGTTAGTTCTACGTCAGCTATTTTCCAAAGAGTGAGTCTTTTTTGTTGAATCCAGATGTGATCACTTTCAACTTCAACACCTCCTTTAGGTTGGATATTATAGCATTTATTCAGCATTATTTTTTGTTACCAATGTTACGTCCTGCTAAATTTAGAAAAAAAACACGTAAGTTTATCAAATGTAATGTTTATTGTTGTCGAGTTCAATTCTCATTGGCTTTATTTATTTTTGAAATAAACATTTACTTTGTTTTAAAGTTTCTTTATCCATAAACAAAAATAAATATGCCTGTAAAACCAGTGGCGTGCACAGGAAAGGTTGAATGAATAGTAAGCTTCTATACTAATTATTGAGGATAAGACAAAATAATTAATCAACTAATGTTGTAATGAGGTGCCATAGCTTTTTTCACAAGCCTTATGATGTTTCCAATACCAAGCATCACGGTGTTTTCAGAATAGGGGAGGCTAAACCTTTTCGTAAGAGTATTTCAGGATTTTACCTAAACTTCTCCAAAACGAGTGATCTGATAAAAATTCCTAGAGACTAAATTTACGGAAAGTTGATTGGTATTTTATAAAGTGGACTTCTCTTCTCCGAAAAGGCCAGTGGAAAATATTTCCTACTGGCGGTCCAGGTACCCCAGTCTCTATGACCCTGGTTTAGTTTGGAAACTCTGTGTGTTTATTGTTTATGATGTGTTTACTGAATGTCTGAAATATTAATTAAATCAACTCAGTACCCGCTCCGTAGATATATTTTCTTAATTTCGTAAATAAAACTTCATCACCTCGTATCCCGTTAGGGGAGCATCTTTTGACCCATATTTATGTGAAATTGTTGTGTTATTTTTGGATGTACTTTCCACCATAGGCTCGTCTTTTCGAAACATCCTGTATATCTGCTACATTTTCGTTAGCTATCGTTATAATATATACTGTAGCGGACAAAAGTTTGGAAACAAATATTAACATTATTATGAACTATTTCATATACATAAATTAAAATTGTGAAGAAACAGATTATATAAATATTAAAGTCTAACTTTGGCTTCCGTACTAATACAAGGTTTATCTTATCAATATTCAAATTCTGTGAAAATAAAAAAACGCGTTTTTTTAAATATCACAGTTTTTGTAACGATAAAACTATGGAAACATTTCAGTTCTGGCGTATATATTGGTTCTTGCGATACTCTGATATTGCGTAACATCAGTGAGAATGGCAAAAGTAAACGAATTTTCAAAATATTTGAGAGGCAAAGTAATTGAACTATTTAGAAGTGGTGCCAGAAATGTTGACATTTCTCAAAGATTAAAAATGAACAAAGGTACGATTTCGAAAATTAGTAGTAAATATCAACAATACGGATCAAGAGCAACGCGGGCCAGGTGCGGAAGACCGAAAAACCCGTTTATGTTTTGGATCGCTACATTAAAGGTATGATTTATAAAAGAATCGTAGTAGAGTGTGCCGAGAATCTCTCTGTCAGAACAGTGCAGAGACGCTTGGTGGATTTAGGGCTTTTTGGTAGGCGTTTAGTGCAAAAGCCTCTCATTTCAAAAAAAAAATAAATAATCGTATTGCTCGGCTTAAATTTGCTAAAACTCGTCTACCCTGGACAGAACAACAATCGAATACAGTTTTATGGAGCAATGAAAGCAAATTTAACTTGTTTGGATCTGATGGTATGGCATATGTGAGACGTCCAATATGAAAAAGATTCGACAAAAAGTATCAGTTGCCAACAGTCAAGCACAGTGGAGGCAACATCATGGTTTGGGGCTGTTTTTACCTAGTTCTGGAACTGGTCGAATTGTTAAAATTGTTGGCAAAATGGATAAAAAAGATATTCTTAGTGAACACATTCTCCCTTTTGCTGAAGAAGAAATACTTTTACGATGGACATTCCAGCAAGATAATGACCCTAAGCATACCTCAAAAATCGTGTCAAGAACTGGTTAAGACTAAAAAATGTTAATGTTCTTACATGGCCTTCCCAATCTCCGGTCCCCTATAGAACATCTCTGGTAGAATGTTAAAAGACAACTGACAAAAAAACTTAAAAAAATAGGAACGATTTATTTGATTATGTATTTGACAAAATATCCCAGAAGACGTCTGTAAAACATTGGTGTCTTCTATGAGCAGCAGATGTCAGTCAGTGTTGAAAGCCTATGCTACCAAATATCAGCTAAACATTATTTTTTAAATCTTTTTGTAGAGTTATTGTATTTAATTTTGTAATAAAAAATGTTGCATACACTTTCAAAATTTCACAGCGTATCATTGAATTATCTAAGAAAAAAAGTAAACAGTTTAAAATCAAATAACAACTGTGCCGAAATCACTACTAAAAACGTGCTAAAAAACTGTTTCGAAATTTTGGGATATCCTGTATTAAATTGGATCAATTGTTCACTGAGAAGCAGTTCTTTTCCTGAAAATTTGAAATGCTCTACAATAACACCAGTTCCCAAAATAAAAAATTCTAAAAGATGCATTGATATGAGACCAGTAAATGTGTTACCAGACATTGAAAAATTATTAGAGTCCATAGTGCATGACCAATTAATGCAGTTTATAGAAGAAAACAAAATTTTAGTGGAGGCGCAAGCAGGCTTTCAAAAAAATATTCCACAGAAACAGCTTTCCAGTTGGTAACTGAGAATTGGAGAAGAGCCACAGACTCAGAAGAAGTTGTCATAGCAGTATTTTTGGATTTGAAGAGGGCATTTGAAACGATTGATAGAGATATTTTGTTAGGTAAATTGAAGGCATATGGTATAACAGGAAGTGTTTTAGATTGGTTTAGAAATTATTTATCTAAAAGGATGCAAGTTACAAAAGTTAATAACACTATTTCATCAAAAATTGAAAATACTTTGGGTGTCCCACAGGGCAGTATACTGGGACCACTTCTTTTTATTTTATACATAAATGATTTACCTGCCATAGTCAAAAAATGCAAAATTCAGATTTTCGCCGATGACACTATGATTTATATAAGTACTAAAAATATTCAGTCTGGTATCTCTTATATAAATGAAGACTTGAAGCTTGTCTCAAAATGGTTAACATCTAACAGACTAAAATTAAATGCAAGTAAAACGAAAGCCTTGTTAATCGGAAAAAAAACAATGTACAAATGTTCAACTGAATATTGATGGTGAAGATATTGAATTCGTAGAAAATTTTAAATACCTGGGGGTTTTTGTTGACTCTCGATTAATTTTTGATATTCATTATGAAAAAGTTATAAATAAGATTAGTAATAAAGTGGGATATTTATCGAGAGTTTCTGGATGTCTGAGTTCATATAGCAGAAAAATTATCTATAATACCATCATTCTTCCAAATTTCTTGTACTGTTCGACTATTCTATATTTAGCAAATAATTCCATTTTTGGAAGACTGCAAATTTTACAAAATAAGTGCATGAGAATAATACTAAATAAAGATAAATATACTCCAATTAGGCAAATGCTTAGCAAATTAAAATGGCTCAATGTAAAAATTTTTATCAAATATCTTGTAATGATATTCATTTATAAAGTAAAAAATAATATATTTCCATCAAGTCTAACTAATTTAACATCATCAAATGTCGACCATCATTTACATAATAACAGAAATAAAGATGACTTCCATTTAATGACCAAAAAGTATAACATATGCTACAAATCTGTATTCCATCAAGGGTTGATTGAATATAATAAATTATACTCGGAGATAAAAGACCAGAAAACTTTGACAAAATTTAAAGTAAAATTGACAAATCACTTGTTAAATCTACAATTATAGGTTGCCCAGCATTTACATCATACACCATATGGCTTGAATTTACTAGTTCTAAGTTGTTTACAATTATTCTGTTTATGTAGCCAAATGTGCTAAATAAATCTTTCTACTACTACTACTACATACTTTTGTCGTCTGATTTTCGGTCATAAAATAATATGAAGGTATTTTAATGCTAGTCTGTAGTACCACAACAAACACAAATTGTCAGTTGTATCCGCAAGATTGTCAGCAAACTATATGAGAAAAAATAGTCCTTAATAATAAAAAATAAAAAATTAGCACTTTTTAAAAATTACTAAGAATGTTTCCAAACTTTTGTCCGCTACTGTAGATGCTAAATGAGTAACAGTATTAGAAAATTAAAAAAATGTAATATAGAATCTACTCCCACAGCTCAGCTAATGGGCCTATCACACACCCAAGCTTCACCTCAGTTTTACCTGCGCAGGTAAGACTATGGTGAAGCTTGAACACGGACGAGGCTCCCACACGGCACAATTAAGTACGCGCAAGCCACATTCTTGTCAAAATCGTGGTCGTGGAAACAATGTTTCCCAATGAAGAACTATTTCTTCTGTTGTTATATTTTAAGGTTTCGTTAATGAAGAAAAGGACACTGCTAAAGTCTAAACGTAAACGATCGAAGTGGATAAAGAAATGGCTGTTGAATAGAAAAATTCATTCACATATAAATCTAATGAAGGATTTAAAAGATGATTCAAATGACTGGCGAAATTATTTACAGGTGGATGAAAATGCCTATAGTGAATTATTACGCTTGGTTACGCCTTTCATTCAACGTCAAAGTACGGTTATGAGAGTATATCACGTCACGAAAGGCTGACCGCTACTTTAAGGTTCTTGGCTACTGGAGGACCATATCCAGATCTTAGAAATCTGAGAAAGGTTCCGTGATACAGAGGATTGAGGTCGTGATTGGCTTATTTTTTGTTGTGAATGTTGAGTTTGAAAATAGTTCTCTGGTTGAGAGTATGGAGAGACTGTGGCTTGAACACTGAACACCCAACCACACGCACGGGCAAGTACGCGCACGCCTGGCTTGCGCAGACAAAATTTCAAACAAATCAAAACTCGCGCAAGTCAAGGAACGCCAACCACACACACAGTGTTCCATGTACAAACCGGCCTGCGCAGGTAAAACTGTGGTGAAGGTTGCGCGTGTGGTAGGCCCATAAACTTTTTGCACTCTGGTATGAGATATGTAAGCATGAAGATAATTTTTTTATACGAACTTTGATCACGACAACTTCGATTCAAGTATGTACATACCTGAGAGTAACATGAGCGATCAAATCTCCTAGCATCTCTGATTCTCCATTGAAAACAGTTTTTCGTAGATCAAGGATAAGTTTGCTTAGATCTGGAGCTGCTAAAGGACTCTGTAGATCTTGCAATAGAATCAACAGGATATCTTTATAATGGAGAGATAGAGCTACTGGATTACCTTTGGCTGTTGCTCTGATCATGGATATGCTGTCTTGGATTTGAACGTTGAGCTGAAAATAAAATGTTGTAATGTTTATTCATTATTTTATTTCACAAAACTTGCACTAATACATGTACAATTCTTAAGAAGTTAGTTTAGTTTATGAAATACTCGACATGTCCATTGATAGGTTATCTATCCATTCACAATAGATCTGGATAATTGGGGATCGAAAATCAAAGTGCGGATAAAATTTGAGATGTTTTCATTATGCCCTCCAGCAGTTCTGCTCCCACTTCAACATTTTTTAAATGACCTTTGCCATGCTATAACATCGTAAATGTAAAAGAATTGACAGTGATGTCTGACCTCTATAAGACGTTTTCTGATCCCATCTTCTTTGATCCTCTGATTCTTCATGGCCTCTAACTGTTTAGGGGTGTATTGAGGTGGCTTAATTTTACCCTCCTTCTTCTTTTTCTCCTCCAATTCTCTCCTCAATTGTAGTTCCTCTAATTGTTCTTTATAGCTGTATGCTTTGCTTTCTCTTTTCATGTTTTTATCAATATTACTTTCATCTCTAAAATCATAATTCAATATCAACATACACCCAAACATAGGCTTCTTAATTATTCAAAAAGCATTACATTAAATAAAAATCCAATAATGTCATGACCACAGAAATGGAGCTCAGTAAATTGACACTGTACTTTCCGCACATTGAAATGAATCAATTCAAAATTCAAGGTACACGAACATTTTAAGTGTTATTAATGATTATATGCCTCTTTACATATTTGATGAACTCTAAGAATATTCTGTCTACCATTCAAGTGGTCATCAAGTTGAGAAATGCCAAAAAATTAATATTTTATAGGTGGCACCTTGCATCAAAATGTAGTACTTTTCGAGTTATAAATGGGACACGGATTACCGTACAAACCTCAGATAGACCAACGGAAATGAGTGACATAATTTTTCGTTATTAACATATCATTTAAAACTCGAAAATATGATATCACAATTTAGACATTTTTAACGATTACAATACTTCTTTCAACCATAAAAAGGTATCAAAAATGAGCAAGTTACAGAAAAAATAAACTGACGGTATTCTAAATTTCATCAAAAAATGTTTAGCTCTTACCCTGGTATGACACTTTTGTCATATAATTCGCCCTCCGGTGTTAAATATATGAAATAGTCGTCCCTGGAAATTTGACAGATCCTAGGGTCTTCTAGACTTTCTACTACTTTAGTTATTATTTCTGGCAGTAAGATATCTGGATTTATAGAGACTAGAGTTGCTAAACCATTTTCGTTAGCCTGAAAAAATGTCAAAATTGGAATGAATTGATACGATTTCTTTTATTCAAACGCTTACCAATGTGTATTTGTAGTTTTCTACGAGCATTTGTCTAAACTGCGTGGCCCTCTTTGCAACCAGCTCCTTGGGTTTGCAACCTAGGTGTCTGACTATTTTGATCCACATGGTTGGTTCTAGGGCAATTACTGCAGGGTGATGACAAGGCAGAAGCGCATCCATTGCTAATAGTTGAACGTCCTAGAAATAAAACAAGATCAATATTATTGATTGACATTTTCACTCGAAGATATACTAATCAAGTGAGAGATTTGCGTGCGTGAAAACGTGCTTATACACGTATGGTTGCAATTATATAGTGTTACAGAAAACAGTAGCGATATTTTAGGACATAAAGTATATTGAAAAATAACACGAAACGTTCAGTTCTAATTGTTTATCCCAAAACACCAGTTTTCCGGCCAGTCGGATCTTTTTAAGTGTGGTCTCATTTTGTAGGTCTCACAAATAAGCATTAAAGGTTTAAGAGCTTATAATGGTTTACCACTAGAAATAAAAAGAGCACAAAATGTAACAATATTCAAGAGGAAATAATGACTTTATATTTTAGATCCAAGTGATATGTGATTTTTAAGTTCATGTTAAGATGACGTTGCAGCAAACACATAAACACACCAGTTTCACGTCGTTGACGTAAGAACTAAAGAGGAAGTATACCTACCTCAGGCGTAAGCCCTGTTGACGAACACAAAGTTCTTATACACTCAACAACAGAACGCGTGGAGGGCTGCCCACTCCCTCCATCGTTTTCCTTATTCTCCCCATCTTTCTCACTCTTCACAATTACTTTGTGAGTATCCAAGTGCACAGGCATCTCCTTAAATAAGGCTCGGGCTATTGAAGCTCCACTTAAACTGGATACTATCCGTTTTAGGACAGTGAGGCATTTTTTCCTGTTTTCGGACGAGTTTATGGTGCAGCAGTGAAGCACTGCCTTGTGCAAGGGCTCGGGTCTTTTCACTTTTTCGGGTATCTGAACCAGCAGGATCTCGCATAGTTGCATCACGTATAGCAAACCTGGAAAATAGTGGATCAATTAATTCAAAAATATTGCTCAGGGCTAGTACGACTTTCCGAGAAGAATACACTATTTTACGTAAAAATGATAAAGAAAATTTTTTGCCATAAAATGTGACAAATACCCTAAGCTTATTTTTCTAAGTTAGACTTAGTACGGTTACCCCATATTTTATTACATATTCGGATGGATTCTTAAAAAAAAACATTGATATAACATACTGGTGGTTGTTGAGTTATAATCGATTCAGTGTACAAAAATGGTCAGCTGTGACAGCCTGTCATTTTCGAATATACTGTTTTGTAGTCTAAGTTTACAAAGTACCCATACTGAATTTTAAAATTATGTATCAATTTTATCATCCCGCATTTCGGCCTGCCAACTTGAGCTGTTCAAAAAATAAGTTGGGTTGACCTTTACGAAAAGTACCTTATACACTTACTGCCTTCCGAACAAGTCGTGAGGAATTTATCCGAGACAAAAATCTGCTTGTTCATATCCAACACAATATTCCACATGTTATGCAACGCATTATCCTTTTCTTGCTGAGCATGGGCCAATCTTAACAGCAACACTGCTGCACAGAGTCCTTCGTTAACAGATAGAGCTACAGCAGGTTGAGACGCTGCCTTTTCTACAGATTTTAATAGCACGGGGACAAGTGGCGATACCAAGGTTATGGTTTTCGAGTTGAAAGTAGCCAACATGCATTGTATGTACGAGATCTTTACTAGTGGTGTTGCGGTTTTCATGTTCAAGCCATTCTGAAACATAAGTTGTGAATATTATAAAGCTTAAAATGTGTATAAAAATGTCCCGCGAGTCTTGTTTCAATAATGTTTCTATCGATTTTTTTATGTGCCTGTGCCACCACGCATCGTAAGGCCTAAATACCTTGTCATGATTTTTATTTATGAAATGAAAAATAATTTATTGCCATCATGTCTAGCTGCACTAACTCCTGTGAACGCATTTTCATGATACCAAACAAAGGATGATTTGCATTTAAATGCAAAAACGCATTACAAGATACAATTAGTTTCAAAATAAAATAGGAAGCCTTGATAACAACTTTACATTTCTCGGGAGATAGTTTGTCAAAGTTATGTGTTATAAGGTTGTTATCGTTACTACTGCCATGTTTTTTTTTTGTAAAGGTCAGTGTTTCTTTTTTTTTATTTTTGGGTGTTGTGAAATGGATTTTAGCAATGATCAGTATGCCGATATTATTTTTGTGTATGGGTTCTGTAATGGAAATGCTTTAGCGGCTTCTCGGGAGTAACAATGTAGATCTTATGCGTTCATTTCTAAGGCTACGGCAATATGGAATTGCCAAACTTCCCGAAGTTAGAGGCCATGGTGTCCGGCATACTGTTCAAGAGGAACTGGAAGTGATTAATTTGGCGTTGGATGATCCTAGTGCCAGTACTAGACGGATTGCAGCCCAGTTACCATGTTCCCAAGGTCTTGCGTGGAGAATTTTAAATCGGGAAGTTTTACATCCTTACCATCGGCAAAATGTGCAATGTCTGCAACCCGGCGACGAAGTGCAACAGCGAAATTTTTGTGAGTGATTACTGCGAATGCATAATCATAATGCAGATTTTATTGATTTGGTTTTGTGATCAGTCTCTACTGAGCGGGACCGTGGCAAATATTTGTTCCGGAAGTTGTTTTGTCCAGTATACAACTTTCAAGTGATTGTACACGCGTTAAGGAATACCTCAATACCGATTGCCGGGTGGCGGTACAAGTCCGCCAACGGACCACTTTAGGTCTATTTAATATCATTAACATGCAAAAATAAGGTGGTAGATAAGGACCAGTCGACCGAGGCGGTATCACCCGCTAGTTTTTCCCATGGTGTCTTATAAACATCCGCATGTTTCCACACCTAAGCTATGCAGTCGGTTATCTTCCAAAACAAAGAAATTAATGATCATGGATCCCTCGAGCACTAAGAATTCCGGACGTAAACTCACTCCACTCTCGGGCTATCCGGGTGGAGGGCGCGCTCGAGGGAACAACATCAACATTCGTTTTACATCTGCGGGATTAACAGCAACATTGATGCTGTTTATCACTACTTGCAATCCAATCGTCCCGTCATGCTTTTCTTTGCTTTTGTCCGCAGCCGTCTTTCCTGCTTCAGAGATGTTTCTTTGGAATCAGTCCGGGAGGACATTCTGTGGCTTCGCTTTAACTCCAAAACATCCCCCAAATTTATTTGCTGCCTTATGGCTCTCCCTCGGTCCATAACTGTGATGACCTACTTCAATACCCTGCCGTCAAGATCGACTTCCCGAACATATAATCCCCCTTCAGAGGTAGTTCTTCTCTTTGATTTCAATGCCTATAATGAGCTTTGGTTGGGCTCAAACAAGACTGATGCAGCAGGTCGTGCAGTTGAAGCGTTCGCTCTTACTCAAGTGCTGACCCAGCTGGTGACAAGCCCAACTTTCTTTCCCTGCGTCTCGTCACATACCAGTAGCCTGCTGGATCTCTTTCTGACCACGCATCCTGTCCCTTACAGCACTACTGCCCTGTCCCCCTCTGAGTAACTCAGACCACGATGTTGTGGAGGTTAGGTTTCGGTCAGAATCCGCTGTGGCAGCGGAAACTTGTACAGGCCGCAAAATTTGGCATTTGGGATACACCGACAGAGAGGGGTTCAGAGACTTCTTCGCTACCTTTCCTTGGAGAGATGTCTGTTTCACTGACGCGGATCCGTCGGCTGTCTGTTCTTGGATAACTGAAATTATCCACGTCGGAATCGAGGAATACATCCCTCACACAGTGAAAGTGCCTAAACCAGGTCCAAGGGCTGGTTTAACAATTATTTTTTTATAACGAAGCAGCCGCGCAGGCAGAAGCCTAAATGCCGGAACACCGCGGCTGCTATGATGATCCTAAAGAAATTTTGTAACTACGATTTTTTAACTGCCTAAGGTTAGTAGAACAGGGAAAAGCTTCCTCTTGTAGATTGTTCCACAATCTCGACACCCTCGGGACAAAGGAGCGGTCGTATCGGCCAGTTCTGGATGTACGAAGTTCGACACGGTTAGGATGGGACGCCAAAGTCACATCGCGCGGCAGCATCATTGAAGGGAGCTCTGAGGAGCAAAGTCCGTTGGTGTAGCGATAGAAAAGAGCTAGATCGCCGACGGTCCGCCGGTGCGAAAGAGTCCCGAGACTGTCTGTTAGAGAAGAGTCATCGATCAGTCGGACCGCTCTGCTCTGGACAGCATCGAGCATGGATATTGTAGTCGGGGCGGCAGCACCCCAAACGTGTGAGCAATACTCGAGGCTAGGCCTTATCTGGGCCTTGTATAGAGTGAGAAAGGTCATGCGGAGAAAAATGCTTCTTAGCCCTGAAGAAATAGCCGAGCTTTTTCCCAGCAGCTGCCGCTATTGACGAGATGTGTTCGTGCCAGGTCAGGTCCTTGGTGATCTGGACCAGCCGAAATGAATGGCTCTTTGCCAGAACTCGGCCGTCCATCGAAACTGGATGAGCTCTAGGATGCTTTTTGTTCGTCAAAGTGCTTTGGAAGCACTGAACTGTACAAGATTGTTGCGGCCCCAAGCAGTGATAGCCTCCAGGTCTCTTGTCAGAGAGGACGTCGTCGCTAGTCTTCTTTTTTCCAGCTCAGCGGCAGAGATCGGCTTGTCACTCTGAATTCCTGCATGTAGAGTGCTGTCTGCCTGCGCGACTGCTTCGGTAGATAAAAAAAAGATGAATCGTTTTTTCGAGGAGTGGAACCTTTAATTCTCATAATGAACATATATTATTTGATCGTTAGAGAATTCCCGTTCTGGAAGAATCCACTCCTTTCAACACAGATTTTCTAGAAATGTCTGGTGCGGCATTTTCAATGGTCAACTGTTTATGCACGTATCGCCACAACATTTAAATGCAAACTCATGCTTAGCTTTTCTAGAAATTTACATAGAAGATGTGTTAGATGATGTTCAGTTAGCAACGAGAGTACGAATGTGGTACCAGCACGACGGTGCCCCACCGCATGTTTGTCGTGACATAACCGCATGTTTGTCGTGACATAACCGAATGTTTGTCGTGACATAACCGCATGTTTGTCGTGACATAACCGCATGGTTTAATAATCATTTCGGACAACGATGCATTGGCAGAAACGGACCAGTACATTGGTCTGCGAGGTCTCCTGATTTGACCCTCCTGGATTTCTTTTTATGGGGCGCTTTTGTACAAGTAGTGTATGTATGCTGAACCAATTAGTAATGTTGATCAGTTACCAGAAATTCAAATTCAAGCCACAACAAATTTTGCGGAAATATGTTTTTCTTTATTAAATGTGTCCGTCAGAATGGTGGTCTTTTTGAACATTTATTGAAGCTGAAGCTGTGATTATCTAATTCGTTTTTTTTTATTTTTACGAAAACAATACACTCTAGGAACAAACACAAGATAAATTATTTGTAGCAAATTGAATGCAAAATTTGAAAAATTGCGCGTTTCGAAAAAGCAAACAGTTGCGCACTATTTTTATTTGGAAACATAATGCCACTAATACCCTGTATCTCCGCCACTGGTATACGTTAATTTTGGGTAAAGACTTTTGAATGTGGATAATACCCAGGTAAATCCACATACCAAATTTGCTGACGATTTTGAAGATAATAACAAAAATGTTTTTATTTTTGAATTTCAACACCCCGTATCTTTTTAATGAAGGCCTCGAGGAAAAAATCTTACATAGAAGACCCCCCATAAAATCCGTTCCTGTGTACGATGTTTCATTTTTGGTCACGACTTTTGAATCACCCTGTATGAACGAAATCGGTTTTCCTTAAAGCCTAATGGATTTCAACAAATAAGATTCGATTCAGATATAAAACAAAATAACCTGAAAAATTTTACATCAAAATTATTGTTTATATCACTTATCAGCCATTTGTACTAAATAAATCTTTCTACTGCTACTACTACTACCACCACCTGTGGGTACGCACGACGGTCGTAGACCATCAACCACCTACGGACAATCACAACATCCAAAACAAAGATAAAAATTCTCTCTTGGGGCATGATTCGAACCTTCACAGTTCATTGCGACTAGGTTAGGAGACGCACAGCGGTATCCACTACCCCACCGCGGATTCCCAAAATGTTCTACAATGTATAACTCAATATAAAAATCTATATCCGTATGTTTTGCAGGACGCTGATTATTAATAATCTGTTATCAGCATTACTATACACAGTGTCCAAGATAAGCAACCTATGCATGGGGATCACAATGATTGAAGATTGAGCTTAGGTTAAATTACTGACCAGCTGCGTTCTTTGGGGCATATTTATTATTTATACCCTATTTCACGAGTATATATCACGGTAGAATGACAGCTGATTATCTAGTAATATCTCAAAATTCCCCATATCGGCACAGGACACATAATTCTGACAGATCCGTCAACGCCAGGTAGACAGAGCCGAATATTGTTTTAGTTTTTTGTATGCTACAGATTCATTTTGAACTTGCTAACAGCTCGTTTATTTAGAAAAGTTCATTTGCATACAAAAAACAAAATGCTATAACAGTTTTTACTAGATTTACACGTGATTCATTATTGCCAACGTTGCAGACCAACACAAAAATGTCACTTGCTAATCAGCTGTTCGCCTCAGTAGACGTCAAAGCGTGATGGATATTCTTGAAATAGAGTATACATATGCCGTTGAGAAACTTGTAAAAATCTCATGGGTTACTGAGGTATTTGGGAGAAACTAAAATTTGGCCAAATCGTTTTTATTTTTTTCTGAATTTATTTTAAGGAAGATCAAAAAACTAATCAATCTTTTCCATTGGCACTTCATGATGGTGTTTTTAAATTTTGTGCCCGATGTTTCGTTTTTGAGAAACCATCATCAACTTCATTTTTTATAAGGTTTAAAATTTAACGATGTATCACATGTTACATTTGTTTTCTTGGTTATAAGGAAAAATGTTTTTTCCTGATTTTCTTAGTAGGCATTGCAAACAAATGATTGACTTGACATAAATACCTGTCACCGAGTGTTGTTATTACTGTGTATTGTTAATATTGGTTTATTACCGTCAAAGTTGTCAGGCGCTCATTTTAGTAATGAAATAAAGTTCGACATGCTACATTTTGTGCTACAAAAATATTAAAAATACTGCAGATATGTAACTTGATAAATTTACCGAAAGAAAGCAGCCAAGTAAGTCCATTTTCTTACGAGTTGGCTGGAAATTAAATATAGTTCATTCGAAAAGCCTGTTACATCTCAAAAAAAAGTAATCATTAGAGGAAACTCAGAATAGTCTTTTACAAGCAGTTGCTGAGAACTCTGAGATATGAACTTGGCGAATTGAGAAAAATGTAGGAGTAGTCAAATCCACAGCCCAATTTATTTTGGGTAAAAATAGATATCACTCCTATGAATTTAGGATTTGCCAAGGAGAGCAAACGGCGCCAGCATTTTTGTGAGTGGTACAACTATGACTGGTTTCCAGTATCATTGTTAGGGATCTGTATTTTCATGAGGCAACCTCGCAAGAAATGCTTTATAGGGACTTATTAAATTATTTGTGCTTTATATGCATCCAAGTCCAACAGATTGACATCTTATTCTGGCACGTACTGTGTGATAGTCCTAATATATCTAATCTTACCTTGAATGCCTCAACAACGTTCTTTGGGATGTCGCCCAAAAACTTACAAGTCCATATTGCCATCATATCAAGTGCGTGGCATAAAGTTTTCTCATGAACTTCTACTTCTAACACTTTAACGAAGTGTTGTGAGGCAGTTATTAGTAATTTTTGAGAGTCTTCTCCTTCTACAGAGTTGTATGAAAAATTTGCAGCACCTAAAAAAATCATAATGAAATAGTTCTCTAGGTTTATCTTTGAAGGGCAAGTTTTGCCATTTTATACAAAAAAGCGAAAACATTCAAATATACTTTTTGGAGGTGATATATTGATATTCCATCTAAATGACAGTTTTAGAAAATGTACCACTGTTTACTATTATTTTACTACAACAGTTACCTTGCAAAACACTCATCTTGTGATCGACAACAGTCAATTTACCGTCAGACCCGTGGAATACAGCAAACGTCTTTTTCAAAAGTTCTTCCAAGGCTTTGTAATCTTTTATTTTTCCTGCTAACCTTTTACAAGCATCAGATGCTTCGATTCTGGCTTTGTCATCATTGGAGTGAAGATTTGCTGGAGGTTTGAATAAAAAATGGTTGATTATTTCTTAGATGAGAACTTCTTTATTTATCTCATTAACATGCTATACGAGCGATAAAACATAGCGCTTCTAGCGTCACGTTAACGTCGGTCTATCAGGTGAATAGCATTCCTGTAGTGCAAATCATAGAAACGATAATTTCAATGAGCCTCACTGTAAAGTGCGGGGTTGTCATTTTGGGGGATTTTCCACCAGCTTTGGAAAATTTTTACTTCCCTTGGAGAATTTTTAGGGGATATAATGTTCTGGGGATTTTTTTGAGGAAAATAAAACATTTGAGTATTTTACTTAAATATGTACAAATAACTTCTAGTTTCATAAAGTTATAAATCACACGTATCCCGGAAAGAAATCAATCCCCCTCCCACCGTTGATTTGTGGAGATTTTGTTTGAAAAAGTAGCAATTTTGTGGAGTATTCTAGGGAATTTTGTTCGACCCATTTGGCAACGCTGGCAAAGGTCGACATCAACTGTCACTCGAAATGCCTTGATGTCATGTAATTTCATTTTTTAGGTGCTCTACTTTCATAGGCTCATCTTTGCAGACTTCATATGGAGAAGCATGGTCGGCTTTGGAGTCATTGAATATTCAGACAGACACTCCAACACATTAATAATATCTGATTATGCCTGCGTAAAATTTGGCGTGATTGAACGATCCTCGTTATCCAAACGTCGTGCATCATCAATGCCGCGTATTTAATGTCAATATGACATCAATAAATACGGCATGTTCTTCGCGTTTTAAGCGTCTGTAGAACATGTCACTTAGTCCATTTACACGAAAAAAAAATGGTGTGTTGTGTGGGCAGTTCCATTTTGAAGAGGCTCACTTACCAATCAAACTATTGCCCAGTTCCATAGCATACTTGCTTAAATCAATCTCGATTCCACTAATGACAAGTCCCACACATTCCAAAATAATCTCGGGATTTCGCAACATCGCCTTTTGTAGAGCTGGCAACACTGCCTTCTTGAATCTGTCGTCATCTACTTGGGAAAGCAGAGGATAGCACGATATGATAACATTCGGTGATGGTCTAGTTTTGCAGCTAACCAGTGATTTTATGAACGTGTCCATCAGTTGATCCTTGAAACAGAACTTTTGTATTAACAGCAACTCGTCAACAGATATGCGATTGTTTTTACTACTTTGCTGCTCGAGAGCGAAAGAATTTCTTTGCGATTGGTTTTTGAAAAACGTTAACCCTGCATGTTTAGCTGCGAGAAATAATACATAATTTTTCATTCAGTTATAGAAAACAGCTATATTTGTAGACTATCTCATACGGTTTGGTTCAATTTGACGGAAAGCAAATCTATGACATTGTTTTTTTGCAACGGAATCGTGCAGAATACAAATATTTCTCATTGCTTTTGTTATTTTCTTAATTTTAATCAATCCTGATCAAATAATCACAATGTTTGAACATTACGTGGCATCTCTACTCTTTAGTATAATATACGTCACTTATTTCTATTGGTACCTAGACTCAGTAACATTAGAAGTGTTACACCCAGAAAAAATAATTTCTTCAGCTTGATTTTTTGGCATTGAGGTAGTCTTATATCAAGAATGAAACGATAACATTCTCACGAAATTTTATTAACAAGTAATACAAAAAAATTAAATAATATGTTGTGCGACAATGTAGCTGATACTCCTGCATACGTCTAGGCATCGACAAAATGAGATGATGGATGTCTCGTAGTCGCACCTCATTCCAAGTATCTCGAACATCGTAGATTAGCTGTGGCACAGTCTGTGGCGGATGGTGGAAAGTGGATAGTCTCCTCCCCATCATATCCCACGCATGTTCGATGGAATTTAAATCCGGTGAACGGGGTGGCCAGGCAAAACATTAACGCCTGCTTCTTGGACAAAGTCCGTAGTACGCCGAGCAATATGGGGACATGCGTTGTCTTGATGAAAAAGGACGTGTGCACGGCCCTTTGGATACGGCAGATTGCCTTGAACAACGAGAAGGGGTGATCGGCTACCATAGGCAATATTCCCCCAAACCATTACTCCAACAGTCCAGTGTACATGCCTTTCAACAGCAAATCCAATACCATGCCGTTCTCCATGGCGGCGTCTTACCCTTCTAAGACCATCGTGCTTACCTAGACAGAATCGCGATTCATCGCTGAAGATGACATTTTGCCATTCTGCTTCCCAATGTTGCAGTTCTCTGCTCCAGTTCGAACGTTGACGACAGTGGTCCGCAGTCAGAGGAAGCACTAACCGTGGACGGTATGAAAAAAGTCCAAAGGCTCAAATGCGGCCATAGAGTGTACATGTCAACCTTCTTCTCCAAACCATTGGATCTGACGCGTAATAGCAAAACGGTGTCGTAGAGCTAGTTGTCTGAAGCGCCTATCTGGACGCTCTGTGGTACGCCTCGGTGGACCGGTTGGCCTTCATCGTGTTCCTATACCTTCTTCTATCCACACACGACAAACACGCATTACCGTCATTGCAGTACAACTAACACGGCGGCCAATTTCGCGATAGGACAAACCAACATCTCGATAGGCAATAATTCTACCCCTGTCAAAGTCGCCAACATGGTAATAATTTGGACATCTTTGAGCTCGAGGCATTTTGTTAAGCTTAACACTAGTAAATGAAAGGGCAATATCTAAAAATGTGTGTACTACTCAGCTCTCAGAAATTGCTTTCTTCACAAAAACTAAGAGAACATTTTAACTAAGGTAAACAAAAACAAACCACAGCATGCTTTACATATAGTCATTATGTTGCAAAAAAAAACAAGTTGAAGAAATAATTTTTTCTGGGTGTAACACTTCTAAGGTCACGGAGTATATATGTCAAAGGATTTTATTGGAAAGTGTTGGTTATTTGATGTTTTCAGGTTTCTGGTCATATTGGGATGTCAAAAAACTTTTTAGGGGCACAGTAGTTTTGCAATCAATCAAAATTTATTTATCTTATACTTAAACTACATAAAATAATTATTCTTACAATTCAGAAGTTATTAATCTTGCAAGCACTGCATCAACCTACTTGATCTCAGATTTTTAGGGGGTAATAAAAAGGCTAACATTTATATGAAAAAAAAGCAGCCATAGAAAAATCAAATAGACTATCAAATCAAGTATATACTTACAATGTAATTTTTTAAAAGAGGAGAATTCATGCTAGACAATCTTTTGGCAACTGTGGAAGCAAGAACAGACACGTAATGTGACTGCTCTAATATTTTTAATGTCTCTAAATACAACTTCTCACTCTCTGGTACACTTGCCCATGCAGCACTTAGCTAAAATTTGATTCAAACATTTTATAAAATTACAGCAATTCAACTCAATCTTACCAAGTTATAAGCTTTACTACATCTCTTATTATTGCCATCATCAGATATTACAGTGAGAAGGTATGCTTGTAATTCTATAAGCTGTGCCATTTCTGATTCTACAACTTCTTGATTGTGTTTCCAGCCTTTTGTAAATACTAAGGTTGACCATTGTATGGCAAACAGGGCAGTCTTGCTTGTGGTATGCCTAAAACAATGAATGAATGAATGAATGAAGCGCTTGTGGCAGTAAGATACCTAAACCACATTTCCATCTAAAACCACTTGTGGCTTAGGTATGTACATGTGTATGAAGTTAATTTTTTTGACAAGTCGCTGATAGATGTCGCTATAATTTTTGAATTGCATTTCTGAGCACAATGGCTGTTTGAATCAGACAGAGAACAAAGATAGTTCTGTATTTACTCAAATGACAGTCCAGAGACAGACAGACACTATATTCTGTCTGATACCAGTTCTGCTAGTAACTTTGAGCGAGAAAGTCAGTCAAATAAATAAATTTGTGGCTTATGACTTTAGTGCCATTATAGATGCAGTTTATGCTTTTTTATGAATGTAGTACTTTTTTGTATTAGTTTTGCAATACCTCTAGATGATGATGATATAACACTATACTTATTTAAAACAACTACTTATCATAGACTGCAAATAACTTTAATATGGGTCAATAATATGTAATCTTGTGATGAGTAGCTTCTGCCCCTCTTGACCATATAAATTTAACTGTGATGCATGACCTTCTCCAGTCTTCACGGATATTTAATTTTTTTTTTGAAAGAATTCATCTGATACAGTCCTAATGGACAAATAGAACTTTTAAGGACCTGGATACAGATGTTTCACAAAAAAGAGCTTTAATGTAGGTAATCAGTCCATTATATTTAATGAGGCCTGCTGTTTTAAGTCTAACAAAGAATACCTGCATATGTTTATAAAGCATACCATTCTTAAATTACTCTTGGAATACAACTATTTTTTATCAATAATCCATTACATTTTGTTGATTCTGTTCTCACCAAATCTTGGTTACTCAAAATGTGAATGTATTGTAGCATTTCAGTTACCATAAGCAAGAAATGATTTCCAGATTTACATAAACCTTATAACTTTAGATTCCTTAAAATAAAGTCAATGTGGCTTAAGTATCTTATTGCTCCAAGCCTTTCAATTGTGCCATACGAACTGCTTTAAATCTTCTTAACTTAGAACTCCTAAGAAGAGCCCAGTTTAACTGGCGAATAAATATCCAAAGTCTCTGAAGTAAGATTGGAAAAAAATAGTATGTTACCTATTTAGGCTGAGATGTAAACCATAAACTAAGCACTTTTATTATAGGGAATAGAGATCAATAAGTTCCATTTATTGTTGATGGTTTCTTCAAATGAATTTGTTTTAATAATACTATATTTATTATATTTTTTTTGTGGTTTGTTTTACTCTGATGAGTATGATGCATAAAACTTGGATATAACATGGTTTCTTGTGTTTGATACTTACGTCACAACCATAGTTTTGTATTGCCTTGCAAAATCTAACAACACAGAAATTAAACATTTTACTGATACTTCTGTGTGTTTTTCTACAAGTGCTACAATCAGATCTTTGACATACTGTTGTGAACAGGTGTCTTGGTACCTGGGAATGGTCAAAACCAGTACTTTGCATATTCCTTTGATTATTCCTTCATTTATACCTGAAATATTACCATTTTTAAGGAATAGTTCTTTTAAATTCAGCTTTTTTCATACCGGGGTTGCCTAAAACACGTATGACGTTCTCTAAAACAGACCGACGTTGCTTCAAACTAGCGGTTTGCACCTTGTAATGAAGATCCTTCAAAGCTTTCGATATCTGGAATTAATATAAGCATACATTATAGTGGGTTTTAGTCACGAAAATCTGTTAAAAAGGGGCACCTGCCCTAAAAATACCCACCTCCTCGCCTGCCATATTTTGAAAATTGAGGTTAGGATGCAACAATCGAACAGAACCGTCACTGTCAATTTGTATAGTACTATCACTGTCAAATGTAGTTTATTCAATATACGGTAGATGTCACAACCTCGGAAAGGTAGGTTCAAAAAATTATATAGAAGATAGAAGGCCAGTGAAAAAATTTACATCAAGTAGGTTGACTTTACACTTCTATTCTGCTATTATATTTTGGGTAGAGGAGCATATACCGCACCCAAAAAAATGAGACTCCCGTGTACGAGCACGCTATTGTAATCTGATAATTCTTTTTCATGAGAAGCCCAAATTGTCTTTTTGACGCAATTGGACTACATGGAAAATTATACTAAAGTGTATCTAACGAAGCTACAAAGTAATCGTAAACAGTGGTTGATTCGTGATCAACGCGTGATCGGTAGCCATGGCGCTCTGTCGGCCTCTTCCTGATTGGCTTGTAGCGACGAGCCTCCAGACAAAGTCGCACGGTTGCCACACTCGGCGAGTTTTCGCCAGAGTGGTTGATCTCATTCGCATGGATCACAAATCAATCTGTTGGTGCAATACGTGCAATAACTGTTGTAAAGGACATTATATAACAATAAATGGCATCACAAAGGTATATTCCAATTTGATCTGCAGCAAATTATGAACGGCATATACGGAGATGCGAAAACAAGCTCAAAAAGGTGAAGAAAATTTTTAAGCAATCTTTATAGTTAAATTTTTCCTAAGAGATAGCATCAGTGAGGGAATTTTTTTCTATTGTCTTATTTTTCACATTAATGCGATGTCGAGGTATGTGGCCCTATCGCAATTGAAAATAAGGTTTCGATAATCCTTCCATAAAGTTTCGATGAGTACATCTGAAATAACCTTGAGATATTCTTCAGGGAAATACAAAAATCTCCTTTTGTGTTTTTTTGTGCAGATTTATCTATTAAAATCCTATCCGCAATCTATTTTCCGTGCACACACCTTCAACCGAATGTATGCCATATATGATATTACCGTTTCCAACTTTCACCAAGGTTAATAGGAACCATAACAGCTCCCTACCCTTCCCCCCTATAAGAATATCGATTTGTAGCCTCACATTTCAAGGTTAGACTTCTTGTAATGTTTCTGTTCAACATTCGGCGATTTCTGACAATTTTCCCAATAAAACATGATCATTGTGACATTAAGCCTGGCAACGCTGCATAGTAGAGGGAACTCTCAGCGTCACGTTGATGGTTCGTCACCACGCACAGGATTGTAATCAGTTACGGATACCCGTTTATGAGCGCGAACGTTTTATGCACGTCTTGACTTGATTTTTCTTGCGGAAATTTAATATTAGTCTAAAATGTCTGACACAGATACAGCTGATGAAGTGGTTGAAATCAGCTTAACGTCACCCAGAAAAAGGGCTATAAAGCTTCATCTTAGCGCAGGTGAAAAACAAATTATTCTAAATATCTACAAGAACCAGATGCAAGAGAATAGTGGATTGGCTATAGAAAATATCGTATGTAAGGTTGCTGAAATTTCTGGTGCAGGTCGATCAAGTGTTTACAAAATCTTGAAGGAATATAGACAAAATCACTCACTATCTGAGCCAAAAACATATCCAGCGAGAAAAAAAATAATCGAAAAAATAGATGACTTTGACAAAAGTACCATTAGAAGAAAAGTACATCACTTTTTCTTCAGGAATGAAATACCTACAATAGATAAAATATTGAAGCAAGTGAATGATGATGAGGACCTGCCAAATTTTAAAAGATCTACGTTCCATAAGCTGTTGAAAGAACTAGACTTTCGATTTTTGAAAAGAGGAAGGAATAGTTTATTGATAGAAAAGGAGGAAATTGTTATCTGGAGGAGAGAATACCTTAGAAAAATTAGGCAATTCCGCGCTGAAGGAAGAAAAATTTATTATTTAGACGGAACATGGGTGAACGCGGGGCATACGCAGGGAAAGGTTTGGGTAGACAGATCTGTGAGGTCCTCAAGGCAGGCTTTTTTAGATGGCCTTTCGACGGGATTGAAAAATCCTCCAGGTAAGTTTCGAAGTATATGAACTTTTTTGGATGCAGATAATTCATTTTCTGATCGAATCAATGACTTGGAAGCTCCGAACTCAGTTTTGCTATCTCATCCAAGTTTCTGAGTATTTCCTTCACCCAAAAACTAATCTAAGACCCTATCCTACACTAACCTAAAAAGAGTAAGTTGCTTAATTTCGTCATTTAGTGCGCTCGCTGAGAAGTAAAATAACTAATTACTTTCAGGCAAGGGAAAACGCCTGATCATTTGCCACATAGGTAGCGTAGATGGATTTGTTCCTGAAGCATTGTGGGCATTTGAATCCAAAAAAACTGGAGACTATCACGAAGAAATGGATGGTAACTCATTTGAAAATTGGTTCAAAAAAATTTTGCCGACACTTGATGATAACGCAATTATTGCGATGGATAATGCCCCGTACCACTCCAGAAAATTGGAAAAAATTCCAACAATGGCCACCAAAAAGGCAGACATTCAACAGTGGCTTGTCTCAAAGAAGATCGACTTCGACCAAACAATGGTCAAAGCTGAGCTGATGAATATAGTCAAGCGACATAAGTATAAATATGATTTAAAAATTGTTGACGAAATGGCCAAAAACCAAAATAAAACGATTCTCAGGCTGCCTCCCTATCACTGCGAACTGAATCCTATCGAGTTGATTTGGGCCGACATCAAGCAATACATGGCGTCAAATAACAGCACTTTTAAGTTTTCTGACCTTAAAAAACTGTTTGATGTTGCTGTCGATAGAATTACGCCAGCAAAATGGAGAACATGTATTGACCATGTCCAAGAGAAGGTTGAAACCAAAATGTGGGATATGGACAATATCATTGACACCCAAGTTGAACCCCTTATAATTGACATCAACAATTCTGATGATTCAAGCTCCTCGGAATACAGCATATAAATCGATTGATACCATTAAGACTGGCAGTTTAACGGGCTTTTTGGCAAGACAGGTAAGTTCATTATAGACTGCAATCAAAGTGTAAGTTTCTAGTTATTAATGTGGAAATTCCAAATTTATAATTACACAAAATTAGGGTTAATTTAGGAGTTCCAAAGCATAATAGTGCCATTTTGACCTTCTTCCTATTTCTCATGTAAATTTTAATAGCAATCAAACTAACAAACTTTATGGAGTCTGTAATAAACTTTTGTACTACTACTACTACGTCTGTAGTTTCTATTTGCTCAAAAAAATTTGCTCTGCATTGTGAATAGAAGGTTGATTTGTAAATATTATTGGGTATATATGTAAGTTAATAATAAAATATGAACAATTTCAATTGAGATGGTCCACAAGTTTTTTTCGTGTGCGTTTTAGTAACATTTTGCTGAAATGGTGAATACAGATTTTTTTGCACTGATTCCTAATGTCGAAATATGATTAGAAAGGCGTGGTATATTCCTGATAATTTACTATGCTTTTGATAGAATTTACAGCAACACATATCTTGTACATTTTTTGATAGATCAGTCACAATAGCTTGATACGGCCCTGTAGCGTCTCCTACGGTTAAGTTCTTGATCACGTGCAATACGGGTGTATATGTTTGATTTTACTTTGTTTCTTCGATGGATACAGTTTAGTTTCCCAGGTAGCACATGACGTCATAGAGACGTCTATTTCAGGCCTAAAATAGGTCTGAACATCGCAGACATTAGAAGGACGTCGTGAAGACGTCTTTCTTAGACCTGCAAATGACATCTATGATTACGTGATCGTGATGACGTTTTTAAGACGTCTTATTTCAGACTTTGATCGTATAGATTTTAAGTACAAGTATTCGGTGAATGAGGCTGATGACATCTAAAAGGTTTTCATATGAATCTTCCGAAATTAAAGCGATTGAGATATACGTCTCGGAAGGTATTTTCGGAGACCTGTATAAAGGTCTATTCATACTAAGCAGTGACGTGACAGTGCTGTGACTGGCACGTGATCCTCCCGGCGAAACTAAAAACATTCTTCCTGTAAGTTGGATGAACTGATTCACACTAGACCGGCACGTGGAAGTGCCCGTGTTCTCAGTGCCCTCTCTACGACGCCGTACCGTGATGATCGCATTGTTTTGGAACGATATTTTTCGATTTTCACGGCATGTTTTTATGTAATTTCGTGAATATTTTGATATATAACACATCCGGGCATCTTGTATGCTTTATGTAGGTGTCTCTGGGAAAAATTACGAAACGTTCAATGTCTCAAATACTACGCGGTTATTACAATAATTAGTACAAAACATTTACTTCATTGAGCTATCAGAATGTCTTTCTCGAAACATAAGACGTCCATGAGATATTCTTAGTATGTCTTTTATTTTCTGTGTTTGTTCGTGAACTTATGTCTTCGAATTCCTTCATACTTTCATGCAACTATAGTAAATTGGAATCTAAGGAATTTTCGGGCTCTACCGTGATGAATCAGCTGTTATATGTCATAGTTATCACCGCAAAGTTGTGGTATTTACCCAACTCAGGAGTAGTTTTATGTTTCTGGTTATTATTTGACATGTGACAAAAGTTAGAATTTTGCCGGGTATTGGATATTTTTATTGTACTTTAGCTTCATTTTTGGGAAACTTGATAGAGGCTGACTTCAGTTTTAGCATAACAGAGCACCTTATTAGTTGTAATCACTACTGTTGTTGGGGACACTTTAAATCTAGTTCCTACGCTTAACAAAATATCCTGTATAGCCATATACCATAAGAATATTAAAATATGGCCATATAAACTCATTGAATGATGTCCACCTGGATACGGTTTTGTTAATATCTTTTTTCATCGCTTATTCATCATTTCTGCTAAATCAATAAATATTTTCTTTGAGATGCGGAAAAGTTTAGAGAATTGAAAGTTATCATAGATACAAAGCCATGGTTCCATCAGTAAAAATGTTTTTCTGAAAAAAAAAACATTCCTCCCATTAATATTATGAAAGGTTTCTTTTTTCAACTTTCCATACCCCGTTGTAGATGAAAAAGCACCGATTATTAAGTGATAATAAAAATAATCAGAAATTATATACGCGCCTTTCTAAAATAAACAACTTCAAACAAACCGCGGTTAAAACCAACGCGGTGAAGCGATTCGAGTAACTGACGTCATGTCATCATCTCGTGTGTCATCTTGAACCATATTATAACCGCGGTACATAATACGGAAATTTGGGTTATTAGCTTGGATTTGATTAATACAATGTCATCTATTGGCGCAAGCGCAAATGCGAAGGGACGATAGACGCAGACGCCATTTTCCATTTTATAATTTGTTCGTATACGCGCTTTTCAATGAGTAATTATATTTTATGGTTTCACAAGCTTCCCTTCAATAAAGGTTAGATTTTTGGCCCTAAAAAAACGCAAATTCAAGTAAAATTTATTGTTGATTGTTTCTAACATAATACCGCTATAGGTACGGTTAATAAAAATTAAAATGCTATAAAATACCTATATTGTACGTATTGTAGGCAGTGATGGGCGCATTGACATCATGTACAACAAACACACCATTGTATACGCGTATACAATGGTGAATATATACGTCTCGATATACGTATACAATAGCAAATCGTGTACGAGAAAGAGAGAGAGAGGGAGAAGCGGGCATCAATTGTGTAGAAAGAGTGCACCACACACCACGTTGCCTGACACAACAGTGATGAAGGCCACAGAACACGACTGTAACTTGCTGCAATGCCTTGTTTTCTACCCCCAAATACACATTTCTGTCGAATCTGTTTAGGAACACTTCCGGATCGATCCTAATGATTTAGGTGGAACTGAAAGTTCAAGATCACTACAAATTCTGCAACATTGCATTATTGGTTTGACTGTGAAAGCAGTTTATAAATAATGAGAAAGGGTATAGATATATATTTATTTATATACGTATACATACAGTTTTAAATAATTTAGGAACATTTCTTGAGTAAAATATGACAAAATACTTATGCGCTTTCAATCGAGATATAGCAGTATTGGACAACTTTTTTTTGCAGACACCTACACTCTACGGAATATGTCTTTCCATTTTCAAACAAAGTGAACCCTACTTCATCATTTCTTTGTTCTTGGGGCGTCCAACCATATTTTTTTAAAGTTGCCGTTTCACTGTTCACCAACTTTTTGACGTTTGCGAATAAACCTAACCTCACTTATGCTATTCTATACATTGTCTTCAGCATTGTATACATTCTATTCATTGTATACGCAATGTATACATTGTATACATCGAGACATAGACAATTAATGTATACGCGTAAACGCCCATCACTGATTGTAGGTCGCTAAAACCGAATTCGAAGTAATTTCACATGTATCTGATCCAGTTTATGATGTACATTCTATGATTTAGTGAGGGATCCAATAAAACATTTCAGTTTTCAATGAATATTTTTATTAGTCTACCAGACTATTTACAAAATATATACTCGTTGCAAAATGTATTGTAATGAATAAGCCAAATACATGTACTCCTTAACATAGCTTCTTATCCACGTGAATATACAACGTGCCCCAAAATTGTCAGCTGTCTTTATAAATCAGTTAAGTGAAGCTGAATCGACACTAAGAAAGATTGATCCTTTTGAGATTTTACACGCTGTATATCCATCACGAAGTTTACTAAAGTTGGTTTATTCATATACAGAAAAATAAGTACAAAACTATACATATATACAAAAATCAGCTTGAGCAGTCGTATCCTCATTGTCAAAAAGTATTAGTAGATACATCACATTTCTATTCGCTTGTGTAACATTATACAAAATGCTATATTAACATTTACAGTATATTACCACAACTCTTGTATAGTGAAAGGCATTTTACAGCGTAAATAGTTACATGATAGCAAATTCTCGTAGTAACATACTGTATATAGAATATAGGTGTATAACCAGTCAGTCATAGAGATACATACATATACAGGGTCATATTCAGTACCATATTAAAAAAAAGATCAACGTGTAATTTTAGAGGAAGACCGGTTTTCGTTGAACAATCTGCCTATTTATATTAGGCTGTCTAAATCACAGTTACAAGTCATGCTTTTTTCAAGCATTTATTTTTTAAATCAATTTGGTACTTATTACTAGTAATCAAACCAAAGAATAGTTATATCAAGAGAAGACAGTTTCGTGGAATGTCTTTATAATCCGCCGGTCAGCTCAAATGACCTAGGGTTTCTTCTGCATTATACTAGGGGAGCTGACAGTAGATTTTTTGATACTGGTTTTGGTACTGATACGATGCGATAAAAACTGTTCAAATCTTACGTATTTTGATGCTAAACAGCACACATGCCAAAATAAGATTTCATTAGATTTTTGTACATACCATGTCAGTACTCGATGAGACCAAAGCTTTGCAGTCGACTCTTGGACTATTACTGGTTTACAAAAAAAGAAACCGCGATCCATGAGGCTTAAAGATGGTGGGACATTCTGCGAAGGATACGCTTTTCGCTCTGAATTTCTTAAAAATGTTTAGAAAACGCTACATTTTCACTGGTGAGTTCAGTTCTTTTCACGGTTTTTTGTGGTTACGGCGAAAAGTCGTACGAAATAAAGCTAGTCTAGATAACTGGCAACAATTTGAGGTTAGAAAAACATTGAATTCCAGTCCTCTTCCGATACTAAATTAAATCGCGTAATTTTCCGCGTAGGGCCCTAAAAGCTACCTTACGGATTTTGAGAATAATTTGTGTTTACATGACGTAGAGAGCACTCGTGAAGTGTTATTTATGATAAAAAATAAACTTCGAAGTTGCAAACGGATGATAAATATTCCACCTTTAATAAATGTTTAAACAAAAGTATCGTAGTATCTCTCTCTAATTTATTCACATTGTCTAACTGCCTTCGCTTGGTATCACTCCTCTTTGAGCAAGTTTGATGAAACATAATTGTAAAATTAGGTTAATTTAACCGATGAAAACAGTATAAATATGTTTGTTGCGAGTGATTTCTCAATTTAAGTTTGGTTTACAATGGTAATGCTTTATAATTTCCAAATTTTCGTGACTGCAACCGTGTGCATACATTGTCTCTATTAAATCTCAAGTAAAATATAAATATTATTGCTAGATGAGAGATATACAAAGCAATACAAAGTTACATCTGACAAAAAATATCAGAGGAGTAATATAAAACCCTTCACATAAAGATACGAAGATTACCATTATGGAAAATGGCGAATGAGGTGTGCCAAACTTTTGCACAAATATGATGGGATTGTCAGAAAACAACAGTAAAAAAATAAGTGGTAAGTAGGATTGATTTATTGCATGAACTGTGTGGCTGTATATATGTACATTAGATGCGTAAGGCGGCTATATCTCCAGTACAAATATTCAAAATCCGGATGTTTCTGTAAACGTAGATTGGTCAGTCAGATGAGATCGTTGATTTGCAGTACAAATTTATTCTTATTAACTTAACGGCCACGATTCAGGAGATATACAAAGACCCATAGGCATCAATATTGTGATTCAGAGTCATTCCCACTCAGTTTTACTATTGCCAATTATACTGTGTCATACTAGGATCGCATCCAGCACGTCAGGTGTGGTAATTATTCCATTATGGTACAACTGTTGCCGTTGAGATTTCTGTCAAAATCGATATTTCAATAAGTTAGTTTGGATACGATTCTAGAATGATTAGTATAATAAGATTCAACATATAGTACTTAGAAACTATAAACTACATGTTAGGGCGTCTGCCATTTTCCTGACAGTAACAGAATATTCACAGCCTCCTATACATAAACATATTCATACAAAATATATATCCGAAGCGAATAAGTACAGCTAAGTACGATATTCGTTACTGAATAAATAAACAACTCTCACTCTGCTACGAACTTTTCTCAGGCGTAAATGTGACTAAGTTAACTTCTGAGCAGTTTGTTGGTGCTTTCTCTATCTCGAAAATTATCGATTTCTTCGAGTCGGACTCGCATTGCATCAGATTCAGCTTGGCATTTGTTTCGTTCTTATCAGAAGCGTTGCTGTGGGCGTTACTCACGCAAGGGGACGGTGCTAAGATAGGTACGTACGCGCAAGGAGGCGGGCCTACCGCAGAAGGATGAGCCAATAGCGGCTGCTGATGGGCGCGACTTGCAGATTCGTCGATTAGGAAATTGTGGTGGGTGGGAATGTAGTCTTTTCTCAAGAGGTTGTCGTACGCTGCTTTGTCGTAGCGATCTGGGTAGTCTTTGAGGGTTTTGCATTGCTGAGGGAGGTGGTGGACGTACATCGTTGGGCTGTAACAAAAAAAAAGTTCAGGAATCCTAATGAAAACATGTTTGTCAAAGTTTTAAGTTGATGGTATTTAACCAGTGTAGTAATCGGTTTTTTCCAACAAGGAATTTCTGACTAACAGAGACTGTCAAATACAGTCATCTGAACAAATTAGTGATATGATGTTGCCTAGTTATGAGCTAAACTGATCTATTCTACTGACCGTTCAGGACTGTATTGTTGGAAAGGATCGTTTATTTTAAATACACCAAGACCTCATAATTTTTACCGTTTAGATAGTTGATCTAAAAAGTGCAAAATAATAGCCGAATGACATACGATCAGTATTCACTGTGATCCGCCAGTATTTATCATGCAATGTAATGTTTATTGATAATGTAGCATGGACATCAGTAATTATTAATGTAATGTGTTGATGCTTACCCTAACTTATGTACAGCCGAATCTTGATGCTCGCTCTTCAAGATTTTAACAGCTAACGCTATCAAAACGAATAATATCACAGCTCCGCATATTGGTACTGCTATGGTCGCAGCTCTGAACCAGACATCTGAGTCTGAGTACAAATATGTGGTTTCTTGTTGGTTCTGATACCTCAGATCTTGTTCTTCTGATATATCACCTGCAATTAGAGATCCAATCAATGAGTAAATATACATAATTCATATTTTAACAATCCTAAAATTGTCATAGTACAACTAATCACGATAATTCTAGAATTCCCGTGGAATAGTTTTAAAGCAAAGACACTTTTGTTGGATATACTATAGTTTTTGAAAGATAGTAATCTAATTGAAGCTGAAGCGTGAAATAGAGCTTTCCATAGGCATCACACTTTATATTTTCGATTAAGGTTTGAATATTTATTTAAGTTTTGTTATGTACTATTGTCGGAAGCTGATTTCAGATGTCTTCAAGCTTCCTTTGACTCAAATTATTTCCAAAAGACGATTTTCTATACAATCAGTCCAAAATGTACCATTGGCAAATAGTTATACCGAGAGTGCTGATGGCTAACACGCTGAGTGAACGTAGTTGGCCATCAAAATATTCGTTTTCATTGTTTGCGTTTATCGCACAGTGAGCGACTGACCACATTTGACATTTTAGGCCCGGTTTTTCAATCGCAGGTTAACTTTCAACTTTAGTAACTACAACTTGTAAGTTACCTAAATCCGTTTTCAATCTCCGGTTAACTAACACTTTACTGTTGATCTGGCAACGCTGCCTCTATGTCTGAAATATCGTGTTTTGTGGGTTTTGTGACGCTCGATGTTTGTTACAGGTTAGGCATTGCGGTGTGACTATAACTTTCAAGTTAACCAGAGGAGGTCTTCTGGTTAAAGTTAATTACCGTTCTAGGACTAACCTGACATTGAAAAAACATTTTAAGAGTTTACGCCTGGTAGCTGTAAAATCACAGTTAACCTGCGATTCAAAAACCGAGCCTTAGAGTTAGACAATACCGCTACTTCAGCAGCTATTCAGTACAATGAAGGAAGCAAGCGCCTAGCTGTCAAGCTTCAACGGTGTGCAGAAAGATTATTTGTGGAAAATTATTTGAATTTGAAGAAAACATGGAAAACCAGAGTATATTCTGATATCCGGAATGTGGTATCACTAAAATAGATTTAGGGCCATTTATCGTCAGTCATTCGTACAATAATCGTAGAACGCCTTTATGGTCTCCTTGAATTTCATAGTATTTTCTTTCTTTCAGAAAGGCTGGGATGTTTCTAGATTTCTACTACTCCGTGTCAGCGTCAGCGCACTCCTATCGTCAGGCTATGTTTTCTTCTTGAATTGTAGGAAATTTGATTAAAAATGATTTTATAACTTTATCTAACGTATCTTGTGCCCATAAACTCAAAATTAACCCGTTAAAATCATCCGCAGTTATATTTGGACCAAAAATCAAAAAGTCAGCCAAAACTATTACTATCATTGAGTGTTTAGACCAACCGATCCCTATAAAAAATGAGTGCAAGAATTTAGCACTCTGGATTGATTGTGGTTTGAGGTTTGAAAAACATGTTAGTCAACGGTGCCGAACATCATTCGGTGTCTTGAAGCAATTATTTCCTCATAGGAAAAGTATGAATACTGGTCTCAAGCTGAAGTTGTGCGAAACCTTAATATGGTCTAGAATTCACTACCTACTGTGACTCTATTTATGGGCCTGTACTAAGATCGATTGAGATAAGGAGACTTCAGACTATTCAAAATGCGTATCTCAGATTTGCTTGTGGAGTGAGAAAATTTGAGACAGTGTAAATATGGCTGGATGTTCAAAAAATAGAAGAGCTACAAAAAATGCACGTATTGATCTTGACCCATAAAGTAATCACAACACAAGCCCCTCCATATTTATCAACCAAATTTATCAGATACTTAGATGTTAATCAACTGAACACAAATAATAAGCATATCTTGGTTATCCTGAGACATTCAACACCTTTTATTTAAAAGGTCGTACATATATACTGCTATCAAGCTATACAACGCGTTGCCTACCGAGTTCACTCACTACTCTATAAAGAATTTCAACAAAATATTGAAGCATTTTATCTCTGATTTCATTGCCTAGTAAGTAGCCCATGGCCTTTAATAGGGACTCGTTACAGGTTTTTTTAAACTTTTTTGTTTTCATTGGGATTAGAAAATTTACACAAATATTTGTTGGGTTAAGTTGAAAAACGCTTTTTAGCGACACTTCGCCTTTTTATACTTTGTATAAATTAAGCCGGATTATTATTATTAAATTTCAGGCTATATAACAAATGATATAAATCAAAAGCATGAACAATTTGATTGAAATAGATATTTGTAACATAACCTCAAAATGGTCTCTGACACTGAACTGTAGAAACTATGAAAATCAAGGAGGCCATAAAGGCGTCCCACAGTTGTAAGAGCTCAGATCTTGCGCTTGATGTTTCAATATCATCTGTGAAAACACTGCCAAAAGAGTCGTCTAACACTACACCGTTGACATTTCATTGCTTTTGTTCAATCAGCTCTGGCAGCGGCTTTTTATGGAATAGGCACAAGCATTGTTTCACATGATTATTACAGTCAGTCGCGATACAGTTGGTCTGGGGTAGCGGTTTTATAAAAAACCTGCGAGCATATCCGATCATAGATCTTTCGAGTTACACAAATTATAGGTATGTAGATTTATTATACTTACTTAGTAACGTGGTATTGAGAAGACTCTTGGTTTGTGGACTGTCCACATGATTACAAAGGTCATGATGGCAGCATAGGAATAGAGATCTAGGGCTTTCTTTTCTTCGTATCACAGTTCTTTCGTGCATTCCACCTCTGGTTTGACACTTGGCTGATTCCCTGTAAAAAAATAAAAGGATGTTTATTTATATATAAAGTAAAATAAGGTAACAAATACTAAGAATTGCCGAGAAATTATTATTAACTATAAACCAAGGACGGATCTAGAAAATATTTTTTTTGAAACGGGGTCCAGTGGCGGATCTAGGACCTGTGGGTCCGAATCGTCTGAAGCTCCTCTATAGTTGGAGAGCGGGGGAGGTTCCACCCCTGGGGAGAGGTACTTGTACATTTGAAATTACCGCTAATAAAAGACCATTACATATCGTGAAGTACTGAAGTACAGTTGAAGTGTACTAGCAAATAAAAGTTGACAGTGGTAATGGAAATTTATTATCAAAAAGTTGCAAGTTACTTACGAAAAATACTTTTTATATGTGCGTCCTGTTTATTTGATAAAACTTTATATTTTTTGAAAATCGATCCAGTCTCAGCGGAGCTACGGAGAAAAAGGAAAAAATAAAATCGCTCAAACTTCGTTTTTTGATGTTTCGGATACTCCTTATCTTTTTCAGAAAAACTTTTGAATGGGTTAAAAATGGGGAGTTGGGGGCGGAGGAGGGTATACCTTAATGTTTTGACATTGGCATAGTTTTACGCCTCCAGGCGCGGTAATCGTATGCCTCTATTAGACATATTTCAGTCATCATAGATTTCCCCGTACATTTATCCGTAAAACGAATGATGAGAAATATTTCCAACCGTGCGTGCTTCGCGGTCCACAGGAATTTTTCTGGGGAACGTCAAGAGATAATTGTCTGAAATTGTACCTGCCTCGTAAAACTTCCTGAAGAGCGAGAGGCGACAGAAAAGCATGTGCTAAACATGCAAATTTTAATTGTATGAGCCTGTCTGACTGACCTGATCCATTTAATTTTTTGTTATTTTTTCTCATAGGGGCTAATTTGTGTCAAATAATTTGTGTCAAATATAATTCTATATGAACTGATAACAGCGTTGCGTAGGCAGTGCAAAGTCAACCTTCTTGACGCCATTTTTACACGAGCATTTCATTACCACTATATTTCTCTTAAAACCTTTTATTTTCATTACATGTATAATCGTATAGTGTTTTACCGAACACAGCTCTTATGTGTGTTTGGAATCGAAAGCAAGTGTTTTTAGGACTCAAATATTTCGGGGGGGCCAGGCCCCCAATACATCCGCCTGAATCCTTCCGTCAGAAACATTTTGATGCAAGACCCACTCTTCTAATAAACACATCCATGCACATCACAATATTTAAGAATCAAGTCGCAGTTTGTAATGCACTTGATAACCAAACCGCGTGCATCTGCGTGGTCGTAGTCGCTGAAAGCGTTGCAAAAGTCGACATGCTGCTGCTTGCAGTGAAGAATGTTAATGAGATACCTGCGCCTCGGGCACTCATTAAAACTATCGAAGAAACGATGAGATCGCATCGGCTTTCTGCTCATCGACGGTTCACCTTTGATGTACATACAACAGCGTAGTGTTGTTTACATTGCATCTACAGTAGATTGCAGAAAGTTCGGTGACATTTTATTTTCATAATGAGGGACTAGCCACTGACATTTTATTACAAAAAAGAGAGATTTAAAAAACCACTGATGTCCATTTTTTCCAAATGCCTTTTTACTTTACTTTTTTGGATGTACCTAATCTGACATGTACATCACGAACAATTATTTCGCCTATTCCCGAGGACGAAAAAGCATTGTAGTCTTTGAAAATCGGTTCAATGGCCGTGGAGGAAAAAGCCAAAAAAGACAAATCTAAAATTTATACGATAACTAGCTACAGCGATGCCGCGCAGTTGTAGAATGGGACAACGTTGCCAGATGGATAGTAACTACCGGTAGGGCAGGGAAAGAATGCCCGCTTGACTGACTTAATCGGTTTAATTTCTGTGTTGTATATGTTCGTATCTGACTTTTTTCTCAGAGGATTTGAATTGCGCTGAACTGAATCATTTATATGTTGATGAGTAGGAAGTGCAAGGTCATTCTACTTGACGCCATTTTTTTACTGAAAATGTTTCATAAGCGTCGCGCACCCCCTTTTTTCAACGGTCTGTCCGAAATAGTATCTTTAATACCTTTCGTCGGATTGTTTCATGATGAGTATAGGGATGACTGAAAAACACTATCATTTTTTTTAATTGAGTATGGTTTTTGCAATGACTGATTTAATTACACGTCAAACAACATCGCTGGATGATTAGTGATTCTTTGCTGACTAAATAATCAGTTAATGAGTCAAGTCACCTAGAAGGATAATTCATTTATTCAATATTTTACAGGAATTTCCATATGACCATTTTATGCCGTCCAATATATCCACCATCTGAGCGAACTTTCTCTTATCACTGTAATTTTTATTTATTTATCTGTAAGTGCTTTTCTCACATCGTTTGGCCTTTGACTTTGTGCTCCAGAAAACAAAGAAACATCGTGCGATGACAAAAGAACAGCGCGATAAACTGCGCCTCATCTTTCCAAGGCATTCTAGAATATGCACTGCGCATTTTTCTTTATTTTGGCTATTTATAAGATAATAACCAAGAGATGGTACAAAACTTATATGAAAATATAATTAATGTATACAAGTAAATAATAACTGTATATTAATATACATACATATACATAATTACATTACTGAATTCGGATACAATTTAGCAAGGCAACCTTTTCAGTCATTCAGCACTATTGACGGTTTGAAAATATGATGATCTGGAATATTTTTGTGAGATTAGCGAAGTACTGAAGCTTAGAGATAGAAAGAGATTATACACTTTTTATCCCCTATTCAAAATAAGACACAAGAGTTGTATCTCGATACCAATGGCACCAGATTCCAAGCGATCAAAGCGTGCCAATTAAATCAAATATGTAAAAGTGGGACAAATTCTCGACCAATCAATATAAATCATGTCGATCGATTAATCATTGGAAATGAGTCCTCAATCCTCGTGTTTGTACGACCATTATTAGGAAGCAACAATGAAATGTCTGTAGCAAGCAGAGGCAAAAAGTGGAAAACTGTAACGGTACTCTAGATGGAAGGCCTGAATAAAATAATTTATAATTTTAATGATTTCAGCTCAGCGTGTAGTAGCGGTTCTTGAATGCCTTTTATGAACTTAGCAGTTTCAGTTATGCAACGTACGAATGTAATGGTCATAAACAGTTCGATGTTGCCAGATTTAAACTTTATTTACTTGGGTACCGAGGAGCTATAAAAACAAACTCTCCTAGTAATTCATATACCAAAATTAAAAGCATTAGGTCCTGAAAAATTCTTATATGTCAAGCCCGGTACTCCCTTCAGCATCGTCGTGTAGGTAAACTGAGCTGTTTGTTTATAAATCGAATTTAAACAAACGATTTAATGTAAGTCAGAGGTGTGCGTCTTCACGATACTGCTGATGCTCCACGAGATTATTCAGATCGTTTTCCGATACATTTCGTTCAAGCATTTGGTAGGGATCGACCAATATATAACACTTGTCGATAAAAAGATTTGCTATTATTCAGTTTGAACTGCTTTTTGCAACCGCAGAAACACCCACCATTTTCGGCATCTGTCTGGAACTCTCGGATGGTACGAATTTAATGTGAAATGTCAACTGTCAAACTAGTGACTTAGCCTGAACGACTTCTAGTACGAACTGGCATCCTGATCGCAGATACATAATTTTGGAGACAAGCAAATCGTATACTTGCTCCTTCTATCTAGTTTGAATTCTTTGGATAACACTAATATGCAGGCATTTGAATTATTACCCGTTTATCTGAATTGAAAAAATTCCTATATCGACTGAGCTTAACATCCTACCGTACTTCTTTGCAGATTATGTCGCAAATTCTATTATTCAATAAATGTTCAATAAACATGGCAACATGCTTGTCCAAAATTACTGATTGTTCGTTGGATACCTTGCCGTGTTGTGTCCCAATTAAAGACTGGTTCGCAAAGATCGAAGAACGTGCCTCTCCGGGCCGCTACAGCACCTGCGACCTGTGCGTACATTCACAATTTAAAAAAAAATTCGGGCCGCTTTTTATATAACGTACATTCCGATCGCTTATCTTTCTCCAATAGCCTCTTTGTTAAGTGGCGACCTTTCACTTGAGCGACGAAAAAATGTGATAGCTACAGGGTGTCAATGTTAAAAAAATCGTTTTCTTAATATAAAAATAACAGCAAACTGTCACGGAAAGTCATTAATATGTTCATGAAAACAAAAAAAAACATTCGACCATCAAAGTTGAAATTTTTTGACATGTCATTTTTCCCTTGAAAACCAAGTAATTTACGAAGGAATACCACGAGACAAGAAAGTTGCATCATTAGTTGCTAAATCCGAATTTATATATAATTTTTTTAGAAAATCGCCACACGGATGTTGACAAAAAAATTGACACCCTGAACCTGAAAATCATACATTTTAAGACACATGTTTATATATGAACTTTTCTACTTAAATTTGGCTCACGAATGCGCGCTTGTAATTACGGCCTATCATACGTAACACCCTGTACATGCAAGAATATGATTAGAATTCGAGAATTATGTGTATTGATTTAGTGAACCAACAACAATAGACAAAAACTTTAAAACTCGTAGAAAAATACAGGACTATCCTAAAAAGGATGGGAACATTTTAGATAAGAATGTAACGGGTATCCAACTTGATTTAGCTCATCCCATCATCTGAAAAACCAATGAGTATACCATAAAAAATATAATAAATACAAATGTTTCTTAATGTAAATCAAAGTTCAGTTTTGTCAAAGCCTCAACTTCATTTTTTGAAATAGCTCCCCCTATTTTTTCCATTTTCGGGTTATACATACAATGTATTAATATGAATGAGATATTATTTTGATTAGTTTTTAAGTTATATTTTATTTATTTTTGGGACAAAGGTAGCTTGTGTGTGACTGCAACGGATGAAAACAACCTTCATGACGGATAGCACTCACATCGTATACCCCCTTCGATTCTGTTTTTTTCAT